TCATCAGACGACTCTGGTAGAAAAAAGAAGAACAAGAATAGTAAAAACAGGAAATGTAATGAATATATTTTGCACTAGTATCAAAATATAGTCTTACCCTGTGGTAGGTTCATGGCTAGATACCCAATTATACGCAATGTTTGTTTGAGTGTCTTCAATGAGTTCTTGTAAAGGAATACGAACAGCTTTCTTTGATTTGTTTGCTCGTTTATCCACATTTCTTTCTTTTTCCTGCTCTTCCTTTGTTTCTGCATTACTCACAGGTCTTTCAGGATACAGTGTCACCAAGATCTCATCATAGGCACTTGTCAGTGTACCATTGCCTCGACTCAAAGCATACAAAGACGTTGAAAATTCATCGTCTTCAATTTCTGTAGCATCGATCATGTCTGTGCCGCTAAAGTCTCCCCTTGTAGCCAATGGGCATACCTCTGCTTGCGAAATGCGAACAAGATTCTCCAGTTCATGAATCAAAGATGACGGTAAACGGTCCAGCATTCTATATAAAATATGAACACAAAAACACCATCTTTACAAGCAACATGTATACATACCTTGATGGTAAGAAAACTGATAGATTGACCTTTATAAACTCCAACCCCCTTTGCTTCAAGACATTGGCGCAATAGATATCAGCGTGCTCCAAAATACTAGTAGCTGTTCGAAGCTTAATAAATGGAATAAGAGCATTTTCTACAATTAATTTTAATCGTTCTAGCAAAAGTGCATCTGCTTCACACAAAAGCTCTAGCAGGAACTGCAGCATGGTATCTTCAGTATCTCTTTGAATGAATTCAAATAAGTCGGGTGCATCTGTATCCAGATACAGATGTTGTCGTATCGTCTCTGCAATTTCACTAGACATGTGCTCCATATCAACCTCAATACAATCCTTTTGCTGTTCTCTTCTTTTGGCAGTCCAGATAGATTGTGGTGCCAGCAGGTGTTTGAAGAAAACGCACCGTTGACGCAGGATGACCTCGTGACAGGGAATGAGCTTATCTCTAGTCTTCAGCATCACATCTGGACGATAGTCCATGAGCATTTGTAAACTGTGAAGCAATGAAGGTGTTGACTGATGGTTAAACGAAGATTGTGCAGACGCCAGTAGGTGAGGCAAGTGAAACAGCTCGGCCAAATCAACCAAATCTTTTTGAATCTTTCTTGTGTCTGTAGCACGGTCTTGACTAAGAACAGGCGATTCAAAAAAGACTTTCATCGGATGCTCATACTCGTCTGAGTATATATAATCAAACATCAACAGTAGAGAAGCCAGTTCGCACCGTTCGATGTGAATTTGAATGCGTCCATCTTTACCTTTACCGAGACGAATTTTAAAATTGCCAATTTGCTTATCAGCCATTCTTCCAAGCTGCTTAAATATGTGGCTTCGAGTCGCCAGGACGGAGCTGTGACAGTAAAGACGTCTATTCTCTTCTATAATAAATACTGTATCTAGAGTTCTATCATCCATTGATCTTTGCATAATATCGTTCCAAGCTTGACCCACTATTGCCTTCTTTTGTTCATCAAACCTCTGCTGGATCAATGCTCGACTCGTTTTATCTTCTTCAGGTATGTCTGCGAGATCATGTTTCATTTGGTTTTTGATATCATCTATCTCTGATTCCAGTTCTCTTCCTCTGGTCACATGCGGCAATGATTGATATAGATCCTGCTTGAGCATTGATGGGCCAGGAGAAGATGGTTGCAAGGGATGTTCGGAACGAATAGCAGCAAATGCTCCACTGGAGTTGGCGCATACTCGAATACATCTCTGTATGTAAGGCATTTCACTAAATTTGTATTTGCCTGATTCAGGACGCCCCATGAACACACGACCCGACGCAGTACAGATAATTACTTCGCCATATTGACCTATACTTGCATCCACTGCCATCAGACGTGTTCTTCCGGTTGCCCAGATTAACTGAGGCGCCGAAATAATGGTGGGATTCTTGTTGTTTGCGCTTTGCTTCGTGGTCGATTTACATGTCCAAATGAATACATGGCCAAGGTTTGTGAGCGCGCCTAGGTATTCTGTTCCACTTGAAATTAGCTTGACGATATAACAGATAGCAGGCTTGTAAACCTTGATATTTGAAGGATATGCGTTGAATGGAAAGAATAGTTTTTGCTGAGTGTAATTACAGAGCATGTATACATCGCTTGTTTCAGTCAAGATCACAGTGGCATTATCATTTGCGATCACCTGCTGTATCTTGGCAGGCATAAACACTCTTGTTGGGATAGACAGAGTAGCTTTTCTTGGTGTTGTCTGACATGTTTCGTTACTGTTGCTTTGACTGTAGCCCAATTGACCCTGATTGAGGCCAAAGGTAAAGAGATCACTACTGGTATAAATGACGGAATGCACTCTTGATGCAGCCACGCCAATAATGGGCTGCTTTTTAAGATTCTGTGCTTGGATCTTTCGTGGTACAAGTTGCATGGGCGCTTCATCCTTTTTGTTGCCGATCTCAGTCTCATACCCTAATGCATATTAGTCACATTCTTCCTTCTTTTAATACCATTCTTACCTAATTGTCCATACGCATTACTTCCAAAACTAATGACCGCCCCACTTTCTGTCACTGCAAGAGTATGATCTCGACCCAGTGCAGCCGTAACAATTCTTTCTGACCAAGGTACAGGCGCAGGCACCAACTGCGTATCGATATCTTTGCCCAATCCAAGACGTCCACCTCTTCCAAACCCACAGACTAGCATGTTATGGCTTAGTTCGCTTGTTAGAACAGCCATGTGGTATTTAGCCATCATGACAGATTCGATCACATAAGGTGGTCTATTAACTGCTGGGTTCTGCTGTGAATCAAGCTGGAGCTGCACACGTTCCGGTCGGTTTCTGTTCTCGGAGTCGGGGTGACCCAAGACATAATTGGTGTTTTGACCCCAACTGTAAACGTCTGTGCCTCCGGTAGGCTCATCGTCATCGTTTGATAGGTTATAGATGTCATCGTCATCTGCTCTATCTGGTTTTTTTGAATTGTCTCCTAAACCTCTCTCTTTAGGATATGCGCCTGATATTGTCATGTCATATAGATCAAAGGCTCCTAATTGCTCCCAGTCCTTTAAAAAAAATTAAGAATGGATCATGTATGAACATGCATTATTTTCATACCTTGATATGGATATCTATATCACGCCTTTGTAGTAGCATTCGAGCAATTTCGATATTGCCCATATAAAGTGCTCTGATATATAGTGTAAATAAGACATATATTCCTTTTTTTTTTCTTACCGATGTAGAGCAGTCCAACCGTTTTCTCGATCCTGCAAGTTGACATCCACCAGTGGACAGTCTATCAGTAACTTTGCAATTTCGACACGGTTCCAAGTAGCTGCGACATGAAGAGCTGTCCTGCCTTTAGTTGACCTTTTATTGAGATCAAATAATTTTAAATCTGCTGCTTTCAATTGTTGTTGAAGACTGATCAGATCCTGTTTTGACAGATAGTCATTACTGTAGTTTGTGATGGATATTTCTCCAGTGGCTAAACCAATCAGTTGATTTAAGACTTGGACATTGTTTTCTCGAATGACTCTAAAGATCGAAACCATAAACTATCTTGTCTGGGTGCTTTCTTTTGCTTTTCTTTTTTCTGAAAAAAGAAACAGTGTAGGTTTACTACGCAAAGAAGAAAAAAAAAAAGATAAAAATTGATGGATTGTTGTTCATGTATCGAATCACGTGGCTCTTTACTGGTTGATCAGTAAAAACTAGTCCGTGCACCTATTTCATATACTCGTTACACCAAGTGAACATAAGATATCTACTCTGGTAAATCAGGGATCCTCTGAATATTTCTTCATATATGCTTACAATCCGTTTATCATTTGCAAACTTGGTAATTAGAAAACAATAATAATCGATAACTGCCTTTCAGTTATAAGATTCATGGTTTTCAACAAGATATCATGAGCAATCCTGCAATCCTATCTTCCCCTTTTCAACTGTAGGTCAAAGCCTATATACAAATATCCAAAAATAGTTTAAATATATTTTGTTATTTATCGCTTTCTTTTTTGGATCAACAAGTTATTTTAAGTCATTCTATTGTACCAAAATTTGGAATAAAGTTACTATTTAACGGCGTTACTTCCATTAACATTACATTCACCACACATTGCTTGATTGGATACAGATTGATTCGGAATAACAGGTTAGGAATATATTCTAACAAGCGAGAGTAGAACTGATTTTCTAGTCTCATAGCAAAACATCAAAGGAGCCTAAAAGTATTCATCTTTTTTTTTTGAGAACTTTGCTACACTTTCTTCAGAGAAGTAAAGATAGATCGCTTACTCCCATATGATATTATTTTGAAAAAAAAAAAAAAAAGAGACAACTTCTTGATGCACCAATGGTTCTATTATCAAGATAAAACTGTCAAATTTTTCGAATCTTAGGCTTTGTTTCACAAGGAGAAATTCCATCTAAAAGAACAGATGCAATACTCTATTCCAATAGTCCGTTTTTAAATACCTCTCCTCTTTCTCTTATTGTGTGTGCTGTGCATATTTTGCCCTTTAGAATAAGCGGTTTTTGAATACTAAAGACATCCTGCATTAATGCTTTTTGATTTTATTTAGTCTCAGTTCACAACCTAAAAAAAAAAGACAATGTGCAGCCATGACTACTTAATGATTATTGATATTAATGTTGTTGGCTTATAAGCTCAATCTTTTATTATGTTACTGCTCAAAAAGTGTACAGCCCTAATCCGACTTCCTTCTCTTCCCTTTGGCTTCAGTTCTTTTTCTTCTTTTAACAGAAACAAGCATCGAGCGAGCGATCCAAGCCGAGCATAGGATAACGATACAAAATGTGCCTAGTGTCACTAGCTGTCTATCCTGTATACTGCCGACTGGTACTGATAACTCGAGTTGCTCCTTTGGATCTATATTGGAAATTGGAATAAACCGGGAGTTTGTATGATACCTATTGTAAGGTATGAGCAGTTCATGATCAATCGGTGGCCATGATGAGGCTCCACAGGTCCAGCCTGCATAAGGAACCTTGATAGTCACAGTTCGGTATTGTTGATGAGATGCAGGCTTTTGGTATCGAGTGTGTATTGGTAATTGAATGCGAATAGGAGATGTCAAATTGGTTTGTCTTAGCAGCACAATGCTTCCACGCGGTTCTTTTACTTTCTCTAATGGCAGTTCAAGATCGTGTTCACCAAAGACTTCTGCTTTACCAATACGAGACTCCATATCCCGTAACTGGTAAGGATCCACAAAGACACTTGCTGGTAACTCGTAAACAATATCAAGAAAACAGTCGTCATGGATATCGTCCAGTTCAATGCACGTATCTATCTTGGGGTGAAGACTACTGGCAAAGGACAGGTGAGAGTGTATGGTCATAAAGAAAAGTATAAAAAAAAGAAAGAAATGATTGGGCGTCATTTTTTATATCTCAGAAAAAGATTTTTATTCTTTTCTTGCCCTTGTGCGTAGGCGTAAGTGTGTTTTTTTTTTATTATTGTTAATTAAACATGTCTGCTGTGCTTGGAACTGTTGCAAAGTGGGCCATTCCTGTTGGTCTTGCTGTTGGTGCTGCTCAATCAGCCATGTATGATGGTAAAGTGAAATAGAATATATACACATTAAGCACAATAAAAAACTTAAATATTTCTTTAGTCCAGGGTGGTTACAGAGCTGTCATTTTCGATCGTATTCAAGGTGTCAAACCTAATGCCATTGGTGAAGGCACTCACTTTTTAATTCCTTGGCTTCAACGTGCTGTTTTGTTTGACGTTCGTACAAGACCTCGTAATATTTCTACAACCACTGGTTCCAAAGACATGCAGATGGTTTCCTTGACCCTTCGTGTCTTACACCGTCCCGAGATCAAGAACCTTCCTCTGATCTATCAAAACTTGGGTCAAGATTATGATGAAAGAGTATTGCCTTCTATTGGTAACGAAGTCTTGAAGGCTATTGTTGCTCAATTCGATGCTTCCGAATTGATCACCCAGCGTGAAGTTGTTTCTGCAAGAATCCGTGAGGAATTGTACAAGCGTGCCAAGGACTTTAACTTGGCTTTAGAGGATGTCTCTATCGTAAGTACTAAAGGGAGCATTGAATGAATTTAGAGCTCATTCTTTGTTGTTATCTAGACACACATGACTTTCGGTAGAGAATTCACTAATGCTGTCGAACAAAAGCAAATTGCTCAACAGGAAGCTGAACGTGCCAAGTTTATTGTCGAACGTGCCGAACAAGAGAAGCAAGCAGCCATCATTCGTGCTGAAGGTGATTCAGAAGCAGCAGAAATGATTTCTTCCGCATTAGCCAAAGCAGGCGATGGATTTATTGCTTTCCGTAGAATTGAAGCTAGTAAAGAAATTGCTCAAACTCTCTCTCAAACACAAAATGTTACTTATTTGCCTAGCAACAAGAATGGTAACAACATGCTCCTTGGTGTCAAGGCATAAAATAGCAGCCATCATTATAAAGTATATTTTAGTAAATAAAAAAGTGTATAATATAAAATGGGTGTTATTGTGTCTCTGTTTTTTCTTGTTTCTTGCACTTGCAGATCTCGTCATCCTTCAAACCAGCTAATGCTTGCTCAATGTGTTTACCACAACCTACATCACTCATGAATTTATTTTTTTTGTCTTTACTAAACACGTTCAACTTACCAGCCCAAGTGTATTTGCCGCATTCTTTACAACCAGTTTTGAAGCACATTTTGTTTATATAGTGTAAGAAAGAAAATTCTCACCCATCCCTGGTTTCACTCTTTTTATAATGAAACTAAGCAACCAATGATTGTGTGTAACATATGAAATCCTTGTCAAAATGGAAACACTCTAATTAAAGAGTGAAAAAAAAGAATAGAGAGCAAACGTTTTTTAAGACATACTTTTCTTTCATATTCTTTATTTAATGTTTACTCTACTCTTCTTAATCCTTGTTATTTGTGCTCAATTGCTGATGGCACAAAAATCAGAACCAGTCACTTGTGATTGCGGATTTATAGATGAAAATGATCAAATATGGCACAATGTTTGGTACGCGGACTATAGAAGATACAAACACATCTCGCGTAACGATGCCTACCATCAACTTATGGACTATACCGTCCCTCCAAAGCAAAATTATACACTCGCTCGCGTATTCTCTCCTCAGAATATCGAAATGGACGCATATGGTTTATCTCTTCGTGTCAAGAATCAGAAAGACAAGTACACGTCTGCTGCTATTGGCACAAGAAGGTAAAATGATGCAATACATAGTCATGATTTAACTTGGCAATAGGTCTGATATTCTCTATGGTACATTCCGTGCTCGGATGAAGACAAGTCAAATAGCCGGCACGGTTGCTGCCTTTTATTACTATCGCAACACGACAAGTGAGATAGATATTGAAACACTCAGCAAATTGAGAAATCCTGCACAGGTTTACTTTGCCATTCAACCACAGATTTATAATCCAGATGGCTCTGCTTCACCTCAAACGCACCACAGGTATCCTATGCCGTTTGATCCTACCCAAGTAAGTGTCGAGATAAGTATATCATGACTCGTTTATTCACGTCCTTTTTAGGAATATCATGAGTATCGTTTCGACTGGATGCCTGGCTTAGTCAAGTTTTATATAGACGGTCTCTTTGTTCGGGACATGACAATCAATGTCCCAGAGACGCCTGGACGCATCATGATCAATCACTGGACAGATGGTAATCCTAACTTCTCTGGTGGCCCTCCAGAGGAAGACGCAGACTTGATCGTCTCTCATCTCAACATGTTTTTCAATTCTTCTGAGCAAATCGAACCTCCTCCATGTCAAAAGTCCAAGGAGCCATGCAAAGTGCAAGGTATATTCTTCTTTTAATGATTATTTATAATTAACCTTTTTAATGATAGACATTATGAGTAATAATCTATTGCCTGGTACAGCCTTGTCCTCTGCAAGTATCACATCCTATAACCAATTCTTTTATCTTTTCTTGTTTGTTCTTTTTACCCAATTTTAATTCATCGTCTGAACTTTAAATCCAGGCTTCCCTCTCTCTATTTCTTTTTCTTTAATCAAACCAATAAACATCATGTCAAATACACGAGATATGGCAACAATTGAGAGAGACCTTTTACGTATAGATCAAGCATTGAACCAAGTAATACTATTTCTCTCTTTTTTGTTGTTGTTTTCACTAATTCTCTTTTTTTTTTGCAAAGGTATCCAATGTTCGATCTACCTTGAAACAATTCACACAACTCGTCGAACAGGAACAAAAAGGACCTAGCTACGTACAAGCATTTAGCGATCGACTTAAAAATGTCAAACAGGAATTGAATCGTTTAGCGATTCAAGGAAATGACCTAAAAGGTACATAAATAATCTATCTATAGAGTCTGAGCATATGTAATCAAACCATGTAGAATAGATGTCTTGAATTACGCGCAATCAATAGCTAATGATGGTGATTTTGATTGGAGTGCAATCAAGAGGTAAATCAGTCTTGAATAATACATTCCATTCATTTTAATGTTGTAGTGAGAAACAAGATCAGCAAAAGACAGATATTAGAAAACCAGAAAAGATTGGATCGATTGTAAAAGATAAGGCTGATTATGCATACAAGTAAGAAAGAACAGAACAAACGAACAGGGATAATCATTCTGTGTGTAGACAATTATCTTCCATGGTCTTTGATCATAATACATCATCAACGTAAGCTATATTCTTCAAGACACAATTGACGAGTAAACAAACATTTGTAGTGAATCCTTCTTTACGACATATACACAACAATGGCTGTCACAGAACAAAGATCAGGCATCTAAAATAGACATTAGCTTCGAACGGGAAGAACAGACAACGCTTTCGGGGACAACATGTCATCTAAAAGTGTGCATACATAAAGCATTCATTGTAGAATTAGAGCTAGAATATGCTCGTGCATCTAATACGCTCATTGTACATCAACATGACATAAGGGGACTTAAAGAAGAGGTTTGTTTGGTGAATGTACCTCCTGTCAATACTAATATATCTGCAGAAACAGCTTTCACAGGGATCTCAATATCTTGTTTTTCAAAAGTTGAGTCTATTGGCGGCTGTGGCATTTGAAGATATGACGACACTTTTTGCAAGAGAATCTTTCTTTTATATTTTAGATTGGCTATCAAGCTATCATGACTTGTTTACTGCGCCTTGTATTCGATGTCATAAGGTCTTACAATTTGATTCCCCTGTTTACAAGTACACTCCACCTGTTGTCAGAACATGGAATACAAAACATACGACAGATAGAACAGCAGTAGCCTATCATATGCGATGCTATCATGAACATAAGAACAGTCAAGCCATTGCTCTGTTCTAAACATAAAAAATAAACATTGGTGTGTGACCGTTCAAAAGTGACATTTTTTTCTTTCTTTCTTTCTCTCTTTTTCATATATATACACACATAATATGCCACATAAAAGAGCCAATGCCCGTATTCGTAAAGAAAGGAAGCAAAAGTACGTATAGCAGTGGAAGGGTATAAAGTACAAGAGTTGATCATGTATCATGTAGAATGGATCTTCCAGTATCTAAAGAAGACACCAATGTAAGAGATGACGATACACCCAAAGGCTTTACTCGATTATTCAAGTATAAAGAAATGGCAATAAAGAAACAACAAGAAAAAAAGGAAGCCAAGATGAATGCAAAGAATAATCCGATAACAACAGTAAGAAATAATAATGTAGCTGAACAACTGAATCTAATATTTATAACAAGGCAAAAAAGAACATCACCATTCAACCAGGTGAAAGATTAAAAGACTTTGTTCAGAGAGTAGAACATGAATATCAACAAGAAATGGTATCTGCATACAAGTCGACCAAATCGGCCAGCGAGAGTAAACGGCGTAATCGAGAAAAAAGGAAACAAAAAAAACTGGAAAAGATACAAAAGGAAAAAGAATTGTATGGCGGTCGAGATTTTGATGATTTGAAGGACAACGTCAAGTTTGGAGAGGTAGCTGATGCACCTCCTATATTTAGTAAATTACCCAAGGCACGCGGGCGTGGCAAAGAGGTATATATATATATATATACATATACATATATCTATGAAGCATACCAACATGTGGTTTGGGATAGACACTAGAACAAAAGACAAAGCAACAAGAAGAGAATGAAGATTCAAAGGGATATGAATCAGAAGAAGATGAAAACATGAAGCTATTGAAAGCATCTCACAAACGCAAGATTCAAAATATGAGTGCAGCGGCTCGCGCACAATTGGATAATGAAAGAGAACGAGCGATTGCCGCATATCGAGCAAAGAAAGCTGAAAAAATGGCACAAAATGCTTAAAGATACATATTCAATCCAGTCCACACGAAAATATATACATAAAATATAAAACATTCCCCAAAGACCTCTTTAAATATATAAACTCTTTGTCTCTTTTTACAACCTTTCTATCTTTTTTCTCTTGTTTTCCTAGCTTTTTTTTTAACATAATCCCTCTAAAAAAAATGCGTTTCTCCCTCGCTCTCGTTTCTTCTGCCTTATTGGCCCAATTGGCCCTCGCCGCTCCTGCCTCTCAATCCAACATGGCTATCCCTGAAGGTGATTTCAAGAGTGCTCAAGTGACTCCATTGAAAGTGCAAGAAAACTTTAGCGTGTTCCACTGGAAGAAGGAAGATGGTGAAGATGCAACTATCGACCGTGTCTTTTCTTTCGAACTTAATGAACCCGCTCAACTTCAAATCACTGATTACTTGAAGAGTAAGCATTAGAGTTTTGGTCTAAACTACAATAATAACACATATATCTAGGTGGTGATGTCTATGAAATCTCTGATAACGGTGAAGTAATTGGTGCTACTACCAAGGTTGATTCCTCTGAGGATGCTTATGCTATCACTCCTGAGCAAGCCTTGACCAAGAATGACTTTAGCAAGGGTATCTTCCCTCTCTCTGCTGGTAAGCACGAAATCACCATCAATGTAGACGATACCGCTGCCGAATCAGGATCCGGTGCCATTCGTCTTGTTCAAAACCTCCAAGCTCTCTACAAGGATGATGATGATGACAAGGATGATAAGGATGATGATAAGGATGATAAGTGGGATGATGACAAGGACCATGACAGCGATAGTGATGATGACAGTGATAGCGACGATGATGATGATAGTGATGATGATGACTGGGATCATGATGATGACGAATGGGACCACGATGATGATGACAAGAAGGGCAAGCACAGATATGGCCGTGGTAAGGGCAGAGGCAGAGGCAAAGGTTACGGCCGTCGTAAGGGCTATGGCAACGGCTACGGCAAGGGCTATGGCAAGGACCATCGCAAGGGCAAGGGCAAGGGCAAGGATAACAAGGGTATTCACAAGCAACATAATGACAAGGAAGACGAAGTCGTCAAGTACTACTATGTCTACACTACTGAAACTATTATGGATGAACAATGTGAACACTGTCACTTCCATGATGATGATGACAAGGGTGATAAGTACGATGAATACCATCATGATGGTCCTGCTCGTGGACGACTCCTCGTTGAAGAACCAGCCACTACAGTCGCCTCTACTTCATTCGTCACACTGTAAGTTTTTATTATCAAGCTACAGCTTTAACTAATATGTTTATTAGCACTCAAACTAGACTTGGTATGTTATCACTCCCATTCTTGACGATCCACTAAATTATAAACTACGAACGATAAATTATATTTATTTGTTTATTTTAACTTATAAAAATAAAATATAGAAACCCGAATTCGTCCTAATAGAAAAATAGAGCTCGGATCAAAAAAAATTTTGTTTTCTTTCTTTTTTTTTATATATATTTTGACAAGATGCATGAACTTAAAATTCATTTAGAAAATGATATGTTGATCATAAGAGGAAGTCCTGAGGAATCTGTAGGCTGCGTACTAAGAGGCTATGTGATGTTGAATACAAAAGAGACCTTGAAGGCAAAATCAATTCATTTGAATTTACTGGGTAAAATGAAAATACAATGGAATGAACGTAAGTATCTCTCTTTTTTTTTTGACTGCAAGATATATAATATATCTATAGGACATCAACAACAAAAAAAGGAAATCACAGTGATCCAACATCATTGGGCATTTCTACCCTCTCAAAAGAAACTACATACACTCACTCCTAACACGTATATCTATCCATTTGAATTGGCCTTACCTGGCAATCTTGCAGAATCGATCGATTCCTATTCGTTTGGCTCTTTGTCGTACAAGCTAAAGGCTACCATTGAAAGACCTGCATTCTTGCCTAATTTAATACACCGAAAACAATTCTGGATCATCCGCCACCAACCGGATCAAGCCTTGTTCATGGAGATACCCGTACAGATAACAAACGAGTGGACTGACAAATTGAACTATACGATCACTATACCCAAAAAGACATTTGCTCGTGGCCAAGATATACCCATCGACTTTTCACTCACTCCTATCGATACCAGCCTTCATGTTCGTTATCTATCTTGTTTCCTAAAAGAGTATTCAACTTACGATACACACACAGAGTCTAGAATCATTCGTTTCTTTCGTGATGAACATTTTCCCTCGACAGGGTTACACTGGCATAAAGTAGAAAGCATGACTGTTCCTTGTTCGCCCAGTGCGATACAGACAGACATAGACAATACTTACTTCAAGATTGAACATAAGCTCAAATTCACCATGTCTCTGATTAACGACCAAGGCGAACTGTTTGAACTAAGAGCTTCTTTGCCCGTACAGATTGTGGATAAAGCTTATGATGAAGATGATGAACTACCATCATATGAAAATGCTTGGCAATCATTGCTCTATAATGACTGTCACCTCTTATCTCCTCCTATTTCATCTCCCATCACACCTTCTTCTTCACCTACAATGGATTACTTTACATTTCAACCCGACACCATCTGTTGTAGACTACCTTCTTATCATACTATTAATTTAGAAGACACTTGTTTACCTGCATATGAATAAAAAATATCAAATATGTGTGTAGTGTTGTAAAGCCAAGAATTTATTATTATATTAGGATGACAATGAAATGAGAAATGATTAACTTAAATTAATTTTTTGTTTAAAATACGTAAGGGACAAGGATATAAGGTACTCTTTCACAGTATCTTTCCCAATCCTTGCCATACTTTTTAGCGCATCGTTCCATATCACGACTGGCACGATGAGTCAAGACGATGACAAAGAAGGTAAAGTAAAAGTAAGGCAAGTAAGATCCAAACCCGGTGATCAAGCCCCAAGAAAGAGACTGAATCAAGTCAGCTGTGTAGTGTGGCTTACGGACAATACCCCACCAACCTGAGGTCAACAAGAGATTGCCGTGCTCTGTCTTGATGTAAGTAGGGTTCTTGATGTGGCTCCAAGGCAATTGAGGGAATGCTTTACGAGTCATGAAGGATCCATTCTGCTCCATACGGAAACGGTTCTTCTGTGCGTTACCCGTGTCAAAGAAGTAGTAAGCAAAAAGAAGAGTGATAAAGAGAGCAATGGTGACAGGCAAAGAGTGTTGAATGCGTACGCCCTTGATCAATTCGGACTTCAAGAGGTAGATAGGAGCGTAGCAGTAAGTGAAGGGGACACCAGCCATGTTCCAAAAGATAAGCATGAAACCTATATCACCCTTAGCTTTTTTTTTTCTTCATATAGATTTTATATACACTTACCATCCTTTTCATAAAAGATATCCCAAGACGTAGGAATACATTCCTCACCCTTTTGACAGGAATTACAGTATAACCAGTGAGCAAGGACCATGAAAGCAACAGGAGCAGTTACTGAGCCAGTTGTTTCGTACTGCTTGAGTGCACAAGATACAGAGATGTAAAAGAGAACAGGCCATGGCACACGTGTTTCGGCCCACATCTTGAGGTCGACGTGTCCAATACGAGGGTTTAAGGGTGCTCCCATGAAAAAATCGTAGATGATGTTACCAGACATACGATGTTGCTTTCCAGTGATGACGGCACTTAAGAAGACAAGAGTAGACATGGTGAAGCCCCAGATAATGGCTACGGTCATGATGCTTCCAAAGTTTTCAATAATAGCCGTCAAACGGAAGACGCCAGTGACATGGAAAACAGCTGAGAGAGCCATTGTAAGGTACCAGAAAGCTAAACCATTGCAAAGGTACTTGAGCTACAATACGAGATCCGCGTTATTAGTCTTTTTTTTTTTACAAAAAAAAAAAATTACCTTGCCACCCTTTAAAGAAGGAAGAGGAAGGCCCTCGACAACGGGACCTGGCAAGAAGTAAGCACAGAGAAAACTGTAGAGAACAAAGCCCATATAGATCTTGATGGCAATGGGTGTAGGAGCAGCACCCATTTTGACCTTTGATACGATATTTGCGACGAATTCAACAATTCCTTCCTTGGTGAATGATGAGGGCGTAATCAGTGAGCCTTGATAATACTCAAGACAGACCCAAAAGTAATACATCAAACAGGGGAACCCAAGCATCATACCAAGTGCACCCAAGGGCCCACCAAATTCATAGACGACTTCATTATCCAGCTTCTTGTCCAGCTCGGTTATTTTGTTCTTGAACAATGGAACACCATTGCTATTGATACCAGACTTTAAGTTTGTCATGGTTACAGAGTTATGGAAGAAAACAAGAAAAAAAAAATTAGAAATTACAAAAATCTTTAATATATCTTTTTGGAAACGTTACACACATCGTCGGCACATTTATTTTCCCTTGATGAAATCATATAAAACAGGAAAATTTAAAAAATCAACACGATCTGCTCTTCACTGTTTGCCATGATTTTAAAAGAACAAAAGGAAATCACGTCCTTGGAGACGAATTAGGATGATATAACTTTATGTTTTTTGGCACTTCCTTTTGTGCTTCGCTCATTGCGCCGTGTCGGAGCTGTAGACAGAGAATTTTGCGGGATTTATGACAGACGCACGCGCGCGCGTGTAAACACACACACAGCCCCTCAACTGTTTCCCCTTCTCTTTCCTTCCCTGCCCACTGGTTCTCTTTTGCTTATTCATCATTTTTAAAAATTGACTTTTGCACTCTTCATAGAAAATAAATAAACAAAAGAGAGAGGTTATGTGTTGCTCTTTTGCCAGGGCATGTCTACAGACTACTAGTAAAAATGACATATAGTATTCTCTTTATACTGGTATTATGAGCGGATTTTCAAATTATATTGGCTGTTTTTGTGTACATTTGGCCCTTTATTCTCGTTGAATCAAATTATAAAACTGTACATTCTGTAAATATGTTACACAAATCGCATAAGCAAACAATAGCGATCATTCAAAATGCACCGGGCTCATATGTCGTCATTGGATCCCCAGGACAAAAACTTGCTATACACTTGACAAAGCTTCGGAGCAACTGTGGCGTCGGCAAAGGGTTGTAAAGTATGACACCATGCAAAAGAATGCATTTTGTCAATCATAGATCTGCCCCGTGATATATCAGTCTTTGATGTTCATTATCTGGCAGACCGAAAGAACAGGTTCTTTCACTTTCACTTTATCGTTCTTTACAATACTATAAAGAACAATTATAAAAGGCTTTCTGCTCCCAATTCAAAAATCATCCCGTATCCTCTCTTTCTCTCTTCAAATTTGAGGTAATATTAAAAATAAATCAGCTTGGAATAGATGATCATGCCGTTACACTAGTAGGGTCATTGTTGTCTGTAAAAGGTAATGATGATGTCTTTTTATTCCACGTCAGTTGTATAGTAATAGCGTCTTTCTTCTATAAATAACCTTGCTTCTCTCTCTTTTTTTTCATTCAGAGGCCCATTAGCGTATTTTTTTCTTTCTTTTGTTAATCGTTTATTTACATTCTGTTGTTCAAATGGACGCCAAGGTTACCAAAGTATCCAAAGCACCATCAGATTCTAAACAAACTACGCCTCTTCCAAGCTGTTCATCAGAGAGTCAACCCCCTTTATCAAGACCAGAAACGCCTAAAGCAAAACCAATCAATATTCCTGGAACGATGAACAAGAAGAGAAGACTCTCTGATTGTTTATATGATGACGACTTACAACTACAAAAACGTAAAGTAAATCGACCTCTGTTTATTGTCGGAAGTTTTGAAGAAGATAAACCACCTGTGCCTTGGCCTCCTATGTTTGAGTCTATTTGTCTTAACCCTAGCCTTAACTGGGAAGAACAAGAAGGTGATGCCTTTTCAGATAGGTATACGTCTGATCTGATCTTTTATATGGATGACAGTGATGACGCTAGCAGCTGTGGCGATGAGTTGATTGAGTTTTATTGAATAGCATTATTAATTGATTACATATACATATTTATACCTAATACAGCATTTTTACATATCTTATATATATCATAAATAAACAACTTTCTTTGTGTGCATATTTAAACTTGGCGTTAAAGAAGTATAAAGATTATTATTTTACCCGTAGTAACAATGCTCATTACAGGAAAATCTTTACACCAGCAAAAGATATCAGCACACTCGGATAACTCAGTTGTATCTACCTCAGAGACACTTTCGATACCCCAGGAAAACAAAGCTTTATATCCAAAACCAATACATGCACTCACTCACATATCTCAAAAAGGCCTCTGTACTGTTTTTTTTTCTGTTTTGCTATTGAAACATTCGTCATGGCTTTTTAAGTCTAATTTACACTTTTTTATTGGTGGCCTGGAAATTTCAAACCAATGGTGATATTTTGAAAGGCGGACTTCAATCTATGCTACACAAGCCTTTTTTAAGTTGCTCTCCCCCTCCTTCCATTCTATATTTATACTTCTTTAATATTCGATACACTTTTAAAACTTATGGACATATACTCACTTACAAAAAAGAAACGGCCTTCGCAGTTAACCATAGCACAGCCTTCCTCTCAAACAGACAGTTCAGTAGATAACACAACACCCACAAAGCTAATGTCTGATCCAATCTCTGAAGAAGTGACAGGACCACCGACAAGAGATCATTGGAAGGTAAATGTCAAGAAATAACAAAAAAAAGGAGGTAACCAGAAAAACCAAAATTATACATTATAGCCAGATTCAGAAGCCAATAGTTGTGGCTATTTAGGCTGCCCAACCTATTTTGGATTATTTGATAGAAGACATCACTGCCGAAAGTGTGGTGACATTTTTTGCTCAGCTCACTGCTCCAACTACTTTAGACTAGATCAAGACGCTCGATTCCATCTTCAAGGTATTTTATCCCGAGGATGTAACACATGTGCAGAGGAGTACAAGCAATGGCAAGAAGAACTGCGGCAGAGAAGAAATATTAGAAAGAGCCAAGACAATATGAATGCAAGCAAGGCAAATTTAAAAAAGAGAAATCCTGGTATTATGACACAGCAACCACAAGCGATGGAAGGTATAACTGAACTTGGTCGTGATGGTAGGTTACTTTTTTTTTTCAAGTAGATCCTTTTTTTTTTTTTTGGCTCATTCGTTTTTGATAGATGTTGTATCTAAAAACATTACCATCAATAACAAATCAACGAAAAAGGAACATGGTAAGTTAAAGTGATGTTTTTTTTATTGCTCTAATCCCTTCTTTTTCTACTTTTGCATAGCCTTCAATCCAATTCCTTCAGTTCCAGCAGATTGGCAGTGGTCTACGTTTTAACACAAAATAATTATAACTGCTTGTCAGCTATCGGATTTGCATGAATTGTAACAGACTTTATACGGAATTCTTGGAGTGGCCTATACTTTTCATCCACCGGCACTTTTTCCATTACATCTAATGTTGAGTCGGCACCATCAATGACTCTACATGTGAATTAGAATCATACTCTTTTTTTTAGCATAAACTTGTATTCTTTTGAACATACTTTCCAAACACTGTATATTTTGTGTCTAAATGAGGGTGTTTTGCATAGGTAATGAAAAATTGTGATCCATTTGTATTTGGCCCTGAATTCGCCATGGAAACTATACCGCGTGCATTATGCTTGGATAATGTGAATATAATGATAATAATAACAAATCTTTGTTACCTTTAACGTAGACCTGATTTCATCATTAAACTTCTTTCCCCAAATCGAATTTCCTCCTTTTCCCGTGCCTGTAGGATCACCTGTCTGTTTTTTGGGATATTAGTAAGAGGAACAAAAATGCCATAGGACGTACTTGTATCATAAATCCAGGTATATTTCTGTGAAAAGTGTTGTTGTCATAATATCCACTTGCACATAAAGCGAGAAAGTTCTTGAAAATAATAGTGAGAAATAAAGCAAGTTATAACAGCATGTATATACCTCTGCTGTCTTTGGAACAGATTCACAAAATACTTCAATCTTGAGATCGCCGAGATCAGTGTGTAAAGTGACAGACTAATGCTCATGAATTATTCCATTCATTTTGTTTGATTATTGACATTACCATGTTTTTAAATAAAAAAGAAAGAGAAAAAAAAAAAGATTAAAATCTCGGTCTTTTTTTTATATTGTATTTAAAAATCATTTATGTCCACTATCTTGTTTTAAAGTATTTAAAATCACTCAAGTCCTAATTGCCTTCTTCTTTCTTTGATAATTGCCAATTGTTCATTTAAAACCTTTTGTGAGTCTTGAACTGGACTATACCAAAAGAGCAATGTCAGGTTATCCTTAGTAGCATGATATGTGGTCTCTGGTGTCAATTCTTCTAAGGGTTTATCGAGGTCTACCCATTGTGCATCAGGCCTCATTTCATCACCAACTTCCCATTTTCTCATCAACTTATCTGTCAAGTGCAGTCTATGTGTTGTGATGTTGTGTCTTTCTATTACTGTTTTATTAAAAATAGATTTCAGAAAGAGGATAAAATTATGACGTGTATGAAAAAAATAATTGGCGCATATTAAAAAAAGTATTTATGCAAAGGTTAAAAATAAAATGTGTGCAAAAGGAGACGACATACAAATGAAAATAACAAGTACCAAGGAGAGAATATAAAGAATTATACAGTTAGCTATGTAAGAAAATTATTACATACAACTTACCCCGAAGGCATCTAGATGTGTCCTAGCGATAACTAGGACGGAGAATCATCGTCTAAACGTATTCTAGTTCTTGGTTGCTCCTGATCGTCCACTCTTCTTCGACGTTTTGTAGGAGCAACAGCAACCCGGCGAAACCTATGAGGAACGATGCCATTACGTCGAAGCTCACGAAGGATGTGCATGTAGTTGAGACAAGCAGCAACATCCCTGTTCCATAATCGATATCTATCTAGTGCTGCCATGGCGGGTCTACAGTATAGATTGGTGCATCTACAAGCAATGTTCAATCAGTATAAAATCATCCAAGTGGTTAATATATTATTACCTTAAAAGACCATGGCAGATAGCAGTAGGATATCGCTCACGTTGATACGGTCGTGGATTTGGAACACAACGGAACGTGCGGAGGCTTTCGTTGTGGCATGTTGGACAGCGCCTACTGGCCTTGTACTCGTCTATAAGAAAGACTTGAAACCCATGCTTCTTGAGGAGTCTTCGGAAGCCAAGGCCACGGATGGGCTCATGATACCTAGCATGGGGAGCGGACCAGTTTCCCATCACAAACACAGCATCTTCTCCAAACTTGGCGTGTAAGTCTTGAATAAGCCTTTGATCGGCACGTTGTTTGTTGAAGTACGCTGAAAGACGGATCTTACGAAAGAGGGGGAATCCATTATCATGATTTGTGATGGTATGTCCATAGAATTGACTGAGAACAGCAAACTGTTCAGATCTAGCTTGAAGGAAGCGGATAAAGCCCTCCATGGATACGGTGCTGCTTGGCTGGCGGCTGCGGTAATCTCAGGCTACACTTTATTAATCCTGAAGCAGAGATCGCACCTAAAATCGTTGTTGTTTGTGCTCGAGTTTTGGGCACTGTGACCACAGCAGGCAATCCTTTTTTTGACCAGGCCATACTACGCTTTAAATTAATATGAAATGCAAGCTCATCGAGAAAGACGCAGTTAGTTCTAAAGTCCATGCCCGTACACTCCCACTTATGAACCCAGTCAAAACGCTCCTGAATTTTTTTCTTCACTATTCCTATCTACAGGCTGAAATTGGGCTTCTTTGAGTGACAAATTACATTCAGTTCTTACAAAATTGTAGACAGTGCTTTTAGAGACCTTGAGATCCTGAAAATTTTGAAGTAGTCGCTCTATCACTTGCTCCAAGACGGCTGAAGGATTCTCATCTATATACTCCAAGACCACTTGCTTGTGTTCTTCTTGAAGTATACGCGAGCGACCGGTTTTCTTATGCTTTATAAAAACACTATCAGGATCCGTTTTGTACATTTGAGCCCATCTTTGAGCTGTGCGAACATGAATACCTAATTGTTTTGCAGCAGCTGAAGCACTCATAACTTTCTCAAACATCAGTTTAAAGAATCTAACTTTGTCTTGATCCGTATAGAGTGTGTACGCTCGCTTACTCGACGCCTCCTTCATGCAAACATCTGGGTCATCTTTTGCATCTTCATCTGCCACAGAGCCTACATAGAAATAATTCTCCTGAGGCTGATTATACAAATACTGAGTATGTGAACTAATTGTTTCTAAAGCATATCGCTCTTCGTCAATGATATAGTCCATAGGCTCAGGTCTACCGTATTCATCAACTGCATTACCGTGCCCGTCTTCGTAGAAAATTTGAAAGCTCATATTGTAATACTCGGTTTTTAATGAGAAAGGAAGTAAAAAAAAAAAAAGAAAAAAGAAAAAATAAAAGAGTAAACGATGCTTTCGTGCTTAATATACTCACATTTTGTACGACAGGGCTCCTACATATACGACACTCAATTTGTCAGCAAGCGAAATCAGCCAATGGTTTACGTGACAATAGAATTTAACGAACGCGAATTTTACTCTTGGCATCAGTGTCAATAATTTTTGGAAATACTGTATATCAAAAGCACTACTTATTTTCATAATCTGTATCACCCCCTATAGCAGAAGAGAAAAAGAAAGCCAAAATAAAAATCTCGGTCATTTTACATGTATTTTTTTTTCAATCCAATCAATTTGTATAGAAATGCTTTATTAAAAAAATCATAGTTGTCGCTAAAGACTTGTATACATAGAATATATTTTTTTGCAGTAAGATGCTTTATTTTAGTTTAAACTAGCTCTTTGTACACACTCTCATGGACTGTTTCATCTTTATGTCACTTGATCTATTTGTTTCGGGTCAATGCGTTTTATTCAGTGTATTTCCGTTGTTTACTGTCTATAATAGATCAGGACGTGATACATGATTCAATTGATTCTTTTTAGAACAAAAAAAAAGACTTGCAAAGCTTTTTATTTATACACTATTTACATTTAAAAAAAAAATAATAACCAGCATTATTTTTTTATATATAGAATCTATTGCTAAGCAGCTATCTTTTCGGGCATTGGATGCACACGTTGGTGATAGACAGGCGCAGTCATTGATGGCCATTTGTCATGATGATAAGTAGGTGAAGGAGCAGTAATATCCGACTGATTATACAATTCATTAATAAGACTGATAGATTCATTTAGTTTATATATATATGCATTTACCTTTTCTTTTAACAAAGTCTCTTTATGAGGAGAGATGTGAATAAAATGTGTACCTTGCCCCTTTGGTACACGCTGAGCTACGCCGTTTGCATCCAGAGTGACTTCATATACAGTTTCCTAGTAATTTATTTAATATTCCTATTTATTGAATTGACAAGTTCAATACCTTTTCAGAAAAGGAGCAGTGAGACATACAACAACCCATTAGAAGAAGAAAAAACAGAGAGAGAAAGAAAGATAAAGAGGAGAAGAAGAGAGAGAAGGAGCTTTTAAAGCATATGCCATAAATACACATTTTGGTTACACTTGTCAAAACAATGTGATCCGGGTTACTGATCAAAATAAGAATGTTTCCTAGAGACTCTAGATTATGTCATCTTCATCGTTATAGTCACTCCATTCATCCGCGTCGACCTATCATAATAAATAAGAGCATCCTATTTAGATTCCATATTACAAACCTCTCTTTCTTCTACAGCAGCTATCATCGCTGGAGGTTCCCAGACGAGTAAATCCCCCGCATTTGAGCCACTGTACAGCTGTTGATGGGATTCCCTGTTTTCAACAGACGTCACTCTTCCATAAGCGCCCTTCAGCCGTTTGACAAGCATGCCGTCTGTAAGACGATAGACAAGAACCTGTCTGTCATCACTGGGTATATAAAGCAGAGGAGGCCAAACGTCTGGACTTGACAAGGCAGGTTGCAAACATAGCTTAAATCGGTTCCTCCAGCTGGATCCGTAATTTACAAAAGTGTTGTGCCCAGATTGTGTGTTCCATAGTCGGATCTTCTCATCTAGTCCGAGTGACACCAAAAACCTTCCATCATTTGTTACTGTCAAACCGTTGATGCCTCGACCGTGTGCACTATTTGTTTCGCCAAGTGGATTTTGATCGACTGTGATTAAGTTAATATCATTACCCCTTATGTATATATTCCTTTTAATGACTTGCCTGCATTATTTTGATCCAAGGACATTAGACAAGAAGACGCCTTTCTTATATCCCATACGCGTATGGTTCCGTCTGACCTATGCTTTGTAAGATATACTTGTAATCCATTCCAGTGAATGACTCACCCCCCTGAATACAAAATATATTCTTGATTGGTAGACCAAACACAGGACATCACGGACCCAGCATGACCAGTTAATGAATGAGTAAAGGACCCATTCGCCAGGTCACACAGTCTGATTCTGGGTTCAGCCGCTGCAGCTTAATTAACGGCAAGTTACTATAAAAAGTCAAAGTAATAATTTGTTCAACTTACATGCTACCAGTGAATGACTGGCAATACCTGACATGGCTTGACAATGAACGCGACATTCCATATTAAACTCCTCCACCGCCTTCTTATCATTAATAACTTTCTCTCTCCCCCTTATTTTTAAATTAAAGGTTACCTTCATTTCATTTGTATCCCATACTTTGATCGTAGAATCATAACTTGACGTGACAAATAGACCATTATCAGCTGGATACCAAGAAAGAGAAGTAACAGCATATTTGTGCTGATCCATTCTAAACATGGATTCATTCATTACATATTTACACTTATATTTATATATATATCTACCTTGCTGCACTCGCAATAGGTTCATTTTTCTCTGTCATTGAATCCAAATCATAGATATGTACTTTACCATCACCACCTCCTGATAATAAACTACTAAATGATCAATACTTGTTCATTATAATTATTATTATTACAAACTGACTATCTCTGTTCACTATTATCAATTCTTATACATGTCACCCCACCTTTTTAATAATAAGTATATATTGTATATCCTAGTTATAAAAAAATACCTCGGTGAGAAAGTGCGAATTCCTTGGTTCGACTTAGTTCTAAATCATAAACTCTCTTTGTTGTTTCTGCTCTTTCTAGTCTTATAGGTCTTATTAAACCATACTGCCTTTTTTTGATAAACCCATACATAACTCCAAACAATATAAAAAAGAGAACTACGAACAGTGGTTTTTCCAGTCTGTTTGCGTATCTGATTTTTTGTGCCCCGACGATTGTAACACGAAATTTTTCTTTATCGTCCAACAGCACACTTTACAGTCATATTGTCGGCTACAAAAAAAGTAATTGTCGAAAGACAAGATTTAATTTTGTCTGTTAATGCAGTTCCTTTTGTCGTTCCTTTTTCCTTTTCTTTTTCTCAAACTTTTGAAATCTCTACAATGACAAATACTTTTTATTTCAAAGATGGAATGGATAACCTTTTTGATGAGTATGGTGAAAGAGTTTATGATTCCATGGAAGGCGTCTTAACAGAAATTACAGGTTCAAACATTGTACTTGAAACAATAACTAGCCGCAGGAGTTATTTAGCTAATAAACCTGCTGAAAAGGATATTATAGTGAAAGAGACTAAGGAAACAAAAAATTTAGACGATAAGTCTGCCAAATCAGCAGTTTATAACACTTATACAGACAAGCAAAGAGAGGATTTTATTGATAAAATGATTGAGCATCCTGAAGAGAAAGGAAATATCACTAAATTTTCTAAAGAACTCTTGATTAACCCACGCACTGCGGAAAGATGGTGGAAAACATACAAAAAGACGGGAGAAGTGCCCTATAAATATATTTTATATCATGTGTTAATTTTTAGCGTGATAGCATTCACTGACTTCATAATAAGTACCATCCTCTCTTATGCCATAGCTTACATACTTGTTTATTTTCTCTGATTTACAGTAGTTCCATTGGTCGTCTTTAAGAGATTTGTCTTCATTTATGTCAAATTTATTGAGTAGCAATTGAATTGTCTTTAACATCTTTTCGTTAATATCAGCACCAATATATACAACATCTGTGCCATTTTCTAGTTTTTTGATCTTTACTTCTTGAACAACTTTCAATTTATATCTTTTTATGTTTTTCAAATCTTCAAAATATACATATAACATAGCAACCTCCTATAGTAGTAAAAAGAAAAAAAAAATCACATTTTATTTTTAACCTTTAAAAAAAAACATATTTTTAAAGCTTTTAGTTTACGTGACCTCCAGAATTATGTGACAACCTCTTCTCTCTTATATGCTTATGTACTTCTTTATAAACTTCTTCATTGTCTTGCCCATCATACCTAATGAAAACCTGTTCCTCGCCATTACCAGTCTTATAGACATGCCTCTCATTTAGAACCTCCAGTTCTTCATCTCCATCAGCAACTATGTAATCTGAGTCTGTTGTTAAGATCACCACCCATCTCCTCTTCCTCTTGTCAACAAAAATGCTTCCTTCTCCTTCAATATTATTGTCCTTCCTAAACTTAACAATATAATAAACTTTCATAAACTGTATCACCCCCTATAGTAGATAATGATTATAATTTTATTTTTAACCTTTGCGTAAATACTTTTTTTAATATGCGTCAATTATTTTTTTCATACACGTCATAATTTTATCCTCTTTCTGAAGTTTATTTTTAATAAAACAGTAATTGTTTGTGACAATAGGATTAAAACATATCGGGATACAGACTATTAAAGGGAGAAACGTTTCAGCTAAAGAAAATAAAGTACTTGTTAAAATCGGGTATCGGGATCAAATCAGTTTAATACTTATCTAAATACTACGCTCTAACAATATGATAAAGGGAAAAGAAAACTCTCTGCATCCGTATCCAAATATGTTGAAAGATGAATAAAGACGACATCACTCAGCGCCTATGGTTAATGGGTAGCGCGAAATCTAATCCATTAAGACGGTGAATGACTTGGCAGAGGGGACAGAATCACTTCAAACTGCTATCTTTGTTGAAAGTATGCAATTTTATAGTAATCCCGTGGTCTTCTTACAATAATTGCTCTGCATCCGTATCCAAATATGTTGAAAGATGAATAAAGACGACATCACTCAGCGCCTATGGTTAATGGGTAGCACGAAATCTAATCCATTAAGACAGTGAATGACTTGGCAGAGGGGACAGAATCACTTCAAACTGCTATCTTTGTTGAAAGTATGCAATTTTATAGTATTTCCGTTAATTATTGTTTCCCAAGGAGTATGTTTTGTTGAAAAGCTTCAAATTTATAAAACATGTGTTCAAGCGGCTATTTTTCACAAATTTTATTTGATGACGTAATTTGCTGATGAAATATGACTTGAATCGAGAGGCCGATTGATTGACTGAAAGTTTATGAAGATAGACAAATATATTCTATATTTGCTATAGAGTATAAACTATTTTACAGACTTGTTTTAGAAGAAATAAAGATAATGTTTTATTGATAATTCGTGTATACTTAAGCTTGGTACATCAAGTTATGAAGTGTTTATTTTAAGATCGTATAAAAATAAAGAAAGTGTCGATATTTAGTTAGCCTTCCTTTAGCCTCAATAGCTGCTTCACATCTTCCCTTCATACTTCTAGCTAAATCACCAGCAAATTCAACACCCATCTTGTTTGTTCTCCTTACATGGACGCCTTTAATTGATTCACACTATAGATAAATGGCCTTTTCTTTTCAAGAGTATTCTAAGCATGTTCGATAGGGTTCAAATGGGGTCTTTATGAGGGACAGTATTCAAAGCTTTTAATCTAGTGTTTTTCCTTCCATCATCGCACATAGCCGCCAGTTGTGGCAGCTAGCTCCATTCTCTTGGAATATAAAGCCCCTGCCCTCTTGCTGACAAAGTTACGTGAACCAAAGGTAAAAGCTTTGGTTTAAGATATTTATTTATTCGTCGTGATCAACTGCACCATCAATCAAGACCAAAGAGCCAAAACCCTTTTCATGAAAGCAGTTACATACCATCACTCCAATTTTGCCATACTTCTTTACCGATACAATATGTTTAGAGCTATATCATTCACTAACCCTTCTGATGACTCTGACGCCATCACCGTTACCGGTAACGCTGAGCTGAGATTCACCGCTCCAAATGACACTAAGTCATTGTTCATCCGTTCTGTGGACATGCTCATGAGCTCAGTATAGCCTTTTCCTCATGCGACCTTCTGCCAATACTGGTTTATGAACATCAAAATAAGAACCAAGCTCTATCCTCTTCAAAAAGTTAACAACAGTTTGTCTACAGACCTTTACACCTACTTTATGCAACTCTAATCTCAAACGGTCGCATGTTACGAATGGATGATCTATCGCTTTCGTAAGCAGTCTCTATGACCTCTCATTGATTTTACGGGTTCTACCTTTTGTGTTGGTTAATAGAGACGATCCAGTCTTTTTTATTCTATCAATTGTGTTTTATACTGTTGATTTTAGCCAAATTGACTATGTTTGCAATGTCGTCATACGATTGTCCTGTTTTTCCAAGATAATAAATACCTCAACACTTTCTTTATTCGCGAGACTGAAAAGGCGCATGTTCTTTAGCTGATGCATTTTCATCTGACATGGATACTTTATACAATATCAAGAAATAAATGAATTTATAAAACAACACAATTTTGACTTCAATTTTTATTAAGTACGAATTCTATTTACGCCTAACTAGCAGGTGTTAAGATTGTTTTGAAGAAGACTGTGTAGCCAATAATTCTTGCATTTTTTGTTGTGTCTAATCATAGTGAGTTTATGCATATGAGATGGTTCAATATTTACCTTGGACGTGAGATAATGAAAAACTGCTTCCTTTACCCATGGTTGTTTATAGAATTCAGTTTGACGTACATCCTCTAAGTTGACCTTGGTCTCTCCAAGCACAGCCTATAAATGACATTAGTATATATAGTCTATTTTCATTTTGATCGTACTTCTATATCTCTTGCTTGGCTATGAATCCATTTATTGATAAACTCGATGGGATGGGAAGAAAACTGCATCAGAAAGTCCCGTTTCATCTTGGAGTTATTGATACTTTGTACACACTGAACAATCTTATCGTCCAAACTTAGAATATCCTTTTGCACTTGTGAAGCAGCGACAACATTCATCATCTTTTGTTTAAGCACGCTGTCCAGTTCAACATCAACATCATATGCCTTGGATGACATGTTGAACCGTTTATCAACACGAATAGTGTATTCTAATACAATAGGATCTGGTTGTGTCACCTGTCGTTGGATCAATTCAGGTATTTCATGAAATTGTAACTGAGTTGCATTAAAGATTGCCTGCATCTTTCTGTCACAATGGATAATGCGTTTGTCTTTAGCGTCCTGGCAGTTGTGTAGTTTGATATAATTCCACAGCTCTGACACGATATGAGACTTGGTCGCTAGCTTGAGTCCCGTCAGTTCAGATAAGGCAGGCGTCAGCTTGAATTTCTGAGGTGTATAGTCTGGAACGAGAATGATGCGTACGTTGACATTGGTATCTCCTTTACGCTTTACTTCAATACCATCACTTTCCACACTTGATGGTTGTTTACGCCATTCAATTAAATTTCCCTCTGGATATTTTTCTGGATCAAGTTCAACAATAATTGATTTAAAAAAGGATGTGAACTTTTGTACAGGTTGAGCCTTCTTTGTTGGAATCAGTGGCTACAAGAAATATTAAGAGATGTATCTTTGTAAATTTTGAGGCAGCTTACATCCAGCAATCGCCCTTCGATCTTTAATGTCCAAGAAGGTTCATTTTCACTATTGATCTCAAACACTTGTCCATCCACTTCTTCTTCTTCCTCTTCTTGATGTAACTGATCTGCTGCTGTATTGGAAATAAAAATACGCATGGTTCGTTTCACCTTGTTTGGTTTTCCAAGTGCTTCTTGAATCTCTAATCGTTTTCTCATTATGGCTGTATCCATATTTCTCTCAAACTGACATAATTCTTCATATAATCTTGATTCTGGTACATAGGCTTCAATCTATATATATACATGATTAAATACACACATGTGTCTAATTAGACATGGTTTACCTTGGGTGGTATATTGCGATCTACAGGACGCTTTTTTCTATTTTATGTTATTCATTGTTGTTACTTGTTTTAATAATAGTATTTACTTGATATGATTGTCTATCGAATCCTGTTCTGTTCTCTTTCTATACTGGATACTTTGAGTGTTTAAACTAGAAGGTTGCATTTTTATACAATAAAAAAAAGAAAAAATTTATTTTGTTTAAAAAAATGTCATTAAAGCAAAGCAAGCATAAAACAAGCCTACGGGATAAGCAACCAAAAACCGTTGTTCGTTCATATGAAGTACACTCACAAACATCCCTGAACTAGAATAAGTACACCAGAGAATACTGATGATCGTTAAAAGAGTACCAACAATGGTATCCAACTTGAGAAAGACACTGAGTCCACTGAGCATGACCATGGGTAACAAACAGTAACCGAGCACACTGGCTGTTCTAGATCCATCAATACCATTCTCACTCATCAAATTCAGGATGAGATAAATCGATAGCACGCCAAGGACGCCCACACCGTAGATATAGCCAAAGTGCGCCTTTCGAGATAAAAGTAAAAAGGTGCCAAATAAGAAAATAAACAAGAGTGGCCCTGCCAGATCAGTATCATCCATAATAGTACTTGGAACAGTGCGAAATGGGTTGAGGACAGTTAAACTCTGTATTTTTGTCTTTAGTAACTTTTTTTTTTCTAATATAAATACAACTATCTAACCTTGGTCTTGATATGTTCAAAGTTTAAACCTAATTCCTCCAACAATGGTGGTTCATCTGCATATCCTCCTGTTCCAAACGCGCTCCAAAAGGAGCCAGAATTTGAAAATTCATAATTAGTCGAACGCATGTCACCAGCTGGTGGACTTGCATAGTAATTAGTACTGTATTGATCTCCATAACTTGACGAATAAAACTGCAAGTTATCTCCACTTGTAGGCTGTGCGTAATATTCGTTTTGATTATCGAAAAGTACAGAATGAATTGGCTGCTTTGAAGTCATCTGTTGTTTGAAAAGAGAAAAAAGGAAAGCCAAGTTTTACTATTTATTTAAAGTCAGAGTCATCATATGCAATTGAATTCAAGTGAAAGGAGGAAAAAGAATACTGTTCATACAAGTCACAGTAAGCTTGTCTTGGTTAAAAAGAAAGAGAGGGTGTCTTTAAAGCCATGCTGAATGACTTGCTTTATCCTTCGTTCTTAAGGATTACTTGCTCATTTGGACACCCAAAGATATATATACATGATTCAGGTTAGGACATACACTATCACTAAAGCAAAGACAACCACGATCTATTCTTTGACAGATCCAAATTAGTAACTTGACAGAGCCTCTGGCCAATAAAACAGCTCCACAGCATTGTTCTCCATTTTTGTAAAAAAAAAAATCAAACTTACAATGTCATAGCGTGATACCTGCGCCTCCATCTGCATCACTATAAGTAATACTATCACAACAAGAAGATTCTTTGCTGTCCCCAACACATCAGCCATAGTTGGCCTGTCGATCTGAAGAGGAGTATAATGGAATCATTTAATCACGCACTATTTATCTTTTTTTCTTCATCTTCGTATGAATACTTGTATTGACTATCTTTTTTTTTCACTTTTGCTTATTCCTCTTTAATAAACAGCACTGTATGTCCAAAGCTTACATGTTTATGCAGCAATGGATCCGCCAAGCCCTTCTTACGATACCTGATTTGGACGACTTTTTTCTAGTGAACAAAAAGAAGTCGGAATGTAAAAAATCAGGGATGCGCAAAGCAGCACAATTGAACATAATTCTCTTTTTTTTCTTCTTCTTATTCCTTTCAATGAGTGGCTTCTTTGGCTCAAACGATACAACTTCAAAATGGGGAGGTTACTTGAAACAAGCAATTAACAATGTAGAAACAACATTTGACTCTTTACTTGAGCAACCGCCCAATCAACCAAAAGATGCTAAAAGTAACTTAATACATGCTCAGCTTTTCTTTTAACCAACGTCTCTTTTTTATTGATAGACGATGAAACAGAAACATGGCTTGACCCTGTTACTGGTATGATTACTACTATCGAGAAGAAGAAGCCTCAAGCACAGCCACAGCAGCCTAAACGTCAAGATTCAGATCTTTCGAGTCGCTTAGCTGCCGTTGTTGCGACAGATAATTCAAAAAAAAAGAAGAAAAACTTACAAAAGAATACAGAAAAACCAACAGAGAAGCCAACAGAGAAGCCAACAGAGAAGCCAACAGAGAAGCCAGCAGAGAAGCCAACAGAAAAGCCAGCAGAGAAGCCAACAGAAAAGCCAGCAGAGAAGCCAACAGAAAAGCCAGCAGAGAAGCCAACAGAAAAGCCAGCAGAGAAGTCAGCAGAAAATTCGACAGAGGAGCCGACAGAAGAGCCAGCAGAGAAGACAATAGAGAAACCAGAAGAAAAGTCAACAGAACAGCCAGCAGAAAAGCCGACGGAACAGTCAACAGATCAGGTAACAGAGCATCCAGAAGAACAGCCAAAAGATCAGCCAAAAGGACAGCCAACAGAAACACCAAGCAGTGTAAAAGAAGAGATTAAAGAAAAAGATGATAAACAGCAAGAAAACAACAAAGAAAACAAAGACGGCAATGAGCAACAAGAAGAGAATAAGGACGACCAAGGGATGATAGAAAAAGAACAACCGGAGCAAAAGAAGCATGATAGTAATGATATACCAAAAGAAGAAACAGCAAGCATAAACATTTCAAAGGAATTACTTGAGCAGCGAGAAAAGCAGTTACTACAAGCGATGGAAACAATTGCCAAGTTACACGACCAGATCCATCAATTGACCGAAGAAGCTGCTCAGGATGAAGCCAACTGGAAAAAACAAATCGAGGAAGCCAAGTCAGGGTCGAAGCGGGAAGCAGTCATAGAGGATTTGAAAAAGCAACTGGCGGCTAAAGATGAACAGATTCAAGGACTACTTCAAGAAGGCGAAAAATTATCCAAGGTTGAGTTAAAGCATTCGACAACCATCAAGAAGCTACGACAAGAGAAAGCAGAGAAAGAGAAAGAGATTACAGAGCTAAACAAACGACTGGATAGAGTCAATCAGGATCTATCACAAGCTTCGGAAAAGGGCACCAAGCTCTCTGAAACAGAGAAACGGTTGCAGGAATCTGTCAAGTTGCTCACAGACTTGTCTGAACAGCAAACCAAACATATCAATAAGCTCGAAACAGAGAAATCAGATTTATCGAAAAAGCTAAAAGATACAGAACAAGCGCTGAAGGAAGCCCACGATCATACGGATCAGGAACGCGCCAAGGCCAAGGCAGAGGCCGAACAGGAACACACAGCGGCACTTGAAAAAGAAATCAAAGCCAATGATCGGCTGCATAAAGAATTAACCAAGGTTAAGGAAACAGCAGAGGTGACAGAAAGCCAGTTGAAAAAGGACATACGAGAGCTGCAGATTTCCCTACAGATCGCTCGTGATCAAGCTGCACAAAGAGAAGAAGGCTTGAAAAAAGAGATCACAGAACTTCAAAAGCAGTACTTGGAGCAACAAAAGATCAACTATGAAATGAGCGTTGATGAGTCCACTGCGCCGTTACTTCGACAAATTGATGAGCTGCAGACACAGCATACAATAGCCATCAGAAATAGAGACCAAGCTGAGCAAAGGTACGTGCTTATGCATATAAAATAGAAATAGTCTAACGTCTGTTCAACTATAGCTTAATCCTTTCTTTACAGCAGGTTGAATTAGAGCGCGACAAGGCCATAGAAAAATGCAAACTGTTGCAATCTGAGATTGAAGGATTAAACGAACGTTTGGAATCAGTAGAGGCCAGCATCTTGGGAATGCAAAAGGAAAATGCGCGATTAGAGACGAATTTGGAGCTGGAGAAATCTGTGAATGAAAAACTGGAACAAAAGATAAAGACATTGATAAGGGAACAAGAAGATCTCAAGTTGACCGAACAAAGAGAGCAGGAACGACTAAAGAATCAATACCAGCGTTTACTCAAGGATAGACTGAATGAGGAAAAGCGACAGTTTGAGGCTAAATTAAAGGATTTAAAGACGCCTACACTTATAGTTGAAGAAGATACCAATAGCTCGATTCACTCCGAGTATGAGAGCAGTATTGCAGAAAAGCAACCGACTGATATCCATCAATTACAAAACCAAGTTGACTTTTACCAGACCCAGGTACAAAGCTTGACTCAATCTAAAAACGAGTTATCAGAGGAAATCCTAAGTATGTCTCAAGAAATTGACAAATTACGTGCAGAAACCAAAAAGACAATTTCCCTTCAACAAGAGCATGATCAGTTGAATCAAAGATACCAAACATTACTAGAGCTACTGGGAGAGCGAACAGAGGAAGTACAAGAACTAAAAGCAGACCTTATTGATATTAAAGAAATGTATAGAACACAGATAGTCGAGCTTGTACAAAAAATAGATCAATTAAGTAAAAAGTAAATGTAATATTTATTACTGTTGCCTCTTTTGATAAAGATAATCCGTCATGGCCAACATGTTTCCAATTTCTTCTTGTGTTGCATTTCCGTGGGCAGTCCAGCGCACCTTGCAATTTTCGTCTATCAAATAAACATAGCCGATATGCTTGTTGGTCATATCGAGATATGGTCTGACTCTACTGATATCCTTGTAAAGCAAGAGAACATTGTCTTGTCTTTCTTTTGGCAAGCCTTTAAGCGCTCTGGTTACAAATGCTTTTAATAAAAATTGCTTCAATACATTTTCTTCTACGATAATCTAAAAGAGCATAAGTATAAACATAAGATTGTCGTCTATTTCTTTACCTCTAAGAGTTGAATATCCTTTGTCTTGTTTCCATACTTTTCCCAGAACGGATTTGCAAATGTTTTTGTATGATCCAAACCGAACTGTGTCAGAGCAAATGTCATTAGGGTTATTTTATCGTGTAATCTATCGGTAGTATGGACTCTATTTTTTGACAGGTCTTGTGTTTCAAAATCCGGCATGTACCCTGTTTTCTCTGGCTTCATAAGTTGTGTACTTGCATAGTACATTTTACCGCCATGTTCCTTCATTTCTTATCATCTATTTTAGTAAACTTGACTTTTACTCTATCAATACTTTACCATTGGCATCATGAAAGTAGGATTTTGTTGCTTCTTTTACTCTGTATTCAGTAAGGAAAGAAGGGAGTTAGATAAGTGTATATCTATACATGAACCACTTACAAGTATTGTCTTTCAGCAGCATGCGCAGCAAATGCCTTTTCATAATCACCAAGATCTCTAAGCTTTTGCTTTTTTTTCTGAATCCATGTACCATGGCTAACCTCAGGTGGATCGACAAGGCCAAGGCCCCTGGGTGCTTCACGAAAGGCACCATACTTTTTAAATGCTGTGATATTCTCGGTTGCTGTAGTTAAGAGTCTATACTGAAGAGTAGATCTTTTGCATTGATTTCTAAATTGTGAAAGGACTTGCTTTGACAGCATGCTTAAATTAAAGGGTAAAACAAAAAAAAAAAAAAAAAAAAAAAAATATCTTTCAGTCTCCACTTTATGATTTGGCCAACACTACATGCACCAGAAAATAGGCTAATACTATGGGCGCTTCCTCGAGGCGCTACCTGTGATTTCATTTTAAAACTTCACACTACCAAAGTCTCTGCCTAATCTAAGGCTGTACAGTGGGATATTCTTTGATATAAAATACAAATATATCATAATTACCCGTGAATGATCTTGATCAAACTGACAACAAAAAATAACATTTTTTATCTCTTCTTCTTGAAAAGAAATAAACCAAGATGGTGACTTTATAAAGCCATGTTTAGCGTGGTGTCACGCACTGAATAGTTTTATTGGACAATATCATAGGTAATGGGGAGAGATAGCGCCAGTAACATTAGTTTAACTTTTGGTGTATTTTATGGTGCATGTAATGCTTCCCTGGAAGAGAGTTTTGGCAAATACTAAAAAAGGCGAACTGAACAAGCACTTTTGAGCCCATACAGCCAAGACGCTCTAAGGAAACCATCATAAACGACAGGAGCGACAGACCATCATGGGCACAGCTATTATCGGAATTCAAGATGCTTGCTGGAACAACACGCCCAACAATTGGAACTATCGACATCTCCCATCAAGCGGCCTTTTGAAGCATCCTAATTAGCCTCAACGTTTCCACACAAGAAAACATTATGCTCATCTTCAGCAACAGGGCCATCGACTTCGGTGCCATTTATCACTCCAAAAAAAAAAAAGGAAACACAGAGAAGTCGTCGTTATCTTCAGCAACATCATCGTCATCCGCTGCAACTACTGTGCGCTCTAGTGAAGTACAAGCATCATCCTTTTCAGTTGTTCAGCCTGCTGGCAGTGCTTCGGGCCCCTCTATTTTGAAGTTGGTCGAGACGTATGGCACCATTTGTGACACGTCCAAGCTTTCAATTGCCACAATAATCGAAAGAAAAGCAATTCCCGTCCATGATCGATACAAAAATAACTACTTTTGTCGCTAAAATGAAAATTGTCGGTCTTATGAAAACTTTCATTTTGTTGGAAAAGGTTGAAATTGTAACAATGAAATGGTATAAATACCTTCCTTTGTATAACATCACTTCCCCTCACTAAAATGCGCCATCTCTGAAAAAAAGTGTACATTTCCCTGCTATTTCATTTGATCGTCTTAAAATGCAGAGACGAACAGTTTATAATACCCAAATATATATTTTTTTTTGCTTGTTTTGCTTGAAAACTCCCTGAAAAAATTACCTAGTTGTCTCCGCCTTGTGAGCCACTCGGTTACAGTTGCTTTTACTGCTTTTTTTCTGTTTTTGTTTTCAGCAAGATCACTGTACCTTTTTACCTTTCTCCCTTTTTTCTGCATTTCATCTTCTTTCCCTTTAATTTATTCAAAATTAGATTCTTTTCAGGTTTATTAGCAACTGCTCTTGGTAGCAGTAATACCCGTAACGATGACCATGACAATAGAAGTATTTATAAAGAGAAAATTTGGTAGTTGAGATGGACACTGACCCTTTTTTTAAAACAAAAGCCATCACCTTGGCCCAATTTAAGCTAATGAGAATAGTTGGTAGAGGCGCTTTTGGAAAGGTACTATTGACAAAACATAGCAAAGGGGAACTCGTCTTTTTATTTATTTATTTTTTCTCTCTCTTATCAGGTCAGAATAGTTGAACATAAAGAGTCGCATCAACTATATGCTTTGAAATATATCAACAAGGAAGAATGTATCAAAATGGACGCTGTGCGTAATATTATTCGAGAAAGAGTTATTTTAGAGCAACTGGATCATCCTTTCCTATGTCGACTTCGATTTGCTTTTCAAGATAACGAATACATGTACATGGCTACTGACTTAATGTAAGAAATGCAAAATACATCCAACCTTTATTGATTCTTGTTTAGGCTTGGAGGAGATCTACACTTTCATTTAAACAGACATTCATCTTACTTTTCTGAAGATATTATTCGCTTCTGGTTTGCCGAACTGGCGTCGGCTGTTAAATATCTTCATTCAAAAGGAGTTGTACACAGGTACTAAGAAAGAGCAATCTAGTGTGTGCAATTTAAATTGACATCATTAGGGACATAAAACCCCACAACATATTGATGGATGATAAGGGCCATGTACACTTAGCTGATTTCAATATAGCAACACATCTGCACCCAAATAGACTCTTAACCTCCAACTCAGGGACAGGATACTATATGGGTAATATTCACAATCAGCATGATTTTTTTGTTGAAGAGCTAAAATATTAACAGTAAACATGTATATATTCAGCACCGGAAGTTTATAAAGGTGGAGGTTATGATGAAGCAGTTGATTGGTGGAGCTTTGGTATAACACTTTATGAATGTGTATACAGAAAGGTAAGATAATACCATTTCTTTTATATATTACTCAACCTGTATTTTTTTCTTTTTCTTAGAGACCATTTGAATACGATACAACTGAAGAGCTTCAAGCGGCAATACGCAGAGGTTATGTCAATTACCCAACAAAGGATCGACAAATATCTGGAGAATGTCTTTCAGTCATACAAGGAGTAGGTGAATACAACGTGATGAACACTCTGAAAAGAAAATTATGACTTAGTATCAATTAGTTTTTGGAGATAAATCCGCATAAACGACTAGGTTACGGCGACACAGGATGGATCACTTTGGTCCGTCACCCATTCTTTCGGTCGATCAACTGGAGTAAACTAGAAACAAAATCATTGACACCGCCTTTCCAACCATCAACGGAGAACAACTTTGATATTACCTATGACCTTGAGGAGTTATTTTTAGATGGATCACCGCGATCAGCTTACAATGCAGCCAAAAAGACTCCGAAAAAGGAGGCAAATGAGTCAATGACAGCTAAAAGAGAACGCGATTTGAAGATGATTGAAGAGAAATTTAAGCATTTTGATTTTACAATCTTTGAAAAATATGAAGGATTCAAGGATCCAGTAACCATGACAGTAGGCGATCCACCAGATTGGGTAAAGCCGGCGTTTGAAGGAGCTGAGCAGGGAGACATTCTGCCGATCAAGAGAATCACCATTGAAAGCGAACAAGAAAACATTGATACCTGGCGTGGACCTAACAAGTCTGCATCAACGAGCAACATAACACAAATCAAATATGACCAAGAGTCCACCTGGAAAAAAAGAAGTAGTCTGGGTGCGATCAAGAAATATAATAATGGCAGCAATCATAGCTTGGTTATTAGTCATAACAATGGATCGTCAACTAGTCTCAGTGAAGAATACGCGTTATCACTGCAAAGGATTAGGAAAAAGCAAAGTACAAAGAGCTTTCAGGAACGTCGAGAGAGAGATAGGAAAAGCATAACCAGCAGCAGCAATATTCCATCATAAACACATGGTCTGAATATGCTTTTATATATATATAAACTTTTATTATTTATATTGCATAATGAGGCAAAGGAATAACTTCTATCATCTATTCTTATAAAAGAGATCATTTCCTTGCTTTCCCTTTCCTATGACCTTTTCTTACATTAAATATACTTTGTCATGATACAGATGAATGCAGTAATCCCGTTCATGACCTTCGCTTTCAAAGACCAATTCGTAATCTGTCATTATATCTAATTGAAGATATTAATCCTATACACCATCAGCTTCTTCAAGCCGATAATCTAGTCCCAGCTAAACACGCAGTCATTCCAGGAGATGACGGTGAAGTCGAGCTTGAATCGGCGTGCCTCAGGAGGAAGACACTATCAAAAAAAAAAATCATAGAAGTCTGCCAAAGCGTGGGTAAAAACCGCTCTCAAGGTTTTGTCTCACATTCTTACAAGTGCTGTGATAAATATCGAAACAGAGAGTTCATGTAAATGGTCAATAGCAACGTTATCAAAGCTAGCAATGCAGAGACAAGAATCAGGCAAGCAGCAATCAGATAGCAATAAACTTTTTATTACAAAAATAAAAGCAAAAATAAGTGCTATTATTCAAAATGCAAGACACAAGCTCTGCTAACCACTGCATCGCGAATCCATGAATCTGAAATGATAAGCAAATATTCCAACGGTAGATATTGATGACCTCCTTGCAAAAAGATCCCTAAGGGCAGGGAATCATGACATAAGCCGTTATTGTTTGTAGTAGACTAAGATTTTTACTTCACTAAAGCCCAGACTTGGGCTATATGAGAACTGGGTGAGTTTTGTTAAAATGTATCTGATCTTTTACCGTCGCTGACATCCGCTTCGATATCTGCCCATTGCAATAAAAAGAGCTGTTTCGGACTAGACAAAATGCACGATAGTATCAGATGAAAGTAAGTGGTCATTAACTCATATTCGCTAATCGACTGCTTGCTCTTGATGTCTCGTAATGGTAACTCGTCCATCGCTTTGGCAACACCAAGGATCATGCGAGCACTATGTTTATTTATCTGTCTACAAGGCTTCAATAATTGAACATTAGCCTCACCCTTATCCAATTGATGCATTTGAACTGAATTGATGATTTGAAAGCTTTGGCCGCAGACGCCGTTGTCAAAATTGTTATCTAGTTCTAACAATTCATGCACAAGACTTTCGTTCAGAAGATTCAAAGTATCTTCTGTAAAGTATCATTTATCAACGAAGTATCCTGTTGAGGAGCCAAAAGCAATATACATGACAATGCAAGTGCCTCGTGGATAAACGATTCAATATGCAGCAAAGAGGATGGTGTGCTATCAACTATCCATCGGAAACATAAGAGAACAATTAGATAAAATAGGATCTTTTGTGATATTTTATGAATAGAGAAAGAACGAGACCCATAGCAAAAAAAAAAATATAAATTGATCTTTAAATACATGAACAAAAGTTGTCAATCAGTTATGTAAGTATAATGCGCCATCAAGTACTCTAAATCAGTGTTGTGAGCTTAATACGAGGCTTATGTTAACATCGAATAGTTGAGATAGCTTTGGCTTACGTAAGGTATGTATTCGTTACGTTACGTCAAGGGTGTAATCTTCTTTAAAAGTTGAAATACGACAATATGAATAGCAATAAGTGGAAAGTTAATGGTGCTATCTGATAGCACTGTGCAGACGTACTATGTGATGACACTGCGCGGCATAATTGCTTGCCTTAGCTTAATGACCTTGATGAGTTTAAAGTTTTTAAGATAGTTTTAAAGTAAAAAAAAAAAAATAATGTAATAAATGAGCATAGCATATTGTATTAGTGGCCACCAAATCCTGATTATACAAGATCAAAGATATTGAAAAGTAAAAATAAAGAAAAAGATGTCTTTATTGTAATTTTTCTTACTTCGTTAGAGCTGGGTAGATTTGTTATAAGGCAAGAGCATAAGTAGAGTTTCCGTTTAAACAGAAGTTTGAGTAGTATAGTGACCATCAGATCTTATTAAAAGATCAATTGTTAGGTTCGTAAAAGATGTGATAATAAAAGAATAAGAGCAGGTACTTTTATAACAAAAGATTAGACCTGTTTATTGTATGAATATAAAAATAAAAAGAAAAGGTGATTGATTCAATTAATTGATGAATTGATTTTTTTTTTTTCGGCAAGGAGAGGCAAGGACTAAGGCTATTTATATGTTTTTGAGAAGGCATCAGGACTACTTTTTGTATCGATATTTTCAAAAATATGAAAATCTCAAATATATGAAAATTTCGTTTATACGAAATTTTCGTATTGATCTTGTGGTACTCTATTACCAAACTCGTCTAATATGTCACACTGTTGCTGGGTGTTAGTAAGGGAAAAAGTGTTAGTAGTAAGGTTAAAAATAAGTTTTATAAGTAGAACTTGGTATTGTTGTGACCACCAGATCTTAATATAAGATCAATGTAAAGCAATATAATGCTAAGTTTTTTGAGATAAAGTATAAAGTAATGTAAATAGGTTATTAAGCAATTGTTGCTTAAGATATAAAATAAAATAGAAGTTATTGTGATCTGAAGATAAGATGATTCTTAGATGATTCTTCGATGTTGTTTATTTCATGAATAATTTGGGGATATTTATACTAATTCAATATTGTTAAATATGCGTTTGATAATATTATTAATAATAATAATAATATAAAATAATGATAAATGATAATTATAATAAATAATAAAAATGATTGAAACTTGCATATGCATGCAGTGATAATGGTACTGGTAGCAGATACCAAAAATGGTATCAACACTGTTTCTGATGTGGGGATTTGAGTTTCATTTGATGAATTGAAGTTCATTTCATGAGTTGAAGTTCGTTTGGTGAGTTGAAGTTCATTTGGTGTATTTCCATTTTTGGTAATTGATGTAACAAAAGATATTCGAGCTTTTTCCTCACAACATCAGGGACAAATTCCTGCATAAATTAGATTTACATAAAAGGAATGTTACACAAAGAAGCATCTGCGACGAAAAATAAACGCTCCTACGTGGGCTCGAACCACGAACCTCCTGATTAACAGTCAGACGCGCTAGCCAATTGCGCCATAAGAGCTGATCACGCGAACTGTCAATGCTAAATACATAACATTCTATTATATAATATGATTTTCACGTGGCTATCATGTGATTTGAGCCTCTTTTTTCTTGGTATATACAATACATAGTTTTTCTAAAGTCCACGTTTTATTACCATTATGCTTACATATGAAACATTAATGTCCTCTTTATTACTTATTTCCTCTTTTTCTTGAACTAACAGTTCTGTATGAAAAAGCTCATTACTTTTTTCAAACATTACTACTAACACCATTGTAAAGTTGATTTAATTGTTTAATTAAAGAGTGGATAAGTATTGCATCGTTCTTCATGTAACGAACCAGAACATCTCTTTGCACATATTTACTGTTATGCGTATGAGATATTGAACAGCCATGAGATCTTCAGCACCAACAGTGAGAATAGATTTATCAGCGATGACTGTCGAAAGCAGTTCACCCTACACTATCACCAATCCTTCGATGAGGCTCAATTGAATGAGGCAATAAAGATACTCACAATCTGCCAACAATTGAAGAAACTGCTGCAGTTATTCATATTGAGTGTAGCAATAAAAGCTTCCGTAATATCGTTCTTGTCTTGAGAAACAGCAATAGAAATGATAGTCTTCGTCATGGACCTGATTTTGAGCAACGTTTTCAGCGTATCAGCCAGGCTCATGTTACGTACATGCCAATTCATTATGTGCTTTTACTTTCTCATGGAACGCATGGCTGGCATTGGAGTTTGCGTATCTCCTTTTCCTTCTTTACCCTTACTTCTTCGACCGCTGCTCCTGATTGTTATGATGATGATTCATGGTTACCTTGTGCCATTTTGGTATCCTTATGTGTTGCTTTTAAAAAGATAACTACTTTGATCGTCGGTTTTTAACAGAAATGGGTCACAGCACGATGTACAATGTGTCTAAAGCATAGCGCTTTTTCACGCGATAAGCATTTTTCTATTAAAAAAAACGCGATTAGTTAATATAAAAAAGTTACCAATCGTTAATTTAGTACACTATTTCCATAAAGAGATGTCGCGTTGACCTGTCGCTTTTTCGTATAAATTGTATTGTAAAAATTGCAAAAATGCAACTTTACTTTTTAAAATGACTGTGTTATAATGTTAACCGCATCTGCTTTTTCTTTACTTACTTCATATAAAGCGAAAGAAAGAGGATGACCCTCCGCTTACAAAGGGGAAGGTATGAATCAAGAAGAATACCAACACCTTTTGTGAATCTACTTCTCTTACTCAATTTGACTTGGAAAGCACGCAAGTAAGGGATACATGACTATGGTATCTTCTATGGCCAAACAACATGAGATACTAGTACGAAACTACAATAGTCGCATGCATTTGCTTGCTTTTACATATTTATGCTTATTTCCTACGGTATCATGGATTTTAAAATGGCTTGACAGAGATATACCTGCAGCAATTTGACTTGTGGGTTGACGGCTGCCCCAGCTTTAACAATGAAGAAGTAACTTCCATCCAAAAGGTTGTCAATGTAAGCGATAATTCTTATAATAATTTATGTGGGGCTCTAAATATATTTTAATCCACAACGATAAACAGGATTACACGCAGAAACATGCTACACTAAAAATAGCGAACCACAGACTATGCGCTCTTGTCCTTAAGATGGATCCAATCAAAACTAGTGGCGTTAATGCTATTAGACGGTTGTAAGCTGAAAACTACTCGACAAGCCAAATAATTTGTTCAACCTTTTTTATCTGTAGGATGGAAAAGTTACCCCTTGTGCAGCCATTAGAGGGATGTAAAAGCGAAAATGAGCTGTGAAGTACATATGTAGATCCCCTCCTTGACTCTCTCTTCAGTAATGTCGAAAATGGAGTCCATTTACGATGGTAAATAGGTGATTGTTGCTATTAAATTACTTCTCATTATTGATTTTTTATAACAGGACAAATTTAAGTGATACCGAACAAGGCTCAGAAAGGCCTGATAGTGCCATTTCTGTCATTATGCAGTCCAATTGGGGCAAGAGCTTGGGGTATGGAGAAGCGAAGATTGCAGAACTCACCGACGATAAGTTGATGCTTGCTTGGGACCTGTGCCGCCTTGGGCATTTCTCCAAGGAGACAATAAATATCAGCAGTATTAAGTCCTCGATCCCTTTCCAAGTAAAAGGTAGTTTAAGCTGCTTAATAGCAACTGCCGTTATCTAACCTTATTGAAAGTAGGCCATGGCATATCAATTTACACGACAGCATTGAGCGCAGATGGGATCTAGAATCTCCTTGTCGCAGAACACGCCCTTGGCGAAAGTCTCTTAACAAGAACCGTTGACACTGAAGACAATATTTGTGCCAAGGAGTAGTGTCTTAATTACCTTAACAACTTTTTTTACCAAAGTCCAAACCGAAGGAGTATTTGGCCAAGGTATTCGGGATGTATACGGTCATAAGCTTTTGTTTGATCAAGCATAACACCCACAGCATCTGAATGTGTCGCTAAAGTATCATACATAATGAGCTTGCACATCATAGCATGGTCACTAATAAGCCTACCATGCATAAAGTTGGTTGGATATCTGTTGACCGGAGAGTCAGAAAAGAACATAACCCGTGAGTTAATCAATCTTGTAAAAACTTTGCAATCTGCATTAATTAGCCAATTATCAAAATTAGACAAAGTATCAGGATTAGGCAAAGCGCTCGATTTAGGTAGCAATACTACACAAGTTTCCCGCCAACTAGCAGGAAAGAGAGCATGGCCTAAAGCGTCATTGTAAAAACGTAACACAAGCTCTTGGTACTCTGGATGATCTATAATCAGACGCAGCATTTCGTAGAGTAAGTCATCACAGCCTGGGCTACTACGTTTAGAACAACATTGTACTACCTCGGAGGTGCCTTGAAAAGGAATGTCAGAGAAGATTGCTTCTCGAACTTCATCAGAGGGGGATCTGACTCTAACATAGCAACACTTTGCGTTTAAGGAAGATTTCGGAATTAAAATCACCCCTCAAAAGGAAAACTTTAAAACTTTAGCTTACGTTATACTTTTGCCTAAAATGGATGATAAAAGAAAAAATGCGTACGTGAGCGGTTTACTTTGAAGGAAACAGGCGTACGTAAACGATTAGCACTGATATTTTCTTTTACATGTATACATATATATATAAGCTTGGTAATCATTCCTCTCCTTTCAGAACTATAAACTTTTTCTTCTTTCCAAAAAATGTCTAATAACGATACACTTACTGGTTGGGCTTGTGCTGGCAAGGGCAAGCCACTTGAACAAATGCAATTCCCAATGAAGGCCTGGGATGATAATTCTGTCGAGATCGACATCACTCACTGTGGTATCTGTGGTAGTGATGTTCACACTATTGGTATGTATATACATATTGCACTCTAAAGATCAATGGCTGATCCTGTTATTGGCAGACTCTAACTGGGGACCCACCGACTATCCAATTGTTGTTGGTCATGAAATTACTGGTGTTGTTACAAGAGTAGGAAAGAATGTGACAAGAGTCAAGGTTGGTGATCGTGCTGGTATGGGTGCTATGTGTGGCGCATGCGGACAATGCCATCGTTGCAACCAAGGAGCTGAAAATACCTGTTTGAAAGGAATTACTACCTATAACTCTCACTGGCCAACGGGCGAAAAGACTTATGGTGGTTATGCTGACAAGTGGCGTGGTGATGAAATGTTTGTTTGCAAGATCCCTGATAATGTTTCCAACGAAAATGCTGCTAGCTTCTTGTGTGGAGGTGTAACAACCTATGCTCCTCTCAGACGATGGAAGGTCGGTCCTGGTTCTACCTTGGGTGTTTTGGGTATTGGTGGTCTTGGTCACTTTGCAGTCATGTTTGGTAAAGCATTAGGTGCCACTGTGATCGCCTTTTCTTCCAGCAACAGAAAGCGCAACGATGCCATTAAACTCGGATGTGATGACTATGTTGTCACAAGCAATGCTGAAGAAATGGCAAAGTACGCAAACAAACTGACACATATCATCTGTACTGGTGTAGGAGAAGACTTTAAGTGGGAAACTTACTTTAACCTCTTGCTTCCTGATGGTATCTTTATTAATGTAAACGCTCCTGAATTCCAATACCCACCCATCCCTATCTTCCCTCAACTTCTCAAGCAAATTGTTATTACTGGCTCTTTAGTTGGAGGCACCAAAGATTTAGATGATATGCTTCAATTGATTTCCGAAAAGAATCTCAAGGCTTGGTATAAGAAATACCCAATGTCAGAAGTTAACAAGGCCATTGAAGACTTTAGAGCTGGATTGCCTAGGTTTAGATTTGTATTAGAAAACTAGGGCAGTTAATGTTTTTATTATAATAAATGACTTTGTAAATATCGTTTAATGTATTTTTCCCCGTTGATCACTAAAAAGGTTCCCTTGGAACGTAAAGAGAACAACATCATGTACAATATTGTATGGGTTATTGTTATACAATGTAACAACGTTCGTTTGCGGATGTAGCTGCTGTACGTATCTCTGACAGAGTGTATAAATATAAACATTCACCGTGAATTTGGTAACGAAGAAGGCCAGAAACAGAATCTTATATAAAGAAATCTGCAGCCCTCGTAGTACTAGTAAAACGACTAAATGAGAATGCACTATCTCCTTGAATGCGACGGACGTCAACCAACGGTAAGACAAGGTAGGTAACCTGAGACACGGCCGGGTTCAGTGATACATCATGCGGACAGCAGTCCATAGCTTGAAATAAAAGAGAAAGAGGGTGAAAACCGGTCAACGGGCAATCAAGGTAAGCGGCAGGAAACAATAGAACTACTTGAGAAGAAGGGCGGTGGCCACATGACCATAGGACAAAGTGGAGTCATACATACAAGAAGGAGGACATGCTATTCTGTGAAGATGCTCCTAAGAGGGGTCGTAAATGTCGGAACTGTAGGGCTAGTTGCTGACTGGGTACACGGGGTAGACTGAGATGACCTTGCTTTTTGTGGAAGTGTATGATTCGCTTTTTAAGACGGGAAAAAATTCATGTATGATGAATTGGTAAATTCTTGATGTAACCTGATTTAAAAACGACTTTGGTAAAACTGTCAAGCGCAAGACGTGCCAGAGCTTGAATAGAATCAGAACACTAGCGATGTGAGGTCGACCATAGACAGCGTTGAATACGAAATATCAATTAAAAAAGATTAGAATCAACCAGACTAAAAGATATGTGTCGATTGACTTTATTAAGTACGAGTATTTATACTAAATGCGAGACACTCTTCAACTGAGATCGTAAAACTTTTCATAGGGGTTTATGAATGACAATTGAGACAAAGAGAAAGAGAGTCAGGATGACTGACAGTATAAAACTAAAATAATAATAGCTTTTTTTTTATCTTTTCTTTTTCCTGAAAAGAAACAGGCAAAAGTGGTAACTTTATAAAGCCATAGTTAGCATGATGCTACGCATTCAAATGTTTTGTTGGACTTCACCATAGATAGTGGGTAGAGGCAGCGTCCGTTGCATTAGCTTATTTTCTGTTGCATGTAGTGCTTCCCAAGATTTGACTGCCAAGATCACGAAATCTTCTCGACAAGTTTGTCTTGTCATCATTGACTATGCCGGTTTATCGGCCAATCTCGACAATATCAAATTATTCATATCTTTTGAACAAATCAATAAGGGGAAGTCGTGGTAGATGTCAGCCATAAATTTGAAGTATATTCTCGTGATGGCTTGCTCAAGAACGTCAAGATCCTAAACAAACTTTGATGTCGAAGGGGGTGCGCACAACGATCGCGATTGACAATGTAGCAACAGCAACGGCAACAAAAGTAATGCATGCATCCATCACAGAAACCAATAAAAAAAAGAGAAAACGATATTGATAATCCATCATTTGTTTACAATTACCATTCATTCTTTCCTTTTACTCTAAAAAGCCATTTGCGCTAACGATAATAAATGCTTCTCATAATACTGTTTTTATAATCATTAACTAATATACATAAAGTCTATCTACGTGTCTATTTCTTTTTCTTTAAAGATAAATGATCTTCAGCTGATTGCGCCAGCTTTCAATATAGTTGTTGGTTTCCGTATTGGTATATCTCTCTGGCTGATATACCCTTGTCTACTTGAAGAAGCGATGGTTCTCTAAATGGTTGCTCTTGAAACAGAGCATGAATGCTGGGTATATGCTGAACTCTTGAATGAACTGACTGAGCTTTCTGGTATATTCTGCTCTACCGTTCTCCCACCTCATTCCCTTTATTTGCGTAATAACTGCCTCATGCGCTTTCATGTTGATAATAATCTTTTGAGGACAGAGGCTGATAGTATGCTTTAAATGATAGAGCCAATGACACATGGGCAAAAAGGATCTATCAGTAGTGAAGAGGTATTCAAGGGGACAATTAGTCTCCAGTTTCCGCATGCCTGATAACCAAAGTATACAAAAGACTGTCTCGCTTCGGCCATAAGAGATACTTGCCAAATAGCACAAAATCCAAAGGTGAAAGTGCTATCGTAATTGTTTTCCATGTATATATTGTAGTTTTTGTCTGTCAAGCATTTTAGCAATTTGATATCTAGTGGTTATTTAAATGCTTATTATACCCGTGTTAGAGTAGACTCTTTTAATAACAAGATGAAGAGCTCATTAGTGTAAGGGAAAGCAGTGAAATGTGCGCGCAGCTTTTAGAGAAAAAAAAAGAGTTGGATTCACTCAAAACAGGTTAAGACTGCACTTATTTTCAATTGCAGGGCATTCTGTTTTACAATGTATAATGTAGCGTTTATTAAATACTTGAAAAAAATAATTCTATAATAGAGAAAGAAATGGCGACACGCTAAACTTTTACAAAAAGACGACGACTTAAGCGTAGTCTAAGAGTTAAAATAAATACAGCGCTTAGAAGATATGCTACACCAGTAAACATCTTGTAACTAAAGAAGGGCGTCGAGTTCACACCGCTTTCGATAGCACTAGCAATATTAGGGCCAAATACAGGGATCACGTTTGTCAATAACAAAAGGGATAGGCCAGATGAGAGTTGCTTCATACCAAGAATAGACGCGGTAATGGGAGATATTTGAGCAAAATATGCACCACTGGTGAGACCAAAGACGACGGAAAAGGCCATGAGACTTCCATAACTGTTGGCAAATGTCCAGATAAGAAATGAGCTAAGACTTGTGATAATCACAAAGATCAAGTTAGAGTTGATTTTTCCAATCCTGTCTGCAAGTAAACCGATAGCTACACGACCCACAAAGTTACCAGCCGCGCTGACGGTGACGAGTGTAGAGCCTTGAATGTCTGTAAGGCCAACGTGGGTAGCGTAGGAAGGCAGGAAGAAGTAAGGGATGAAATAGCCAAATAAACCAATGTTGGAACCGATAGCAAATAAGACATAATCAGGGTTCTTCAAAACGCTGAATTGTACAATTTGTGAAAAATGCTTTCTAGTCTTTGGAGGAGGATTTCGTTCTCTGATGAGAATACAGGCCATTCCATCGCAAAAGAGACATATAAAACCTAGAATACGGTAAGTCCATCCCGGGCCCAATGAGTTGTTGATTGCATTCATGATGAGAGGAATAACTAAACCACCAATGCCAGATCCGCTAGCAACAAGGCCAAGGGCAAGGCCTCTACGCTTGTTAAACCATTGAGGGGCCACGCCCATGATAGCCATGTAAATACAAGAAGCGCCTATACCAAATAATATACCTTGAGTTAGGTACAAGTGCCATATTTGTGAGCTAAGACTAGCCATTTCAAGGCCAAGACCAATGCATATAGTGCCAAAAATTAACACAGGACGGATACTCAATACAGATACCAAAATTTGAGCAACAGGTCCAAATGCGTTTAAACAGATTAGTGCCAGTGTACCAACAAAACTAAGGTTTAGGGTAGTCTTTGAATCTTTGCCAAAGAGATGCTGTTCATAGTAATCTTGCATAACACCTATTGAGAGATAAAATGAGATTAACATGTTGATGTGCTTGTGCTTATTCTTTCATATAATTCTTACCCCTACATTAGAAATGAGTTAGCATAATGGTTCAACATGATTTTTGTAAGACATACCAACTAGTGATTGTACCAAAGCTTGTTACTTGTACAAAGAATGCTCCCAATACAACAAACCAACCATATCCACCATCATGTTGATCTTCTTCATCAATGATTTGGGGAATAGAATTTTCATTGGTAGCAACAGCCTTTTCATCTACTTCAACTACAGATATGAATTAATTCTCGATCTTTTTCACCTATAATCTATGTACCTTCTGTTGCATCAGAGTTTTGTCTGCTATGATTGCCCACATAAGAGAGTGCTTCTTGATTTGATGATGCTTTATCAGTAGATGGGTGATCTAAAGTAAGATTACGTTCGTTTATCATTTTAACAAGTAATTGGACACAGCGCTTTTCCGGTATGTCCTTTTAAATAAATGTAAAGAGGAATGAATAACCTACAGGGTAATTGATCACAAAAGATAGTCTCTTTAGAACAAGAAAGGGCTTTTTTTAAAGTCCAAAAAAATTTTCTTTTTTTTTTTTTTAAAAAAAGAGGATCAAAGCTTTTATACTTTGCTATCCCAATGGTTGTCATCTTATATCCCCGCACTGCTAAACGAACTCCGAGAGCAGATTCCCCTTTTCTACACCAATATCCTGGGAAATTTATCCGTATTTTCTGTATTCAATCATGACATCTGCGGTCAAGGCCGATGCTCATTGTTTATTTACTAGGCTAAAAGTTGACCCTTTTATACTTTTTATTGGTTACGTTACATCATTCGCCTTTTGCAATAAAAGGGATTACCTTGTCGTTTTTAATGATGCCGCGAATCTTTTACAATTCTTGAAACAATTGACACCTTCAATATGTAAAGGGTAAATCTGACTAAGCAACAGATCTGACCAGTAAGGATTACAGATCACGTTTCACGTAGTATGTTTTTATCGGGCCCTTCTTTACTAAGAAATATTTAGTGCATTAGCAGTTACCCATGAATCTATTTCCTAAAGTTCACCGGGTCATCATGTGCGCTTAAAAGGAGAAGATCTATGTTTTACAATGTGTATCAATGCTCTTTTTCTTCATCTGGAAGAATTTGATCCGAAAATAAAAAATTACGAATAAGATGTCTGAATATGATCAATCTTATTTGTGAATGCATGGGATGAATATTGTCCCGGTTCATTGGTAGTGTTTCTTCCCCTCCTTTCTCCTCAGTTAGTGTATAGAGTCATGGCTATTTTTCTATTTTTTTCTAAATATAATTTTCTGCAATACTCAGCACACGTGAAGATCTGTGGACTATGAAACAAGAGATCATCTTGCTCTTATTGAATAGAGTTCTCTTTTTCACTTTATGTGTATTTTTAAACCGCGCAAATGTTAATGTTGACTTCAAGGTGTGGTATTCTTTGTCGTATGTCTACTTTTATACCATATATAAACAATATATCAGGTTCATAGCACTGATGTATTACTCTGTTAATAATTTCCAAACTATAAACTACTCCTTGTTTTCGATAATATCACGGTACTCTCAATAACCTGGACGCACAAGTTATTGCCAGAGACAATGCTGTGATCCGATTAATGAACTTAAACCTGGATTAAAATCGGCATAAAATCCGCAAAACCATCATTGCGTATCAACCATCACTGCTTTAGATGAGGGGAGCTTACATGAATCAGAATAAGCCATGCTAGTGTGAATTATTTGACAATCTTTCGCTCAATATCAATCGTGTTTATGTCATTTGCAGTGGCAAAATAATAATAAAATAAAATAATCTATGTTTATGTAATTTGATATCTTCAAATTATGCCAAGGTTGTACGCCAAGCGCTGTCAAGAAACTGGGTTTTTATTTATTTGTAAATCAGATGCAATGAGCTTATTTTTGAGCATCCAAGGGAAGACATACATACTTGGTATATTCATTTAAATGTCTTTTTTTGATTCACCTTCCTTTAGTGTACTTTCGAGTTTGTTGTATTCAGTAGCCAATCGGTCAAATTCCTTTTGCTGTTGCTCAGCTTGCTTCTTTAAGGTGTCATAATCCAAATTTTGGCGTTTTAATTCTCTAATTTGAACATTCAAAACTTCAACTTGCTTCTTGTAATCATCTTCCATATCAATTAAACGCTTTTGTCCTTTGGTAATCTCGGCAGTCTATCATGGACTGTTGGCATCGCCCTTTTCTAACGCGTATAAAATAATTACCTGATTCTTGGCACTCTTCAATTCTTCTTCACGTTTGGCTAATTCCAATACAAGCGCACTCGTTCTCTCCAAGATCCTTTTTTTTTATGGGGGATGAGCTTTTATTATTTATGTTTTTGCTAGATGCACTTACAAGGAAAGGAAAAGGGTAAATCCAGTGAGGTATAAGTTTCTTTGGGAATAGAATTTCTTTGCTTTAAGACTAGTTTCGTAGTTGTAGTCATGATGATGCTGTTGTTCTGCATTGGCCTCAGCTTCGATACGTTGAAGACGATTGATGGTATCTGAACGGAATAATCTATCAGAAATTGTATACAAGTTGTATCTTTTTAAATATACCAATGAATAAAACGAAAATGAATCTGATAAAAAGTGGCATGTTAGTAAAATAGCTAAAGAAGTGGTATTCAACTTACCCAAACACGATCTTGAGGGCATACATGGCTTTTTCCATCTATAGTTCAAAATAAGTATTATTTCTATTTCAAACACAATGTACCTGAGGAGAGTGTAAAGCAAAGCTAAGCATAGCATGGCGCCAACGAGAAGGTAGAGGTAGCTATAGAAGGTGTTATATTCATATAGAAACAAGTTCAATAGACTTACGACAATAAGGCCAAAGAGAATCATCTAATAATAGCTTAGTCTTTGCTTTCTTTAGACAAAAATGTAGTTTACCTCAGTGACTAGAATACCAAAGGTTAATGTATAGTAAATGGTCATTGTGTGTGGTTGGTGAAAAAGAAGGAAAAAAAAAAGGAAAAAGAAAATAAGAAATTAATGTATTATTTATTCTGAGCCTTTAAATTTGGCAGTAAGTGATTTGTCATATTTTCTGTATAAACAAGCTAGATAAAGATGCATACTTTTTCTTTATTAATGACAGATATACAATCAAGAGAAGTAAGGGCATCTTTCATCGGTCTTTGTCGCCGAGTATGAGGCTTAATTCAAAAGGTATTATTATTATTATTCATACGCGTTCTTCCAGAATGAGTCATTAATATATATAATGCATGAACAAGAATCTCTATGCTATTTATTCTTTCTTTTAAGGTTTTATCTTGGCTAATGATCTAAGTTTCTTCAGAGCAATGGCAAATACACCTGTGCCTGATATCAAAGCTAAGCCTGAAACGACTCCAAATGCAAAAGGATCATCCTCAAAATGATTCTTCAAGTTCATACCCAACAAAGCACCATATCCACTTACGATACTGGCTGACAGCGTGATAATTGTCAAGCGAATATCGTACCACATCAGCGAGTTACGTGACACGTCGAGAATAAGCTGTATGATTTCTTCTGTTGATTTCATATGCTGTCTTAATGTCGCAGCCTTGGCAGCAATTTCTTCTGTTTCCTTGTAATATGCCTCTAGCAGTAGTTCTACTTCTTCATGGTCATGGGCTGCCCTATGTTTACCTGTCTTCTTATCTGTCAAGTACATGGCAGCAAGGTCATCATCTATCATCTCTCTGATTAGAAAATAAAATAAAGAAATAGCACATATGATCATATACCATTATCCAACACATCTTCCAGCGCATCACGAATAGACAGTGCATCTTGTTCAAACTTGGCCAGCTTTTTCGAGTACTTTAGTAAATCACTCAGTTTATCTCCGCTCATAGACTCTTCAATGTCTGCCAAATCTTCTAAATCACTCAATAGTTTGTTCACTGGACCTTCTAATACTTCCAGTTGAGATTGTAAAGATGAAGTGACTGATATCAATATGGCTTCTAATGCTCTAATTTATAAAAGGGTCTTAGTGATCCAACTTACTCCCTTCTCTCTCTCTGGCATCTTTACCTTACCTAAATTCAAATGGTAATCCTTCCTTTGATGACTTTAAACGTTCTTGTAAATCAAAAATGAATAGACTTTGATTGTAACTATCCATGGATCCAAACGCATCAAACAAGACAACCATGTCGCTTTTTAATAGTGCTTTGATATGAGATATATTGATAAGAATAGCCTCTGGTCTGACAAGTATTGTCGGTTTTTGATAAACAGAATAGGTATCGATCGTTCGTAGATCTCGAGGTAAAAGGGAATGGTGTTGACAAAAGTCTGATTTCAAAAACTCTCCTGCTGTGATTCGAATGGAGCCAGACTTGTCAAATTCAGTACCTATATTTAATACTTTAATACATGCCTATAGTCTTTTAAGATTCTTTCTCTATTTACAGCGCAATTTCATTTCATTGACTTTTGTTGGTAATGCGACTACTCGCTTATTGATATTCGTATTGATTGTTGTTGTTGTTGTTGCTGTTATAGTGCTATAGGGACACCGGGTATACTTCGTTTTTGGTATAGCTATTCTTTGTGTTGGGATCAGCCTAGCATATCTTATAAGCAGTGACATATTAGTGAAAAAGAAAACGGATAGGTTATGAAGATAGAAAAACGGATTAAGTAGGCGTGAAAAGTCGAATTTTCTTTGTTGCCCCGGGATTGCCAGATAATTACAATTTAAACTCAACGTCAATGCTGTCTTACTGTGCACATGGATCGATAATCAAATGTCTTTGTTGTTCAGTACTTAAAAAAGTCTTTGAATGAATATGTAAAGTAGCTTTTTATTAAGTTTCCCTCCTAAGCAATACATTTTCATCATTGAGGCTTGAAGGAATTGCTGGCCTTTTTTGTTCTAGATTTAAAATCCTTGACAGACCAAAACATGTTTAGACGATTGATTACTTCAGGGAGTACCTGTAATGCTTGGTACACACTTGCGCTTACAGGATAAGCGCGAACAGTCACTGGGTCAAGTAAAATTAGCATAGACATGGCGTTGTGGTCAGTGACATTCTCGTTGGATAGACTTGTGAATAGATCACCTTTATTTGTAACAGCAGCAGCAAGTATACGAGACATTGTTTGTGATAAACCTTGTTGGACATAGAATAAAGCATCATGGTTATCATTACGAAACAAGATAGCATCGTGTATTTTAGCCTTATTCAAAGGCATGCCTTCTTCCATACCATTTTCCAAAGCCTTTTTCATTTCTTTTCTGTCAATCCAATTTGATCCCGTTGCGCGTGCATTAGAACTGGCCCTTAGGGGAGCTACCAGGTACTCAAAGTTTTGATTGTCACTGCTGGTCTTGTCAAACGTTTTTTTGATAATTTCCGTATATCTTTCCACTAAACGACATGTGGTGGGGTTTTTGATGGGGGAAAGTGCGCCTATGGTGGTTACTCGTATTTTCAATTTAATGCCATCGTGTTTAATCCTCAGTGTGGGTAAGCCTATTGCTGGCCTCTTTGTGTAAAGAGCTAGTCTTCGTACAGGAAAGCCTTTCAAGGACTCTGGATGTATGATATCAACAATGGATTCATAATGCCCGGTCTTGATGTCTTTTCTAATCGGTGCCGGAAGGGGCAATAAGGGTTTGTCTGGTTTGCTGTTCTTGTGATAATCCCTGGTATCGATGAATATCAATTTGTTGTTAGGCATCTTTGTTGCAGGAATCAAGGAGATATTGGCAACAAAGAAATTAGGAGCAGAAGCAAAAGCAGCAGCTACTTTAACATGCTTGTCAAAGCCATATCTCTTTAATCGAATGAGAGTAATAGTTGACCAATTCAAAAGGACGGACAACATGTTGAATGTAAACGAGAAGGAGAGAGGGTGTGAGCATGTTAGTTTTATAATAGTATGGGCCATACTTGTTTTCTTCTTGTTTGTCAATGATTCAATGTAACGTCTTACACAAGCATGTATTGTATGCTTTTATTGTAATGGTAAAGAAAAAATAACTAAAATAAATACAAGAAACCAAAATATACACTTTCTTAGATTTGCGTCATTTGCTGTTGGGTATCATCTTCTGTCAAATCAATACCATCGTCCTCTGCTACAATCTTGTCAGCTAATGGTGACTTTTCTGTTGTGATATATATAGGTGACTTTTCCTTATTCACCACTTTGCTATCAATAATAACTTGCTTTATACAAGATCCAGGTGTATCATACATTGGTTCCAACAAGATGTTTTCCTTTATACAAGTTGGTAAAACTGTGCTTATGTTTAAATCAGTCACTTACCATAATGCGTCGTAGACCACGAGCACCTGTCTTCTTTTCAAGTGCTTGAGCAGCTACTGACCTCAATGCGTTTTGGCTGAACCTCAATTGGACATTGTTCAACTTAAACAAGCCTTCGTATTGTTTTAATAATGAATTTTTGGGCTCCTTTAGTACTCGAACAAGGTCATGGACTTCTAAATTGTTGACTGAGGCTACTACAGGTATTCTACCCACAAATTCAGGTATAAATCCATACTTGATTAAATCAGCAGGCTCCACCGCATGTAATGTATCCTTTGTGCTTTCATTTTCTGATTTCAAATGGGCACCAAAGCCAATAGACTAGAGAATACATATAAGTAAACAAATGTATATCTTTTTAAGACACTTACTCCTTTGGCCACTCGTTCACTAATGATTTTGTCCAAACCAATGAACGCACCACTAAGGATAAATAAAATATTGCTCGTATCAACAGAGTATGTTTCTCCTTTGCTAGATCCGCCTGCTCCATTACCACCCGTAGGAGAACCACGCTTATGATGACCAGCTCCTGATTTATCTGTTACATTGACAATGGTACCCTCTAGCATTCTTAATAATGACTATATACAATATTAAAATGCGTATATATTTCGATATGTTATATCTTACCTGTTGAACGCCTTCACCCGACACATCTCTTGATGCAGTATGGGCATCTGATCTTCTGGATATCTTGTCAATTTCATCAATGAATACTATACCCGTTTCTGCTTTTTTTACGTCAAAGTCACAGGCCTATGGATTATCCTGAGTCAACCAAAACAAGAGAGCCTCGTCCTAATTTTTTTGTTTTACCTGTAATAAGCGCTGAATGACCAGTTCAACATCCTCTCCTACATAGCCTGCTTGTGTAAATGGCGTGGCATCGGACATGGAAAAGGGAACCTGTAATATCTGGGCCAGCGTTCTTGCCAACAGTGTCTTGCCTGATATTAAATATTAATTCATGGCTCTCATTATGTCATATGCTATTGTTTACCTGAGCCTGTTGGGCCAATTAATAAAACATTGCTTTTATCATGAACTGTTGTGTCTTGATCATTAAGTTCAAGTATGGACCCTAATTCACTTTCATCATGATATGTATGCTTACTATCCATATTCGAATGGCCTTCTGTTGGAGGATTGAGCCAAGCACGCCTTTGTGAGCCTAGTGATAGTCAGGGATAAGTGCGCCAATAATAATGTAATCGTTATTACCATTGCTATAGCCAGTACTCGAGATTGGACCACTCAACTCGCTGCTGTTATTAGTGTTATTATTATTATTATTGTTGTTGTTGTTATTGCTTTGAAGAGGAAGATGGTTGACGGCATAATAGTTATCATGAGGTACTGACGGATGATGATGTTCGATAGGACTATCGCCTTCTACTGAGTCATGTTTTTGTTGTTGCAAGTATTGTCTCTTCATGTTGGCTCGTACTCGGTTATAATGGTTAAAGATGGCAACAGCAAGTATCTTTTTAGCTCTTTCTTGACCAATGACATATTCATTCAAGTGTTTGACAATCTAATAAGGTCAACATCTTTTTGTCATTCGTTAAAAGTGAGACTTACTGCGCGAGGATTATTGAGGTGAGAGAATTCTAATTGACTAAAAGGATGATCGAATCCTTTTGTAGGTGGTTGTACAGGGAAATTGTCAATTCCCATCAGACCGCCACCATTATACTCTGCATTATGATACGCTCTTATAGGTAGTCTAACAATAGAAGGTCTAAGGACCGTAGTAGCCAATACAGGCCTATATAAAGTCAACATTCTCATATATTTCATATTTATAATAATAAAAAGAGAGAAAAAAAAGGACCAATGATACTTTTTTATGCATTGCTTTTCAATTGAAACTCAAACTATCCGACTTTCTCCTTTCCTTTCTCTCTTTTTCAAAGGTAATACTTCTAATAAGAAGGAAAGCTGAATACATGAGCCATTGGACTTTGTAAACAATCGTTTAACTTGTAATTATGAGTCAAATTATTTCATCACTTGAAAGTCTTATAAATGGTCCCACTACCAATTTGAAGTTCAAATGTTTTTGTCTCACACAGTTGAAATTTACCTCTAATGCTACAGTTGATCCAATAAATTATGTCGTCCGAGCCGAACAAAATGTTGGCCAATCAGGAATTAAATTTCGCTCTCACAGGAACAAAATGTCGTCCAATCAGAAATAAGTTTTCGCTGCCATAGGAATAAAATGTCGCCTCAGTTTTTCTGAGGAAGCTTTTGATTATCTTTTTCTTATAATGTCTATTGTAGCCTTACGAGATGAAGAACTCTTTTTTTTTATGAAGATGGACAAAACAATATTTATAATGAAAACGGTCAATTAACGTATGATCCTATGGAAGATGTCATGTCAACTATCGACGATCCCAATATTGTTCTTGAAACTTTGGTTGATCATTCTTCTTATATGGAGAATAAGCCATTGGAAAAAACAACCAACTGAAAACAGAAAGTCAACTACTTCAAAGCCAGTGAAAGTTGTCTCAAAGAGGACAAATGCAGGCTATAGCATTAATCAGAGGACGACGTTCGTATGATCGAATTACCTGTGGGACAGAGGTATGCAGCTGTGGTCGGGAGAGAATTAGGTGTCGAAGAGCGAGCTGCGCAGCGATGGTGGAGAAGCTACGAAGAGACTGGCGAAGTGCTGATCAAAAAATCAGTCAGAAATCCAGGACGCCCAAACAACTTTACAAAGGAACACAAAGCTCATGTCTTGGACCTCGCTGATGACGATCCACAGGTTACTGTGTGTGATGTAGCTGAAAGTTTGACTAAATCTTTTGAAGGTTTTTCGCTTACAAAATCAGCCATCCATAAGCACATGAATGAAACTGGGGGTTTTTTTTAATAACAATAAAAGAAATATTTAACTGTACATCCGCGCCAGCTTATCCTGTCCTCTATCCTGTCCTTTATCTTGTCCATTTTTTTTTTTAATAAAAGCTATGATTACCATTACCAGAGAACAAGCCATTTGTATGTTCTATCATAAGCCATATGACAGGAATAATGCTGCTGAATTGCTCAAAGATGATCCTTGCAAACCTTTTTTGCAGTATCTAAACACTATATATGCAGATCCTTATAATATTCACACGTACGTGGGGGAAAATACACCTTCTGTTAATAGCAATGAAGTTCAAAAAATAACAAAGAGGATTGGTAATATTATTTAAAAAAAATTAAATGTTTGATACTTAAATTTCCTTTGTTAGTCAACCCAGTGCAACGTATGAATTTTCTAAACGCTGTGTACCCGCCCTCAAATCCATTCAATGAGCAAGTGTATGGCTGTGAAAGTCTGAGCATGAATGATATTCTGGCTATGGTTTGGAGACACACCGATATTTTTAATGAAAAGACCGCACAAGGTTTCAGTAAATGATGTGGAATCAAAAAATTAATTTTGATGAACGCTACTAGCAAGAGAAGGCTTAACGAAAATCAGTAGAAAACGTTAGTTCGTACACTGTACGTATTGAAAAATGAGTTTTTCGGTAAGACCTATTGTATATATTTTTGCTGGCCCATGACTAACTTGTCATTTAGATGATATAATAAATGGCATTGTTGAACATCTGCCTCGGTATCAACTATTCATAAAAAGCTTGAAGGAAGATGGATATCTTGTAGTAGGTTACGCGAGAAAATCCATCAATGAAAAAAATGATCAAGCACGCGTACGTTTACTTGATCAAATGTGCAAAAACCTTAAAGAGAGATCACTGGTGAACAAAGTCTTCGCTAGTGTTTCTTGCAATGCAGATGATGAATTATTAACACGAGACATAAAGAGAAATGAAGATTTATTATCAAAGATAAATGCCGATGGTGATATGCAGGGTGAGAAAAAAAAATCTCTATTACCACTGTCTTAACTAAATTTCTGTTCGTTTGTTAGATATGCTCCAGTATATTTCTACTGTAAAGAAAGTATGTATTGTTGCCATAAACCTTGCGGGATTAACGACGAATCAGGAGGATTTGAAAGTTTTCTTGAAGTGAGTTTTATTGAAAAAAAAAAAGCTAGAATAGTAAATACCCACAGTCTTTTATAATTAGGATTGGAAGTCATACTTATCCTAATCGTTGTTGCCTCCGTTCCAGGCTCTGATGAGGTGGTAAAGGCTCTTTCGCGCCACGTTTTGTTTTCAGATAACATAAAAAAAACTTCGATTCCTATTTCTTTAGATCTTTTTCGCGCCGCGCACCGTGGTAATAATATGTCCAATGATCAATCTGAGCAATTGTTTACAAGAGAACAAGTCGAGCAAATCATTGAGGAAATGTCAAGAAAACTCAATCTTGCCAGATCAAGTGAAGGTCCCACAAACCTTCCAAACGAAATCTTGGAAGAACTGGAGAACAGCTCGTCCATCAATTTACAGAAGAACATCAAAGAATTTTTTAAGAACCTTCCAAAGTACGAAGGTAGTGAATGGACCAGCAGTGAGATTTTCAATAAAGAGTTTCACAGAGAACTTAAAAGGAAAACTGTGGATGCCCTCCAAAGTACAAACGCAGTATACAAGGGAGCTGATCGACTCATCATCGCAGGAAGAGCAGCAACAGGCCTTTACGAAGAATGCCAACAATTCCTGGAATCAGGAGGAAGTGAAGAACAATTCTTTCACATTATGGAAGGCATCCGACAACTCGCAGTTTACTCATACGCCACGAGTAAGGCCACCAAAAGTGAAGCTAGGACAATGGCGATCAAGGCGCTCAGGCTCCCCGATAGCGTCAAACACTTGGAAGAAGAACCTAGTGACAAGGCCTTAGCCTTGGGCAGAGAAGAGGTTGAAAGAATCTTTCAAGCCAGATACGAACAGTCCATCCTCAGAAATGCAGTGGGACGACAACAACAATCAATTAACAACAATAACAGAGGATTTGGACGTCAACAGAGATACGCCAGGGGCCGTGGAACCTTCCACAGGTCTTTTTTTTGGACGCAGCAAGGGCCAAATACACACGGAGGCCCAAAGCTCCAGTCAACCCCAATAATACCGCTATCAATGCCAGCGTCTTTCCTCACGACAACGACGCATTACGCCATACCGAGCGATGGTATATTACCAGGGGATTGTCTCCAACGTTTCTCAAAGCAATGGAAACGGACAATACTTCATTCATGGCCGGTGTCAGTAGTAATGCAAGGATATCAACTTCAGTGGAACCACAAACCTCGACTATGGAAATATACTCCGATGAAGTTCACGGAAGAGGAGCAAGTAGCAGTGGACGAAGCAGTGAAGAAATTTCTGAACTCAGGCATAATCGAGCGTTCCCCGTCTCAGTGCAAGAGCTACCTATCGAAATCCTTTACTGTGAAAGAACCAAACAAACGCAGGCCAATATTGGATTGCACGAGCTTGAACAAGTACATCCAATGCAATCACTTCAAAATGGAAGGTGTACCAGCCTTACGAGAGTTGTTAGACAAGAACGATTACATGTGCAAGATAGATTTAAAAGATGCATATGTAGTAGTGCCAATACACGAGAACTCCAGGGATTTTTTGACCTTTTTACACCAAGGTGTGGTATACCGATACAAGAGTCTAGCATTTGGTCTCAATGTGGCGCCTCGGGTTTTCTCCAAGCTCATGAAGTATGCCCTAGAACCATTATGCAAGTCCGGAATCAGATTTGTCTTTTACCTCGACGACATATGTGTACTAGCGAAGACGAAGAAAGGAATGGAAGAACACACATCCAAGATGATAGCTCATTTAGAACAATTGGGTTTTCTGATCAACAGAGAGAAGAGCATTCTGGTACCTCAACGAGCACAGTCGTTCCTTGGTTTCGTGTTCAATTCTCAAGACATGACTATACAAGCTCCACAGGTAAAAATTCAAAAATTAAATATCAGGATTCGACAGCTGGTGAACAGCAAGGAACAGAAATCATGTCGATGGATAGCGAGCCTTATTGGGAAGATAACTGCCATGATGCCAGCGATTGGGGAAGCACTCCTTCATTTGAGATTTCTACAGAGGGACCTAGCAAGAGCACTCAGGTTACACAACAACAATTGGAATGCACCATGTCCGATAAGCCAGAAAAGTCGGCAGGAGCTGGAGTGATGGTTAAAAGAGGCTCCATTGAAAAATGGCCTTCCAATTCGACTCAAACCACTAACACCAGATCTAACCATCTATGTCGGCGCTTCCGACTCCGGTTGGGGAGTAAGCTCAGCTTCAGTCCAAACAGCAAGGTTTTGGTCCGCAGAAGAAAAAGAAGACAGCATAAATGTTCGCGAGTTAAAAACCATCCTGTTTGCACTGCAGGTTCATCTTCCACAGTAAAAGAACTCGATCCTGCAGATATACTCGGACAATACGACAGCATTGAAGTATGTGAACAAGGCAAGGGGAACATCGTCAGAGATTCTTCAAGAACTAGCGATTCAAATTCAAGCAATATGCAACAGCTACAGCGTGAGACTGGTCTGTCACCACATTCCTGGAATTCAGAACACAATGGCAGATCGCCTCAGCAGAAAGAAAGTACCTCTGTACGAGTGGGCGTTATCATGAAAATAGTTCAACCATATAAAGAAGCAATGGGGATTCAGCAAGTTCAAGATGGATGCGTTTGCAGTGAGGCAGAACAAGAAGCTACCTGTGTACTGGAGTCAAATCCCAGACCTCAGTGCACAAGCAATCGACGCATTTCATCAAAAGTAGCTAAAGAGGGGACTGTACTTAAGCCCGCTATGGAAATTGATCCCCAAGATTCTGAGAAAGATAAAAGAAGATAAAGTCAAGGAAGCAGTGTTGATTACGCCGTTGTGGCCAACGCAGTATTGGTGGAGCCTACTGATGAGGATGAGGCAACTGAGGACACCAATACCAATGAGGCTCAGTCACCAATGGTCCTTAGTCGCATGGATGTTATCTTCCAGAAGAGGATGGCAGAAGGATTAACGATTAAAGATGTAGATTTTTTGACGCAGTCGACAAGGACAAAGACACACAAAGCATACGATCATGGATGGAGAGTTTGGTTGAATTGGTGCAATAAGCATGGAATAGATTCACGAGCTTACGATCCAAAATCAGTGTATCGCTTCCTGCATGAACATGCACATCTGTCCGCACCGACCTTAAATGTCTATCGATCATCAATAGCCTCGGTTTTCAATATTATCCACGAAGACAAGCGCTATATTGCAGAAGGCCCACTGATCGTCTCATTTTTTCAAGCCAAACGAAAATCAGAAGTGAAGATCCCAACCGTAGGAAAACAAGAGATTTGGGACATACAGCAACTAATTACCTACGTTCGTGGGTGGGGCCCCAATGCACGATTGGATCTAGCGAAATTGCAAAAGAAAACAGTTGTCTGGATCGGCATCGCGTCTATGATGCGACCTCGCTCGTACCTCGGCAAACTACAGTATAGAGACGTTGCTTTTCATGGTCAGAAGACGGACAATTACTTGAGGCATCCTTAACATCAAGAGAACCAAAAGAAAGCCAATGGAAGACAATCAAGATTGGTACAGCAGAGCAAACAAAAGACGATTGTCCTGTGAGAACCTTAGCAGAATTTATAGATCGTACAGCAAGTCTACGTCATAATTTGCCAGATGACCACACATTATTCCTGGCAGAGATTGAAAAGGGTGAACAAGTCCACTCCATCAAACCAGCAACAGCAGCATCATGGATACAACAAACAATGCAAGGAGCTGGCATTGACACTAAGATATACAAAGCATATACATTGAGAGCAGCAGCAAGTACGTGGGCAGTAATGCATGGTCATAAGATTGAACAAGTAAAGGAACATGCAACTTGGTCAAGCAACTCAGATACCTTCGAAAAATACTATTATAAACCTTTCAACAAATTTCAAGAAAGCCAAGCAATCAGCAACACCATTTTTTCTACTATGGAAAACACTACCACCTCATCGGAATCTGGAACGGAGGCAACAATGATTGAAATAAGTATGACTTCCAATCAAACAGCTGCCGAAGTGGAAGGAGAAGATGAGGTGATCACCCGCCCTTCAACTTTCAACTGGATTTCTTCGCTGTTGTTTCCCTCCCAAGACAAATAGAAAAAATGAGTTAGCAGCGCTCAAAGATCTAAAGAAATAGGAACCGAAATTTTTTTATGCTATCTTAAAATAAAGCGTGGCGCGAAAGAGCCTTTACCACCTCATCAGAGCCTGGAACGGAGGCAACAACGATTAGGATAAGTATGACTTCCAATTACATTCTGACTTAATTGAGAAATTGTTTTGGTTGCTTTCGAAGTTAGGCTATTTCTTACTTCCTACAATGTTAATTTAGCCCTTCTTTTATCTCTGGAAATAAAATTATACTCTATTGTATTATACATTAAACAGAATGAGCAAAAACACTTTCTATTATGAAGATGGACTAGAGAATATCTTTAACGAGAATGGAGAGAAAGTTGTAGACCTAGTGGAGAATGTATTGACATATATCATCGATCCGAACATAGTTCTCACCACATTAACGAGCCAAGCTGCCTATTTGGCTGCTAAACCAGAAGATATTAAGGATACTGAAATGGAAGATGTAGCTGCTAATAAGGTCAAATTAGCGAAAGCACCCGTTAACAGTACGTACAGAAACTATGACGACCACACGAGAGAGGAGTTCATTGACCGAGTGATCGAAGGTCCCGTCAAAAGAGGAAGAATGTCGGCAGTTGCGAGAGAGTTAGGAATAAAGAATAGCATTGCTAAGCGTTGGTGGGAACATTATCAAGAGACAGTTGAGGTTCCGTATAAGTAACCTGAGAAAAATGTTGGCAGGCCTCGTACTTTTACTGAGGAACACGAAGAATACATTCAAGAAATAGTGAAGAAAGATCCACAATTGTGTGCTGTTGATATTATTGACTCGTTGACGTCCAAGTTTGAAGACTTCTCAATTTCCAAATCTCAAATGAATCATCACTTGAAAAACAATATGTTTATCACCGTGAAGAAGCCAATTTTTGAAGCAAAAATAAGAAACTCAGAGGATAACCTACAAACGAGATATGAATAGTTCATGAAGTGGAAGGATTCAGACATAGACTTCGAAAAAACTGCGTTTTCATTGATGAGGCTGGCTTTAATATTAATATGAGGAGCAACTGGGCAAGGTCAGAGGAACACCTGCCTTTGTAGAACTTGATAAGGCTCGTGCACTACCTCACACCATCATCGGTGCTATCCACTCCTCCAGTGTTATTCATGCCGCAATGAAAAAGCCCCCACCAAGTAAGGAAAAGGCTCCAAAACCTGCGGCAAGTAAAAGTGAGAAATCAAAAGAGAAAGCTTGCAAAGGGCAAACAAAGAGCAGGCGAAATCATCATTGAGGAACCTGTTGTAGAGTATATCGAGGTTGAAAGTATTGATGATAAGGAAGCCAATAAAACCCCCTCCAAAGGCAATACTACGGCTCATTTCATAAAGTTCATGAATGAGCTACTTGACATTATGGATATAAACGAAAGCCTAAAGGGCAGTTATCTTGTGATGGACAACTGCACCATTCACAAATCACATCCCATGATTAGAAAAATTGAGGGCAGAGGATACAGAGTCATGTATTTGCCTCCGTATTCACCAGAGTTGAACGCAGTCGAAAACTTTTGGGCTATTGTAAAAAGAAAAATGAAGCGCGAGAACCTAATGACAGAGGAAATTCTATCTCAGAGGATCGCTGATGCTTGCAATAATGTACGCGCTAGTGACTTTCGCGGATTCTGTGGTCATTCTAAGCGTCATATTACTTATTGTCGAGATAAAATTCACTTTTAATCAATCGCCAATCTTAAAACTGCCAAAATATTTTATTATTTCGCCAAATCATTTTTTTGTTAGCACCAAATTATTTGTTTGAACATGATATTTTATTAATGGTCCAAATGAGCGCAAAAATAAAATACCAAGATAAACCCGTTCAATCCGTTTGGAAGTGTACGTTAGCGAAAAAAAAAACCCATATGGATACAAGGGTAAAAAATGTAAACGGAAATTAATGAGTAGGGTTATCGATGAAAAGTTAAATGAATTGCTTTAACCATACAAGAAGCTTTTGACCATGGGGATGCTTAGTAGAGATCAATCTGTTATGGTGTAGCTGATCTAATTCATGTAGTAGGGAGCATATAATCACCAAGTTATTTTCTAAATCAGCCAATATTTACCAGCCTTCACTGTATCTTGTTGATATTAGCCTTGTATTCGCCTAAAGACCCTTCAAACGTCGCCCGTTCGTTTCGGTAGAGATCGTATGCCAACTCATTCAGGTATCATGGCTCCCCTTTCTGTAAGGAATCATCCATTTCCTGCATTGAATGGTGGATTGTTTCAATCTCACATCAATTTATTGACGTAAGATCTGTTTGATCAGCAAATGTCGCTTGATTCCTTCCGCTTTCGCCAAAACCACACGTAATTAGCAGAGTTATCCATTGTAATGTGTCTTGAATATATAAAGAAGCGCTAGGGGGAATGCGTGTCGATGAGCCTATATAGCCTCTTTTTGTGGATCAAGAAGAAAGAAAGAAAGAGTTCATTATTACAATATCGTCATTTTATATGCAAACAGGATTATTACGTGGTCAATGAGAATTGAGCATGTCGTGGTAGATGTTAATAGCATGTATTATTGTCAGTTTCTTTGTATTATTCATTCTCCATCTTGTGTGATTTTTAAAGGTTAGGATTGATGTAGACGATGGTTTAGATGACATTGTTGGGGTGACTCTATTACTAGTAATCGATGATGGTCATGCTGGAGTCTTCCGGTAGGGCTAGAGACGAACGTTGATTATTACCGGCGTATGCATCGTTTCTTGGACATGCGTTTGGGTTTCTCCACATACAGGATGTATTGAAGCTAGTATTCAACCCTTTGTTGTTGAACGTTCATGATACTGTTCCTATGAGCCATACTTTGATGAACATAAGATATCGGGTTTCTGTTTCCTATATCAGACTCATCTCGAACGGCTTCATAGATTATGACGGACCATCTTTTTTTATGATGTGTCTGCTTGCGATCATACTCTACAACGCTCGTTTGGATAGAACCTTGACGACCTTGAATGACGTGATTGATGGAAAACAAGACAGCTCTCGTAGCTACGTCCTGCATTATGTGCAATGAATACGCCTTTGCCATTTTTCTCTATCAATAGCTCTCCCCACATGGTACTTCTCTCGATTCAATGATTTTTTATCAAAAATAAAGTCGTCTGTTCATTCAAGACACGATTTGGGACCTGTCCTACAACACCAACAGGCAACTAGCACATCTGATCTGTCAACAAAGACGAATTTATTGTCATATTACATGAATTGTGTTCTTGTCATTGGGTGTATTTGTTTTCATCACATCTGATTTACTTTCTGGAAAGAGTACACAATAAGAGAAAAAAAAAGAACCAAATTCATTTGCTATTCTTGAAGACAGTCATTTTATTTTTGCTATTTTTGAAAAATTATTTTTATTGTTGTTTTTTCTTCTTTCCTTTTTTTCCTTTTCCTTTTAATAATCGTATAAAAATGTCCATCTATAACATGTCCAAGTATGACAAGTCTAGGTCTCGTACAGCGTCACCTAGACCTCGAATTGTAGGTGGACCTATGCGACCCATGCCAAATGCTCAACAAAGAATGATGGCACAGCAACAACAACCCCAACAACAGTTTCAACAGCAATTTCAACAACAATTTATACCACCTCAATACGAGGAATTCCAACTCTATTCTTCTTCAAAGGCAGGTCAGCATCATTTAATGGATTTCAAGACAAATAAAAAAGTTGATTTCAAATCATTTGCTCCACCTGTGAAATTACATCGTAAAGAACCTGATCGCATTCCATATAGACAATATATCCAACAAAAAAATAATGAGCAACAACAACAACAGGGGCAACAAGGACAACAACAACAACAACAACAGCAACTAGGACAACAGCAGCCTAGTCATGGTCCAAAGACGGGTGCTGATACATCATTAATTGCACCCATGGGTGGAGCAACTCGCAATAAGCAAATGTTGTTCAAGAAGAGAACAAAGCAAATTTATTTAGCAAAGGAAGACACAAGGGAACTAAAAGAGCAAGAACAAAGACCTTGGATATTAGAGGATATTGAAGGGCAAAACAACTTTACTGGTACCCTTGAAGGTGGTCAGCGATCAGACTATGTGTTCTTTGTCTTGACCGTAAAGTCGCATTTTTATCTTTTATTCATGTACCTTAATCCATCACATATAGAACGACGGATTCAAAGTAGTTCCAGTTGATCGCTGGTATAAATTCCAACCCAAGCGTAATGTGAAAACCTTGACTCCAGAAGAAGTCGAAGAGGCGGTAAGTGATGACGTCTTTTCATAATTGTCCTTTTTTTTTTTTAACTCATTTGTTTTATTAGTTCAAAAAGCGTAATAGACAACCTGATAACCAACGATGGGCTATGCTTAGTCGTCGTGAGAAAGAAAACCCAGAGAGTCCAATTCCTCGTCAAAAGTTTAAAGTGGTTGATAATGGAGAAAGAAAGTAAATATTCATTTTGACGATGCAAGGCAGTGGGGATACTCATTACTTTTTCTTTCTATAGAGGAGCAGGATCAGATGATGATGTACCTACTAAACGCGTAAGGAAGTTTTCTAGTTTTGTTTATTCTATTGCTTATGCCTTAGATTAGGATTCTGATATTGATGACTTGGACTTTGATGAAGATTTTCAGGATGATGAAGAGGACGGAGCTGAGCATGAGGCAGAAGATGAAGAAGTTAAGGACAGCAAAGTATGCATCAGATATACGGAAGATGATTGATTTTTAACTGATCATTTGCAATAGGAACGGTTTAAGAAAGAAATTAAAGGGTTTACAATTAATGGTGGAGATGAAGATGAAGCTGATACATTTGAAAGCACAAGCAAGTTATCTTCAGAGGGAAAGGTAAGGAAAACATATTTTATACAGACTCATCTGTTTACACATTGATTGTGCAGCAATTGCGCAAACTAGTGCGTGATCTTGAAAAGAACCGAGCATATGAAAGTGACGAAGATGAAGATCCATATGCTTCTAGTGCAGATGAAGCTGCTTCTGATGACGAAGAAAAGAAATCAGATGAAGAAGGCAAGGAAAAGAGCACTCCTACATTACCCAAGAAGAAGCCAGCAATGGCAAACTCGCCATCAAAGCTATTCATGCCAAAGAAACCAGTGACAAAGGTGAAAAAGGAAAGTGCATCAAGACCAGTGGGCCGTCCTGAGTCACCTTCTCTGTTTATGAACAAGAAGAAGGAAGGTTCACCTCATCCTACGTCTCCTACGCATAAGCCCACGTCGCCACCACATCATCCTAACGGTAATCATTCACCAACAGCGCCACCGCGCTCTGTTCCTGTTTCTGTGGATCAGAATAAAAAGCGCAAACCGGAGGATGCTTCATCTGGCCATTCTCCAGATCATAAGCATAGAAAGATGTCTGGTCCCTCCGATGAGGATCTGATTACAGAACAAGAAGTCATTGAAACTCTGCGTGGCAGGAAGATGACCACTAAGGAGTTCCTGATAAGTTTCCGTAAACGCATAAAGAAGAATCCTCGTAACCGAGAAGTGATTACGGCTCTACTTAAGAAGGTTGCAAGACATAGTGCAAGTAGTGATCCAAACACACATATACTTGAATTGAAGCCTGACCTTCAAAGACCATAAAAGCTCAAGAAGCTGTTTATATATGCCCAAAAATAAACTTGTCTGTGTAATAGGCTCTGTATGCATATAAATTACACACACATATATATATAAATTTAAATAAACATGCATGTGCATACAATATACACTCTTTTTCGAAATCAAAGTCGTGTGCCACGGAAAAGGAAGTCAGAGGTTTGACCTCAACGAGGCGTTGTGCTTTTATAGTGATGGCTTTGCCAACGACTTTCAATTTGTCATCATCCGAATTGATTTCTGGCCAAACACGACTTCTATTTTTGTCAACCTCTGACTTCCTTTTCCGTGGCACACGACTTTGATTTCGAAAAAGAGTGTTGTCTTAGTTTAAGTGACTGTTTTTACATTGTCTTTTACATTATTCGCGTCTATGAATGCTCGCGTTTTTTTTTAAGGTCCCCTTTTCTTTTTTTAATACTTTAGTACTGTCATCATTCAACCAATCGGTTATTTATGATGGACAATGCGCGGCTTCAGGAATTGCTATTGCTACTTGAAAAGAGGAATCAACAGAGAGAAGACGTTGATCTAGAGACCAAGTTCTTCAATGACATTTTAGAGTACTTTTTATCACCTAATGTTAACCATTGGTGGTGCACTGAAGCTACTTTACCTCTTGCAAGTGAATCACTTTGGCTATTTTCCTTGCCTGACCATGATCCCATCGTTCAATATAAAAATAAACTGAATCAGCAACTTAAATCATGTGGCTACTGCGCAAGAACTTACCAGACATCAAAAGTGATGGTCAGAAAAAGGTTTTTTTTTTATTTGTGTCTTTGGGTCTGATCAGTTGTTTATTAACTCATTGATTTGCTTTCGCTTGTGCGCTTGTAGATATGAGACCTTGTTTCCTAGACAAACAGTAGATCAGTTTTTTAATATATTGAATCAGTTTGATCTGTCAAGAATAAATTCAACCCTGCGAGAATATAATCATAATCCAACCATGACAGACGAAACAATATCTGTCTTATTAGAGATCATTTCTTCACCAACACTTCTTGGCAATGTGGAATGCGATGATCTATTCTGCAGCATGTTTGATCAGATTCAAAAAACTGGACTCTTTCCTACACTGGATGCTAGTACCGCAGCTTCTGTCTCACGGTTGACACTGCATCATCATCGTGTGGTGAGGTTCTGGGCAAGGAAGCTGTTTGAAAAAATTGCAGTGACGGGTCAGCATACTTTTTCAGAAGAGGACTTGTTACAGATCAAGGACTTGATTGTCTATATGCTGCAATTACTTGCAGGAACACATCAGCAACTTGTGGAATGTCCATTTAAAGCTACGCAGGACATGGGTGAGCTCTGGAAGGCATTACGACTTGTTGTAGTATCAGTGGATTCAGATATACTCAAACGGTCCTTGACAGATTCAGAAGTGTCCATGCTCACCCTTATCCGCACCCAGTTGTCGACTTCCTCGGAATGGTTAGTCGAGCTTCTGAAGACGATGACAGCCATGTTACTCAAGCTGCAGTCTCAGTTTTGGGGCCATATCCAGGAGGATTCAACACCGTATTACAACATAATTAGGCAAATATGCGAGCATCACGTCTTTCAGACAGTCATGAAGATTGCAAGAGAGGGCAACACAGGAAAGATTCTACAGAAAGATGGAACACAATACCCAGAAGACAAGTTGATGGCAAAGATCAAAAGCATTCTCGAATGGATGTATCCTTATTGGTCATCATTAAGAGGTTCTCCTGTAGAGCGGGAGATAACCGAAAGGATACTGGATACAACCTTTGGCTACTTTCAAATGGATACTTGGGGTGTCATGAGCAGAGCTTATTGTGCAGAACTGGGATTACAGATCATTGACCAATGTCTATCGGATGATACGGTTCCTGCTAAAAAGATTGAAGAGTATATCCCCAAGGTGATGGCGTTTGTCAAAACGGATCCATCTACCTTGCCTCTGGTTGTTCAACATATGCCCAAAGCGGCAACGAACCTGTTGGGCGATCTTGTAGATCGATATACAGCCTCTGTGATGAATGTCTTTCAGCATGTCTTTCCGTCAGAAGAGGATTTTATTGTGGAGCCTATGGCAAAGGACAGTTACTATCAAGCCATTTGGAACTCTGTCGTTAATAGCTTTCAAAAAGAGCCATTTTCTTCACAAAACTTCTTTAGTATCTTTTTGAAAGCATATGCAAATGTTGCATCAGCAGATATACATGATCTCGCCAAACAGACATTCAACAGTGCCTTGCCAGACGAGGTTGTTCCCTTAGCCGAAAAATTGCATATCATTCGCTCCCATGTATTGCAAGTACTTCATCATATGCCTTCACTGGATTGGGAAACAAGAAAGAGCATGATAATAGAGGGTGATCTTGTCAAGCCCCTCCTTCACTTGTGGTGTTCTCAGTATTCAGAATTTCGAAATTGGGTTATTCTGTTTATACAGCCTCATCCGCACATGACAAATGCAGATATCTTTGACGCCTTTTTCAACTTACAACCTTCAAAAGTGATTGAAGCTTTCAACTGGATCATTCAAGAGTATAATAGTCTATTTCATAGCAAGATTGATGTGTTCAGGTCTATACCCAGCTTCATACAGGTGCTCAAGTTTCACGTTTCCACGTTAACCAACAGATACATACAAACTCTACTTGGATCCAACAATGGACCGGCTGAAGAAAACGGACATATCAGTTTACTCTGGGATATCTGTTGGAAGACATGTCACTATATTTTTCAATCTGGTCTCAAATGGGCCGAATCATATAAGCCTCGCGAAGTAGTCGATACCATCCTACCTGTTTTGGACATTGCCACAAATCTACTACATTCTCGTCAGGCATTTGAAAGGCTTACTTCGTCTGATATCATTTCCTACAACTTCATGAGTGCTGCCGCCAGTTCACTCTCTCATTGGGTCTATGTGACACGCCAGGATGTGATTGATCTTTTGGTCCCTCTGCTTATCAACATGCTGGATGTCTTGAAAAAGGCAGAACTAAAAATATCAGTAGAAGCTTATGATCGACTGATGACAGCAGCAACAGGAGTAAGCACAAGCAAGTTGCAGCCTGTAGAAAAAGAAAAGCTTTTCATGGCTCTCAGCGCACACGAGCCAAATAACTTTATTTTCTTGAATGATAGTGATGAAGAAGAAGTAGAGTGGCAGCCGATTAATACACCCAACAGAATCGGTAGTAGTAGTCCAATGAGAGAGACGACACCAGTGAAAAAGAAGCAAATAACTTTGGCTCAAAGCTTTGCTAATGCTACTATCGGCTCACCACAGCGAGATCAAGTTCAAGAGAAAGGCAAGGGCATATCTAGCTTTGGGGGTGACAGTGAGGCACCTTATGTGGTATCTGATGATGAATTTGAAAAGGAGTATGGTGATATTGATTTGACGCAAATTGATGACGAGTGGTTTGCGCCTGTAAAGGAAGAGAGACATGATCCAATGGATGTGGATCTTAAACCAGTGTCTACTACTGCCCCTTCTTCTTCATCCAAAGCAGAAAGACAAGCAGTACCTATTGATGTACCAAGGACAAGTATATCTAATGTGAAAAGACAAGCAGTATCTATTGACGTGCCAAAGCGAGATTCTGGTGTATCAAGACAAGCGGTGTCCATCGATGTACCTAAGCGATATCAACCGCGTGTTTATGTACCGGAGACCACACAGCAGCAGACATATGCTGTAACATCCACTGGTCGTAAACTGAAGCCTCCTCCTATGGGATTCTCAAAATTGAAAAGCCTGAGAGAAGAATTCCGCGCTCAACAACGATTGATGGCTACAGTCAAGTCTCCCTCAGCCTCTGGTGTGATCAATCGAGACTATGAACAGGATAATTCGTCATCCGAGTCATCTGATGATGAGGGTAAGGGCTTACTTGGCTTGGTGAACGATATGGATAATCGCTCGGCTAATATAAAGGCAGAAAGTGCTAGTGTGAAGGCTTTGTTTGATACAAAACCCAAGCGTACAACTAAACTGCTTGAAACACCCATCTCGAATGAATTTCTTCAACGTAAAGCTAAACGGGCCAGGGAACAAGTGCGGAAACAAAAGATTGCACCCAACATTGACAATTTGTTCAAGGCCATTCTATCTTGGGATATCACTGTCACTAGCGAAACACCACCTGGACGAAAAGATTTAGCATATATACATGTGCCTACAACGTTCAAATCGTTTAAAGAATACAAGACAGCTTTTGAGCCCTTGCTCGTCATGGAAACATGGTCTCAGATCCAACGCGCTAAAGAAAGCTTATCTCAGTCGGATGTGATGGAGCGATGCCTGGTTGTCAGTCGATGCCATACGAATGATTTCGTTGATATTACATTTGCTATGCCAATGAGCCTGGTAACCAACAATATATCTATTGACGATCTCGTGTGCATAGCCAATCATTTTGGAACAGCCTTCTTTAATGATCCTACCAGCTTAACCGAGGGAACTGAAGCGATGAAACCTTGGAGAGGTAGAGCCTTCTTGGGTAAAGTCATTTCGATAAATCAAACAAAAAATGTGGGTGAAGTGGGTATTCGTTGCTACTTCACTTCAGACCGTATCAGCGTTTTAAATTCTGTTTCGCCCAAGACAAGCTGGAGTATTTTACGTATCATGAGTCTTACAACTGCCATGCGTGAGTATGCAGCATTAGAGGGGTTAGAGCACTTTGAGCTTGGTCCTGAAATACTTTGCCCTACGCCAAACACGGACGAAAAACCAAGCGCGTCGATTATTCAACAGTATTGTAAAAACTACGGATTAAATGAGCCTCAGGCTCGAGCTATTGCATCTGCCATTCAAAAGCAATATGGATTCTCTTTGATTCAAGGGTAAGTTTTTATATTAAAGTGCATCGAAAAAAAAAGGTAGCTGATTTGGTCATAGTCCTCCTGGAACGGGTAAAACAAAAACGATCTTGGCCTTGATTGTATCCTTGCTAGACCAACGATCGAATTCGACTCAACAACGTCCTATTCATGGTAAACTTCTCGTGTGTGCGCCAAGTAATGCGGCTGTTGATGAAATTACGAAGCGACTGAAGGATGGTATCATGACAGCACATGGTGTCAGGAGGCCGAATGTCGTGCGTATCGGTGTAGCAGATTCAGTGAATGCAAGTGTCAAAGACCGTATATTAGATCGTCTAGTTGAAGCCGAGATGGATGCTGCTGTTGGAAACGATACAACGATTGCAAAGATAGGTGCTCGTCTTGACAGTCTGCACAACGAGATTCGCAATATTCAGATTGGACTTGATGATGTCGATCGAGAAATCACACAGGCAGGAGGTGATATGGTACAAATGTCTATTCTTCGTGGAAGGCGTAAAGCGCTCGCTCAAAAGCTAGCCAAAGCCAGGATTGCTCTCAAGGACGCTCATCAGGATCAAAAGAATTATGGTCAAGAGATGGAAGTATCTCGTATCAGGGCGCGTCAGAAGGTACTTGCAAATGCAGATGTTGTCTGTGCCACATTGAGCGGTAGTGGACATGATATGCTGACAACGATGGGAATGTCTTTTGGAACCGTCATTGTGGATGAAGCTGCTCAGTCGGTTGAGATTAGTTCTTTGATTCCTCTCAAGTTTGATACACAGAAATGCGTTCTTGTCGGAGGTAACGAACAACATAGGCCTTTGATCGTATACACTTTTCTCACTTTTTTTTTCATATAGATCCTAATCAGCTGCCACCCACGGTCATGTCCACGATGGCCGCTAAATACGACTATCAGCAGAGTTTGTTTATGAGATTAGAGAAAACAATTGGAGAAGAAGTGAACCTGTTGAGGTAAGCGTGATAGTAGCATATCGTATCAGGCACCTTATTCCTTTATATAACTTTAGTATACAGTATCGTATGCATCCCGAGATTAGTAGCTTTCCAAGCAAACTGTTTTATCAATCTCGATTACAGGATGGTCCTCAGATGGATAAGGTGTCATCTGCTGTCTGGCATACGCTACCGGAGTTCCCTCCCTACTGCTTCTTTGATGTTTATGATGGTCAAGAAAAGATGGGCAGAGGCAAATCTATCTTTAATACAGCAGAGGCAAATGCCGCAGTGACTCTTGTAGACTTGCTTCTTACAAAACTACCTACAGTCAAGGTAAAAAAAGAACCATTCAAAGAGAAATTCAATGCTCATCTATACTAGTTTGCTTCAAAAATTGGTGTTATTACACCTTATAAGCAACAAGTAGGTCAACTAAAAGCTGCATTTCAGAAACGGTTCGGAAGCAACATTGTGGATGCGATTGACTTTAACACAGTCGACGGCTTTCAAGGGCAAGAAAAGGAGATCATCATTTTCTCTTGCGTAAGAGCAGGAAGTGGTAAGAAACAAAAAAGAGTGAGTATATTTGAATAGAATGTAACTTTATCAAAAAGATCGTGGTATTGGTTTCCTTGCCGATATGCGTCGTATGAACGTCGGCTTGACTAGAGCCAAATTCTCTTTGTTTGTCTTGGGCCATGCATCGTCGTTGGCAAGAAGTGAATACTGGGGAGAACTTGTCCGTGATGCAGAACGAAGATCACTCATCCGAGAGGTAAAGGAAAACATGAATACAAACAATTTACTTATACTTAATAGTGTCGATACCCCTACTTTAATCATCGCATGGACGAGTCCAGGATACCTCAAAACATTTACGAGAAAGAATTTACCCCCGCTTCTTCTGTACAGCCAGATACGACTCCAAAGGGACCGGTTAGGATATCTGAACCAACCTTATCAACAGACTCACCTAGAGTGGGGCAAAAACGATCACCGAGTCCAATAAATGACTCAAGATCTTCCACACGACCTAAAGTTTCTGAAGAACAGTCGTTTATTGAAAAAGTAAGAAACTTGAAGGAAGTGCAAGGCACTCGACCTCAGCAACATCAGCTAAATAAACATGAACCACAAAAAGTGAGCCTTCATCAGTATCGTGCTGCAAGAGGTATGTATCCATCAGGACAAGGTGGTAAAAACAGTAATAGCAGTTCAAGTGGTTTATTCATTAATAAGAAACGACACCAACCTATGGCAAGTTATTTTTTTAAAAAAATATACTGATGAATAACTTCTTTTTTAGAAGCCAAAGCGAGCACAGTCGGATTGGCCAGAGGGGCTGAGTGCAAGAGAAAAAGCAAGTCTAGAGGTAAACTCTTTAGCATTTCATGACTAAGCTTGTTCATACTTTTGTATAGCATCAAGCTGCAAAGCAAACCATGAAACAGATTAGAGAACGAGAACGACAGAGTGAAAATAAAAACAAAAACACGCCTCCACCTGTACGTAGCATCGATTCCATAGTACAAGATGTAAAAAGTAAACGGACACGGTGTGATTAATAGCATAAACATGCATGTACATATTTATTTTTTTCTTAATAAAAAGAAATATTCGAATCACCTTCAGCTGGAGCGTCCAAATCAACATAAGATTTGACCTGACGAGGATCTCTAGGAAGATTCTCGTCCTGTCTCATGGGCCTTCTTGAGTTCCAAGAGGGCTGCATGTCAATACCCAAACGTGGTATTTGTTCCCAAGAGATAGCAGGAGGACGCATGATGAAGGCAGGTTGAGAGATGGGTACCACCGGTTGTTGTGATTGAGTAGGAAGTAAATGGTTTGGATCACATACATAGTTGTTAAAGTACTCAACCTCAATCTTTTTACGTTCAATCTCGTCAGCATGCTTCGTCATGATATGCTTTTCAACAAATGGAAGTCCTTTGAAAGCCTTGGAACATTCACCCACTTGACACTTGAACTTTGATTCATGCTCTTGTAATACATGCTCTCTTAAAAAGTCGTCAATTTCACTAAAAAGAATTTAGTATTCTACAAAGGTTTATACCATGTGCACACACACCTCTGTAAAACTCTGCCACCTAATTTTTTAAGCTCACGCTCATCAGGGGTGTGTATCTTTAAGGATATCTTTTGATCCAAGTTCTTTGCCCATTGGATAACTATAAAAACAAGGAGCCTATGAGAGACAGGTTCGAGCATTCAAAGTCATTCTCACCTCCTTTTTCATTCTTTGATTTCGAGTCACTCGGACTGCTGGCTTCAGGAGAAGCACGACAATGGGGTTCACAGCACTTTCGATTTAACTCTTCCAATGAGTCACATTCGACCCCACAATAATAGCAGTACATATGAACGTGGCGTAGATAGGTAATGAGCATATCCAGCTTCTTTTTCAACTTGTAAATCTCATCCGCATCACTGTGTTCAGCAATGACCTTGTCCGCACGCTGTTCGACTAGCTTCATTCCGTTTTCTTCCTCTGAAAGCATGGCTTCCAGTGCAGTTGCCAACTCCTTTATTTGGTCCAGATCTTTTTTCAGACGATCTGCACTTTGTGTAATCTCGGGTGCTGTACGGGGTGTACGATTCTGGGCTGCACTCTTACGGTTGAGGGCTAAATGGATGACAAAATCGTCTACTTTTTGATTATCCAGTTGATCAAACGCCTTCTTAATGTCTGTGCCTTGTTGAAAGCAAATCCAGCCGATACGATGAAACTTCCGGCTAGGTTGAGGCTCAGAAAGGGCCAGATAATCAAATCCTTCCACTTTGCTGCACATCTATACATAAATAAGTAAAGTGCACCCAAACAATCCACCCTCATGACTTACCTCCAGAATCTTTTCTCTGGCAATCGTAGGTGGAACTGTCTTGATCACTAATCGAGACTCGTATTCCTCTTCTTCATCTGTTGGTTGTTCTCCTGCCGTGCTTGATTCTGGCTTTTTGTCAAAGCAAACATCATCAAATTCACCTTGTTCAAGAGAAGCCAAGAACTCCTGCATGTATTTCTTTCTACGTTGTATCATTTCTTCATAACGAGCACGGGAGTGAGTCGGATGATATTTTTCGAGAAACCACTGTTTGTCTTTATTAGCCGAAAAGAACTGTGATAACTGGCGAGCAGCGAATTTTTCTTTATAGTGACTATATCGCTTTTGAACATCCTCGTCATCAATGCGTCGATTGGATGTTCTTTTAGTGTATTCATAGAATTGTTTGTAAGGCACAAGATAGTCAAGTTGATTTGGATCCATTGGAAATCTTTTTTTTTGTTTTACCCCCGTTCATGGGTAACGAGTTATTATTATATGTATTAATATATAAACAACAACATACCTTGCCCAAGCTAGTTGTGGGTTCATCATTTCTATAAAGCGTTATTTTTAATATATTTTTACTTGTAGTTTAGTTTACCCATCATGGGGAAATTGCCAAAGTGATCTTGTTCCATTTCATCTCTTCTTCTTGGTGATGGTCTTCTCTTATGTCGACGTTCTTTTCATATGGTCAAAGTTGAGCAAAAATAAAAGTAATAATAGAAAAAAAAGAAAGATAATAGAATAAAGAAATAAGAGATAAAAAATACGAAAACGTAAAGAAAAAAAGTCAAGTTCTACCTTCAGGAGGAGTGGGACTTCGACGACTACGTTTTCTTCTATCATAATCGTCATGACTTCTTTCATGACGAAACTTGTCCCGTCCCTTTGTTGTTGTATCGTCATCTGACCAATCGTTGTAAACCATCTTTTGTACAAAAGAAAAAGAAAAAGAAAAGAAAATAAAGCTACCGTCATTTAGACCACTAGAAAATTTGGTGTACGCTGGCCAATAGCATAGGGTTTAAACCTAAAATTAGATTTTGAAAAAGTGGCAACCCATTTCAACCAGTATTTACTGGCCTATTTCGTCCATTTGTGTACCTTTATTTCAACAAGAGGTTTTCGTCTAAAACCAAAGCTAGGTTCAACCAAATAACACTGAACTGTCAGCTGAAGTCAGCGTTTTCTTTATACTGAAAATAAGTAAAGTGAAGATTAGATATACACGCATCAATTAAGTAGAGCATTCAAAGGAATGACTTGGAAATAAAAAATCAAGCGAAAAACGATGTCATACATATTTCCAAAGAGAAAAGGATCAAACTATTCAGGCATGTGCGTTTATAAGCTTTAGTTACAAGCAAGTGGTGGAAAAAATAGAGAATACCTGCATCTACGCTTAAGTCTTGAGTTGATACAACGGGAGAGACAGCAGGCTACGACATGATACTAGTATAGCTAATGTATCGGATACAAAGCAGACAGTCTGAACATGCGGTGTGTTTAATATACCGGGTGTATAGGAGGCTATTACACGTATTCCATAGTAGGAATGGGTATACATTTATATAAAGAAGCTGAGTAAATGCTGGAGCTGGAACCAAAACTTGAGTGCTGTGACAGTCGATGCCTTTAAATAAAAATGGTTGAAGATGGGTATATATCTCTATCCTTCATAGAAGCTGATGCCTTATGCTTTGAAGAAGATACGCCAGGATGGCGTAAGGGATTACATTCTGATAACACCGAATTAGCGAATGCAGCTCTGGTGGCCGAGCATTCTGCAGCTCACTCGACCAACCCCACTGGTCTTCAAGATGCACAATCTCTTCTCAGTGATCGCATGACGATTATCCGGAAGTACCGGGAAAAAGAATAGATGGATGAGGCTATAGAAAAGTTTCCAGACCAAGCTGTGATATTTGTAGTTGTTTTAGTAATAAGAATGGACAAAAAGTACAACGGGACCCTTTACGTTTCATTTATTTGGAAGAATAGGCCAATGCTACATGCACCAGAAAATAGGCTAATTCTACGGGCGCTTCTTCTAGGCACTGCATGTAAGGTAGTGAAATATCCTTTGACATAAAATAGTTCATCATAATTACACGCGAGTTAAGAGGTCTTTGTTGATCAAACTGGCAGCATAAAACTAGAATAAAAGAATAAAAAAAGCTCTTTTTCTTTTTTTATCTCTTCTTAAAAGAAACACAAAACAAGATACTGACTTTTTAAAGTCGTGCTTAGCGTGATATTCAACGACCGAATTTGCCAAAGAATACTTCTCGAAGATACTACCTTGACAAACTGAAGCTGGTTTTGGTATCAAAGCTCCATTTGAGCTCCCTTCTGAAGAATATCAAATCAACTCAAACTGGTTTGTATATGCCCTTCATACAAATCATGGGGCTTGATCGTCATTTGCTTCATCTTGCTTTGGCATTACCGAAACAGTACATATTGATAAACGTGGTTATCTTTTCGTGCTCTGTGACAAAGATCCAGGTAAATGAAGGTGAAATTGAACAATTGATCAATGTTATTTTGTATATAAAGGTAGCGTGACATGACTATTACTCACAGTACATTCAACTCAATCATTTGTACATTATTATAGAAATCTGCTTTGGAGATGGAGGCTCAAATCAATGATGCTCGAATTAAAAGGCATATAAGTAAGATCGATGACTTCTTAGGTGCGAGTCCTGCTGTTTGAATTCCAACAATGGAAAACAAACGCTGTCTGGCCAAACATAAATATTTTGGAGGATAGCTTCAGCTGAGATAATGACGCTGAGGATACTGAAGAAGACATCCATGATGAGGAAGAGGAGAGTAATGAGATTGATGGTGGAAAAATGAAGGAAATAATTTGTAAATAAATTTAATATGTTCATTCTTCTTCTTGTGATATTTATTGGTTCTTGAACATCATTATTTGGGCCACCACAGAGTTCGTATCTGATGTAATATTCATAATAACTTCGTTATTACTATCAGCTGTAGTTGCACTTAAATTAGCTTCTGGTCGCCTTCGACAATAGCCAAACTTTTCAAAATAGCCATATGCAAATAAAAGTTTCAAAACGTGCAAAGCAAGTCTCAAAAGCCGATATGGCCTCTTTTGAATTAGAAATAGGATTATTCCAAAAACGAGGATGACGAAAAGAGGATGATACAAACGAAGGCTGTTTTACAGCAAAAATGTAGCTAAGTGCTCCAAAAAAGGAAATAAATAAAAAAGATTCAAAAAAAGGGGGCCAACAGCATTTTCAAGGTATATCTGTTCAAAAACAAAGGTCTATTGAAAATGCTATTGTTACTCTATAATTGAGCCCTTCAGTTGCATAACAAAGAGAGATAAACTCCTCGAATATCGATACAAGTCACATTGACAAAAACAAACAATAAAAAACGCTTTCCTGCTTTTTTTTTATTTATTTTATACATGGCAGCATCACCACATAGAGGCACTGGTCACCATAACGAACTATATCCACCCGATAAGGAGCCAGTGAAGGCTTATTTAAGAATTCGACCTAAACCACCTCATTATGAGTCCGACATGGAGGATCCTTATTTGCAGATCATTAACGATTTAGAAATCTCTATGACTCCACCACAAGTACAAAACAGATAAAAAAAAAAGTACAATAGACTGTAATACTGACATATCAGCAGGATTCCAACGCTTATCGTACAAGAAATAGAACACCCGAGCGATACAGATTCACTCGGATCTTTACAGAATCTGTCACACAGCAGGAATTTTTCAACAAGACAACATTACCACTAATCCAAGACGTGTTACGAGGGGAAAATGCCCTGATCTTTGCATATGGAGTCACTAATTCAGGCAAAACGTATTCAATTATGGGTACCAAGAAACAACCTGGACTGCTGCCACGTACATTGGACGTGATATTCAACAGTATTGATGGATTCTTGAGTGACTCCAAAGTGAAGCCATGTATGCATAGTCTAGTACAGACCTATATACACGATGAGGAAGAGAATAGGAATATATTTGATCACCCCAATATGACCGTAAGTAGAATGATGTTCACCTTATCGCTCCTTTTTTTTTTATTTATTTGTATACTAGAAAGAGATTTGGGAAAACAGGGACTCAACCGCGATTCCGATTGAACAAAACTTTGAATATGGTATCTGGTTATCCTTTGCTGAGATCTATACAGAAAAGATTTATGATCTCTTGGTTCGGCCTGATCATCTATCCAAGAGACAAGCTTTACCATTAAAATACGAGTACAGCAGTGGACATAAATATATTGCAGGATTAAAGGAAGTACGCGTGCAGAGCATTGACGAGGCCTATGCGATCCTACTCGAAGGACAGCGAAATCGTGCAGAATATTCCACAATGACTAATGCAACAAGTAGTCGAAGCCACAGTATTTTTACAATCAGGATTGTAAGGGTGCCTATCGATGAGAATGATTACATAATCGAAGTGAGTCGTAAAAAGAAAGAAAGAGGGAATGCATCATGACTGACTTTAGTACGATAGGATCCTGTATATGCTACTGTTTCAAGGTTTTCAATTGTTGATTTGGCTGGCTCAGAAAGATATAGGAATACATTAAACTTTGGTAAGTTTGTATAAAAACAAAAGAAACTATTTTTTTTTTCTGACTGTTCGTAGGTCAACGATTAAAGGAAGCGGGTAATATCAATAAATCATTGATGGTGCTTGGACAATGTATGGAAACACTCCGATTGAATCAGGTCAAAGTAGCCATGGGCAAGGTAGTTATGCATACACGCCTACGCAATCATACTAATAGCTCGTAAAGAAACCGATGATGGTACCTTATCGACATAGTAAATTAACAGAGCTATTCAAAAGCTCATTTGAAGGAGATGGAAAAGCTGTGATGGTGGTCAACGTGAATCCATTTGATACAGGGTTTGATGAAAATAGTCATGTTATGAAGTTTGCAGCTGTTGCGAGGGATGTCACTATCTGGCGTAGAATGCATCCAAGAATCGAGCCTGAACAGATATCAAATTATGGTAATTGATATTTTATCTCTTTGCTTAACGATGTCTTATGTTTTATAAAAGCAAATAAGCGACCTAGAACACAGCACAGGATAACAAGAAGGGTATATGAAGATGAGGTGATGAGAGATGATATGGAAGAACCATCATCAACAATTATTAGACAATCGAGCAGCACTAACAATGAAGAAGAAGAAGAGGAAGAATATGACCCGTTTGTAGATAATTTAATTGAACAATTAGAGGATTTACGTAACAAGTGGATTGAAGCAGAAGGACGCAATACGACATTAGAAGCAAGGCAGAAGGTGGCGCAAGATATAGAAGCAGAAATGAATTCAATAAAGCAAATGTATCTAGATTTATTAGACAGACAGGCAAGTCGTTAGTATTAATATAATGTGTATAAACACTCACTTTATATATAAATATACATAGAACAAGATATCAGAATCAGAGACACAGCATTTAAATGAAACGAACAAACAAGGTAAGACTCATTTATAGTGTTTGATTCATGCCTTGACGATTTTCTAGATTTGGTTAAGGAGGTAAGATGCTCTCTTTAGAGGCTTTACACTTGACTTATATCAAAAAAGATACTTGATCGACAAGAAATGCTGAAAAACGAACTGAGTCAATTCAGAGACTATACAAGCAAAGATGAGGATACAAAGACGAAATTGCTGGAGAGGATAACAGAGTTAGAAAAGGATAAACAAAAGCAACAAGAGCATATTCAAGAATTATATAGAGAAGTCAATCAGTTGAGACTTGTAGCTCAAGAAAAGACAGAAAAGGAACAAAAGGTCGAGTCGATACAATCGATGGAAGTAGACGCATCTACTACTACTACTATTCAAAAAGATCCCGTGTTTGATCGATTCTTAGATTTAAGAAAGAAGCTACGACGAAGTATCTTTCGAGGCGAAGAGTATTCTCATGATGCAGATGTAATTATGGGTGAAATTGAGCAGTTTCAAGATGTGACATTTGAACTTGTCAAGGTAAATAAAGACGACAGAAGAAGAGGAGGAAACTGAAGCTTTACAGGAAACAAATATGGGCAAATTGCTCAAACTGATCACACAACGAGAATTCAAGCATGATCCATACAACATTAAACAGAGAGCCAAGACTTTGTTTAAGAAATATGCTAAAATATCTATACCCATCTTGGCATCCAAGAAACCAAGTCAGATGGTGGCTATTAGTGTAGACGCTGGTGGAGAAGAAGAGTTTATATCGGATATGCGTAATGCTTTACATAGTTTACAAGATGAGAATAACAAGCTAAAGTGCAAATTAAAGGTAAGATGATCACGTTTGTTTTCAATAGCTCACCACACATCATAGATTATGCAAGAAGGTCAAAGGAGGTTAAAGGAAGCCTTTGAAAAGACGCGATCTACTCCTGTTTTATCACAAGAGGTAATCATGAATACTATCAAGATATGTATTTACTTTTTTTTATTTTAGTCAAGGGATACAGAGTCAGAATCATTTAGTCCGGTCTTGGGTGCAGTAAAAGAAGAGGAGGATCACTTGACACTGATTGATGATGTGGATAATATGGCCTTAAGTCCAGGGCAATCAACATTTCCTAGACAAATGAAAAGAAAAAGGGTACATATGAACATATATAAAGCTACAATCTAACATTGCTTTATTCACAGACATCCATACGACAACCATTCATTTAATCCTTTAAATAAAATGAAGTTTCTCCGGAGTTTTAATATTTGCATTGATATTGTTTTTGTTTACACCCATTTCTGTTTTCTTTTTTTTTTTTTGTTTGTATGTCTTATTTGACAAAGGATCAACTTGGTAAAGAGTTTTGTATGAAAAAACAAACGTCAAAAAAGCTAATTTATCATGTAGAAAATTACTTGAACGCACTCCCGAGCAAGCCAACTCATACACCTTCTCGAGACTATCAACAGTTAAAAAAGGAATTAACATATGAGTCCAAACGCAATCAACATGGTTCGGATGACATCAAGACACCCAAGACACCTAGACCTCTATCTAAAGTGAGTGTGACAAGTCCTCTTTATGTAGGTCAAGAATGTTCTGCATGTCACCAACAAGTACATGGCTCGGTTGTATCTGTTCCTGGCAACGGGGTTTGGCACTCTCATTGTTTCACTTGCAAGGCATGCCACAGACAACTCGAGAACGAGTCATATTTCGAAAAGGATGGTGATATATATTGCTCTGTTGATTACCGTCGACTCTTTACCTTGTACTGTGATACATGTGGTGAACCTATTGAACGAGTAAGTTATTTGTGTTGCAACCATGTCATGTTTGTCTTATTTTTTTTTTCTAGCAAGTTATCCGTGCTCTAGGTAAATATTATCATCAAGATCATTTTATCTGTTGTGTCTGTAAGCAGCCATTTGGCGATCAACAGTTTATGGTCCTTGATGATCAACCTTACTGCCAGCAAGACTATTTGAAAAAGTGCGGAAAGAAATGCAGTGGATGTGGAGAATACTTGCAGGGAGAATATATCAATGCATTGAATCAGGAATGGCATAAGTCTTGCTTTCATTGTACAGTAAGTTGACCATTCACCCTATATACTGTTTTCTTATATTCTTTCTAGGTATGCAAACAACCATTTTCCAACGGCTCGTTTATGGTTAAAGACAATAAGCCTTATTGCGAACAGCACTATCCTCGTCATGTTGCAGGTCGAGAAAAGCCTCCTGTGCCTACAAAACCAGCATCCTATACAAAACCCATATCATCATCACCCTCATCGCCTGTAACACCAACAAAGCCATCAGTATTAAAACCAACAGTACCAAAACCATCTACATTAAAACCAACAGTGCCAAAGCCATCAACGGCATCGCATGCCAAGAAAGTATGTCATGTGTGTCAAAACATTATTGATGGGCCTTGTGCAAATGCACTCGGACACGACTATCATATTCATCACTTTCAATGCAGTCGTTGTAACCGAGCTCTTTCTTCCCGAGTGCCAGGTAAGAAAAAGAAGGAAAATACAAAATCAACGATATCAATTGTATATTGTTTGTTAGGCATGTGGCAAGGAGATTCGCGAGGAGAGCTTGTTTGCAAGATGTGTATAAATAAACACGGTTAATTTCATTTATTTTATTATGTCAGCATCTTTGAAATAGCCTGGGATATCTCTTCGTCCATCTTGATTTCTTCTGAAGGACCAAGTTTGACATGAGCCAATTCTGCTTCAAGATCATTTAACCGACGTTGTAACTCTTCCTTTTCTTGTTTCATCTGTAAGTATTTAGAATCAAGGGTATCATCAAAATATTGTAGTAGTTCTAAAGCACTTGGTCTCTGACAAGGTTCCTGATGCATCATCTGTTCTATCCATTTCGATTCAGCAGGATACCTAGAGAGAAAGTCTGGTGGCACTTGGCCCTGATTCAATTTGAGATCTGTCAGCATGTGAGAACGCTCCATCATGGTAGAGAAGGGCTGGAGTAGTTCAAACAGGATGATGCCAAGTGAGTAAATGTCGGCCTTTTCGTCATAGGTTGTGCCTTCTAATTGTTCAGGCGCAGCGTACTAATAAAAAAGGAGTCAATGATATGAGCTGAATAATAAACCAAACCTACTGTTCGAGTGCCCACACCGATTGTTCGGTTCCTTCTGCTTTCTCTTGATGAGCACCTTGAATTACTGTTGTCGGTGCTACTGCAACTGCTATCAAGTGTTGTCGCCGTCGTGTTATTACTAGAGTCAATTCGAGAATTACTAAAAGACATTTCTTCTATCAGCGTAATCTTGGGCAGGTTGTTATCCACCACATCCACTTGTTGCTCCATAATACTTGCAGCCAAGCCAAAATCACCAATCTTGGGCACGATAGTATCATTATCATAAGTCAAGAAGATATTACCTGGTTTCAAGTCACGATGAATCAAGCCTTGTTGATGAATATAGGCAGCACCCGACAGTATCTGGGTAAACAGTTCAACATTTGTCTTTTTAAAACCAGGTTGATCTATGATACTAATGTCCTGCTGATTCCTTGTATTGATAGATTCCTGCAGCGTACCTGAATAGGGTTACACACACGTCTATGCCCAAATAGTGTTATTCTTACTTGGACAGAGTTGCATTTGAATATACAGTATGAACCCATCTGACTTGTTGGCATCCTTGTCTTGGTCCTTTTTTAGTGAATAGATATCTTCCGTTCTAGACGCATCAAAAGAATAATCATCCTCATCCAACTCCACCTCATCTAGTGCGGACGCATATTCCAGCCAAGACGAATAATATCTCACCACGTTACGGTGTTCCAAACGGGCGAGACTCTTTATTTCCCTAAATATCTTTTCGTACTGATCATTGTAATTATCTGCCACCAATCGAATCTTTTTGACCGCATACACAATATCGTCTAGCTTATTCCGTGCCTTCCACGCACTCGCAAACCCTCCACGCCCAATCATCGATTCCTCAATAAAATCATTGCGGTACCTCGAATGCTGAACGCTTAGGATGGAATCTGCGGATGTGATCAGTTTAGGACTTCCACGCTTTACCATTTCTGTTGTCTGGTAGAATAGATGATTGAATGCTTTATGATATGAAGAGCGAAGGGAGGCTAGTTCATCCATAAATTCATAGTGTATGATGCCTGCCTGACTCAGTCGTTGACATAGTTTCAAAAACACCTGTCGTTTCATTTCGGGTGTATCTCCGTAGACTTGGCAAAGGGATTCAATTAGTGAGACAAGTAAGACCTTGGTTGGGTGGTGACTAGTGCTGCTTGTGCTGTTGCTGCTACTGGCCATATTGTTGATATTGGGTGATTGTGCAATGGCCATGAATCCTTCTGTGTGGTCATGTAAGTCAATAAATAATTCTCCTTTATTGCATATTTTAAAAAACCTGGTGGTTCAAGTCTATTGTTACTATCATCTTCTTTTAGGTCTTGTATTCCAATGTTGCTTGAATCTTGACTTGGCTCTGATGAATACATGCTACGGGTTGAATGCTATTTACAAATATTTAATACAGAAAAAAAAAGAAAGACACACATTTCCGATATTAAAAAACCACCGAAATAGACTACACAGGGATTTTATTTCAATTAAAAAAAAGAGACAACCTTTATTTTCGATGCAATTCAATGACTTCTTGATGACTATGATGATTATTACTATTATTATTACTACTATTATCATTAACGTTATGAAAACTGGGTTCAGGTTGAGATATGTTATGTGAGTCAAAAAAGGGTGTATTCAATGTAGGTGATGTGGGTGAATCACTTTCTCGATAATCATAGGATCTCATAATACTTGCAGTTCTTTTTGGTATGTTCTTGTGCTGTGTCAATTCGGATTTAGGTAGTGTCCTGTTGGATCTACTCACTGTCCTTCCGATACTACTATTATTTTCTTCTACGAGTATCTTTGTACTTGATTCTTCTTGTTGTTGCTGTTGCAATAATAATTCTTCCAGCAATTCTTCTGGTGCAGGTGAAACACAGACAAGCGGGAATACGCCCTTCAGACCTGTTGTCACATTAAATCCAAGTGCCCAGCCATCATCAAAGTTCATGGCAACACATACGATATCGCCTACATGTAATCCCAGTTCATCACCCATCTGCGGTGGATAAGGGTGCTTGACTTCATAGAATTCCTCAAGTGGTGGTGGCGGTTGAATGGACAATGGTGGTGGTTTATTGCCATTATTATTAGGAATGAATGGATGCTGTTGATAACCATTCGGATGATGGTGACTATTTGGAACGAGTATACGCTGTGAGGCTAATGATTCATAACCGAGGACACTTGAATTATCATGATATGGTTTTTTCGATTGACGATGATGCTTCACTTGTTGTCCTCTCTTCTTTTTGTAAAAATAGAAATAAGCGAGTGCTCCAATAATGGCAATAAACAGCAGACAACCTATGACAATGCCAGCAATTTCTCCTGGTGATAGACTTGAGCATTTTACTGATTTACAGCATGCATCTGTTCCATTTGTTTTGCAGTAATTACAAGCATCCGATGCCCCTTGAAATCCTGCATTTGATTATATATTGTCAATTTCATTACCTTGCAATATTCATTACCATTTGACTTACCACAGTTATTTGGTTCATTTGCTTCTCCAAGTATACAATTATAAGTACCATTTAGACCAGACCAATAGACACAAGAAGAGTTGAGATTTATCATACTTTCCCTTTGTTGTAGTATATTAGGACATGTGTCTGTGTTATTAGTAAGGTCTTCTACGCTTGCTGTATAATCAAAACAAGTTCTTTGGCAGAGAGGCGGAGGTGATAGACTCTTGTTGTAATTGCATGGAAGTGAATAACTTGAATCTTGTATCAGAGTTGCACACATGTAAGTCAATGAATAACGTGCGTAGGGTATCGTGCTAGCAATAGAGGCCTTGTTAGCACAGCCTAAGGGTGCCAGATAAAGTTGAGGTGAAATAACAAAAGATTGCATGCCGGCATCAAACGTTTTGATATCTGTCACTTGTTGAAGAAAAGGGTATTTGGCAGCGAGTCCTGTTAGACTGATGTAATATTCTTGAAAGGCTGGACAAGTCGTTGAACCTGATAATGAAAAGCATGAATCATCTTGTGAAAGAGATGTTGAAAATAATGTGTAAATGATTGCAAGCCGTAAAATTCTTTTCATGTTGTTGTTGTAATAAATAATTGTCAGATCTATGCACACACACAAACACACACAAATATCAAGTATATAGGTATTGTTAAAATGACAAACTGGGAGCTAATGACAAATAATAGCACACACACAAGCAGGGCAACACACACACACGTATACACAAAATATAAAGAAAAAAGAAGAAGAAAGAAAAAAAAAAAGTGTAAAAATAGAGGGCTGGTTTATCTTTTTTTGGAGTTGAGCTTCAACAAGTTACAGATACAGCCTCTGCCTTCTTCCAATAGACGATTTTTTTGTGTGATAATAAATTTGGCTGGGTTCAAAAAATACTTTGGCACTTTTCAGCCGCAATGGGGGGGACTTGAACCATTTTAACAAGGCTTGAAGCTATTTTTAAAAAAAGCAAATGAAATCATACCTTGCGCCACTTTGTTGTCTGACAAAATATTCAATCACCGAATGTATTTTTATTTATGAAGAGTTTGATCTGTTGTTTGATAAATAAAAGAATGAAATCAAAGGGGAATCACTCACATTGAATCAATATTGAATGATGCATGAAATAAGCTTGTGTAATAATCAACTCCCCTTTGCATTATTCTTTGTTTGGCATCTGTCAATTGGTTTGATTTATTATTATAATCTGTAGCTTAATTAAGCATCATTCATGTCAATCAGTTTAGTAACTGCATTATTCAACAAAAGGTTGATCAATTGCTTAAATGAATACAGTGCTTATTTTCCTATTTGATGGACAATGAAATAAAATAAAAAAAATTTGTTTGTTGTTAAAGAGGAGGTTTTTACTATTAATAGAAAAAAAGAGAGCATTGACACGTTCAGTTAAATTCAGTTAATGCTACACTTGAACAAATCAAGAGTAATAAACCTTTCATTTCTATTAAACGCGTGACACTATACCTAACACGAGATCGCCCTCCTTTTAACAAATATTGCAATTGTGCCAATGAAACTGAACAGTGTGATGTGTATAGACGATGCCATCCTGTCTTTCTCATAATCTTTCTCATAAAATAGTGCGGTAATTTAATAAGCTTGATTCAGTATTCTCCCCTACCCCAAAGAGTCAATTGAGCTGAGACATCCTGGATGCCACAGTATACCAATATGAACTTATTGAAGATAGCATTTCAGCCCTTGGTGTGGAACAAAGGCTGCCAAGCCTACTAAAAATAGGAATATATGATCATTTAGGATCTCTATTAATGGACTTACTTATTCCAACGTCAGTTGTCCCTGAAGCTACATCCTTCATAGATATTACATGTATAAGGCCCATGTCGTATTTGAAATACTAAACTTGTGTGAATAGGTGATTTGCTGGTACTAAAGGACGTCTTGGGCTGAGCAACTGATCAATGCTTGAAGGCGTGATGGATCATGACAGCATTTATTTAAGCCCACAAGTCCCGATTTAATATCTCGCATTTCTTTTCAATAAAGAATTGAACTATTGAAAAGCCCAACAAGCTTTTGTACCGACATAGGGTAAGATTATACCAGAATGCCTTGCTGCCTGATGCTTTTGTATATCATTAACCAAGACCATAGTCTCATCTTGAACAAAAGAATGAACAGATAAAGCGAACTACCTATAGCTGATGGCTGAAGCATACTTCAACGTTGCTGAAGCGACCAAACACCGACAACACAAGGTAGGGTGTTCCCCTTAACTTACGCTGCTTTCGGTTATCTCTTTAGCATTGTTCATCTCAATATGCCATATCGAACATCTTGACAGCATTGTCGAAAAGGATAAATAGTGTTTTTCTCTTCTATAAACTCTGCTTAAAGAAAATAATAAATATACCATTTATATCTACTATTGCTTTCTTTTCATGTAGACCACTTTTTCCTAAATTGCATTTTATGTCACAAGAAAAATAAAGCTTGGCATATTTGATATAAATCATTATAATAACTCGAGTATAATCTTACAGTAGAATATACATTCCTCTATCACATCTGATAAGAATAAAAACAGTAGTTACCGGTATAACATTGACAACATAAATATTCTCTATAAAGCTCTCATTCAAACCTAACAATATTCAGTTCTTCTTAATAAAGAATCCAACAATGTTGATTACAACACAGTCGCTCCAATGCCAAGGACGATTTCTTTTTTAGAAATGAACTCAAGATTAGAACCTCTCCTTATTTCAGATCCTCCATCATCGTCATCATCCGGAGCAGAAGAAGCACATATACCGCTTTAATGTAATCAAAGATAGGCACGCTATCGGCGACAGTAGTACTTTAATTATGTATAGACTTTTTTGTATAAAAAAATCAAGTCATGCAAGCACATACATCCTATACTAATTACATTGGCCCTCGTCTCAACTGTGGAATTCGTTGTTTACTTACTCTCTCAGTATTATCTGATGCGAGTTAATGTTGTTAAATAAAAAGGAATCGCCTCAATATCTCAATTCATGGCATCATTCCCCTGTTCGTCTACAATTTTTCTTGTCCATTTTTGTAATAAAAGCGAGTATTCATCTACATTTTTACTTGAGGTTTCCAAGCGAACTTTGACTAAATGAAAGCTGCCCTTTGGTATTTAGAGTTCTTCCCGATCAATGCCATTCCAAAAAAAGTAAAAAAAACTGGAGTGCAATATATAAACCTCATTTATTTTAATCTCAGCAACAGCTCCTTTCTTCCATTAAAAAGCATGGCAGATATTGACTTGGAGCGGACAGGTACTCGTCCAAGAAGACAAACACATCAACAACCAAATGCATATTCAATTTTTTATTCTTCTTCAACTGCAGACCCAAAATTATCAAGACATCCCATGAAGCATCTCTTTCAATCTCGTTTACTGCTGTCATTATGCTGTTGTGTGTTTGCTTTGACTCTACTATTTAATTTCAAATATAGTTCAAACTATTCAATAGATCAAGGCTCAGTTCAGTTTAATGACTCATCTCAATATACAGATTACGCTCTACTAGAACAACTATTACTACAAGGTAAAAGTATTTAGGAGAAAAAGAAAGACTCTAATTCTTTTCCTAGATAGCTCAACAAGTACATTACCTCGAGATCATCTCTTTATTCAGAAACTGGCTAGAGATAGCATACAGGGACATACAATGCATCAGCTTGTTCAGTATCAATCACCCTCTGTTACTGTCACTGCTATCCTGCGGTCTCATATTCAATTGACACAACAGCTTCGACATGTGTTATCACAGACAATAGTTCCAGATCATATATGGATTATCGGTGATCAAAAGATAGAAAACAATGAGCGTGTGAGATATGTAGACGCAAAGGATATAGTAGAAGCCATTTCGTTGGCAGATGCAGATTACGTGTGGGTATTAGATCACGATACATTGCCTGGAAAGCGGTATTTGGAGTATGCACTCAAGGTCAATTCATCACCTGAATATAATAATGCTCTGGTCGGTACAGGAGCTTATCGCGATGGTCAATGCATCTCGGCAATAGAAAGGAGTCAGGTGGTAGATGTCGTACGTGATAGCTGGGTGATCAAAAAATCATGGATACCCTTCTTAAAGCGTGAAAAGAAAGGGAAGGAGGAGGCGTTAAGCACATTCATCAGTCGTGTGCTCTATACCCATGGCATACCGTCAGTCGCCTTACCTTCAACTGATTTGGATTATATGGCTCATACAAAGCCTCGTGAGACATGCAAAGAGGACTCTTCTTGGAGAAAAAAGCTTCCAAACGATGCGATTCTGTTTTATTTTAACTTACCACAGATGGAGGAGCTTGTATGTCGATTTGTAGACAATAATGTGGTGATCGTATCCGACATCGAGATAAAGCAATGTAAAAATGACAGTTGGCCTGTATTCAAGGCATCAGACGATATATCACCCATTTTGAATCTAGTACAGCCTAAGCTAGTGATATCCGATACAAGGTTATATCAAGCGGAGATACCCATCATTTATTTATCAAAACGTGATATTCCTCATTCATTTTGGTTGACTGACTTACCAGTAGACATATTGGCAGGTAAGAGGAAACACAAAATGACGTAGAGGCCTATACTTAGTTCATTCTCAGAATGGAACTCGATTTCTATAAAAATCATGGTGAACGTGGACAAGAAGCACGACAATTATGAGCGATTGATAACTTCATTAGATAAGGCGCATTATTTGGGCGATTCTGTTGACCTGACATTTTTGATGGACTATGCCGCTGATCGCACTATCCAACGCCTCGCTAATCATTACCAATGGAAGCATGGTCGCAAGTACCTTCGTCATCGAATCGTTCAGACACACAGGATGGCGCTCTTTGCCGAATCCTGGTATCCATCGAGCAACGATGAGTATGCCATCCTGCTCGACACCGAACTTGAGCTCTCTCCTCATTTTTACAGCTGGGCCAAGTATGCCATATTACAGTACCGCCACCAGTCAAAAAAACTGTTTGGTATTAGTCTCTACCGACCCAACATGATCGAAACAGACTCTGGAGGACGTCGATTGTTCACTGAACGACCTCATGGCCCCTTCTTGATGCAGTGGCCAAGTCATTCGGGTGCAGTCTTTTTTCCTGAACACTGGAGAGAATTTCACGATTATATGACAGCAAGGCTAGCCGATCGAACTGGACATAGAATGCAGGATGTAACGATACCAGAGTCAAGAGTAAACGAGTGGAAACTATCATGGAGAAAGTATTTTGAGGAACTAGTCTATCTCCGGTCGTATGTCATGCTTTATCCTTCCACCAGCCTCTCTACTCGCCATATCGAGCTAAAGAAAAAGAGTCAAAAGGAAAAATTCAAGGATGCACTGTCTCTGTTTGAAGTGCCCCTTATGACCAATGCTTCTCAGCTTCATTTACCTGCATCCTTTGACTTGCTGCCTATTTATGATTATTATGGTCACTTGTCTGATATGAAAACAATGGAAAAGAGAGGAGGAGATCTACAGGATTCTATATCCGCTTGTTTACCCAATACCGAGCAGAACTTTGATCCTTCTGACTTGTTGTGTCCCTTTGGTAAAATCGTTACCGTCACAGTAGAGAATGAAGACGACCCAGTTCCAGAACTGCCACCGAAAAAAGTTGATGTTTATGTATAAATTTAACCTCCGAGAAAATAAAAAGAAGCGATTTCTTTCCTTTTTCAAATTTTAGGGTTAAAAAAGACTGTACTATATATATATTTTTCTCTTGCCACCATGCCAACAGAAGAAGAAGAGAGTAACTCAAAATCAAGAAGACCATTTTCTTCTAATGCGCCAATGATATCAGATAATATAAAGCATCCCATGCGTCGAGATTTAGTTCTTCCTAATTTTGATAAAAATATAACTGTTGAAAAAGCACGGTTTGAGCCAACTGTCAATGATGACCAACAACAGAATGACAACACTATAAAGGAGAGCACTGACGCGCCCAGTCTAAAAATATCAGCTTCAACACCGACAATTACAAATACTAATACCAATAACAATAATAATAGCACTACTACTACTTCTACCACTATTAGTAATAACAACAACAATAATAATAATAATAACAACCCACAGCCTTCCAGCAGTGAAAAGAGACGACAAGCGAAAAATGAGGTAGTGTATCTTTTTTTTTTACTTGTACTCACAATATACTTATAATCATACAGAACAGTCGTAAGAAACACAAAAAGCCCATATTACATGCTGCAGCTAGTCCTGCTGAAGTATTTCATCGCAATTTGGTTGACGCTGTGTCCAATGTAGAAGATTCAGATGAAAATGAACATTATGTGTACCCTTACAGTGGAGCTGAGGGTCATCTGACAGATATACAATCATCGGGTATGCACAGACCACTCTCGGTTCGATCAACGCCAAGCACTCTGTTTCACGAGTCAACAAGGCAGAGCATCAACAGCAGGATACCCACACACAGTAAGAGTATTGGTGAATGGCTAAGGCGAGCGATATCACGACAGAATAAGCCGCCAGAGGAAGAGATAGAGGACGAGGAAGAGGAGAGTTACTATAGACGACCCAAACTACGCAGTACAGTCAAAGACCATTATACCAATCTAGATAAAAAGGGTTTACTGAGTCGCATGCAGGACAGCTTTAGTAACAAAAAGAGGACGAGCACCTATCCGCCTACACACTACTATGGCGATGTCGCCGGTGGATATACAAGTGACGATGAGGACGCACCACTGCTACGAACTCGACAGCAGAAGAGACCTAGACCTGTCAAGAGCACCTATCGGCATGCCATTTATCATTCATTATGGATTTCACTCTTATTTCTATTATGCATCCTCTGCATCATCGTTTATAATGCAAAGCCTCTGATGGACTTGAACATCGAAATCGGTCGGGTACTGGCAACGGATAAAGAGCTCATCTTTGATCTAAAGGTGACAGCAGAGAATTGGAATTGGTGGGTGATTCATATAGCTGACGCGGACATCAGTGTCTTTGCGTTTAGTGATATCGTGCCTCTAGACATCCAACGGGTCGATCCAGCAGAGTATCTGGGCAGCTTGACCCATTTTGATGAACCTCTGTCTATACCTTCAAGTTTACATAAACGAAAACAAGAAGCCATCAGTCAAATTCGTATAAAGTCGCCAGGTGCCGATGCAAGCGGAAATGAACGATGGTCTCGTATCATCCGATACCCGTATGGACTTGTTGTTAGAGGTGTTTTGAAATATAAAAAAGTGCCAATGTATCATACACAGTCCATAACGATATGTAATGTTACCCAGGTAAATCCGATCACAGGCACCGTCTGGCCTGATCCAGATAGAACATATTGCCTTAGCCAAGATTCGCTCTATTAAAAAAAAGAAGCTGATAATAAAAAAAATATATATTTCAACTACAAAATCTTCCCCCTTGACAGAAGTGAATCGGCTCTGTATGTGTCGTAATGACATATGTATCGCCTTTCCAATGAAAGATGAATACCCTAGAGTCAGACCAGCTTCAACATGACCCAGGAAACCACCTTCCTAAATGGCTTGATAACTCTCGATAGCCTTTTGTATCTTTTTTACTTTCTTCACTTTTCTTATGATTCCGTCCGAGTAGAGTTTTTATCATAGAGCTCATTAGGACGTAAAATCAATCAAGCTGGAGATATGTATCTCTGTATTTGTAAATAAACAGCTTAAAGATCATATTTTAAAGATATAAGTCGAAACGTCAATGATTATGAACCATCTTGGTAAAAAAAAAAAAGGATATACATTAAATAGTACATGGAAGCAAAATATAAATGTAAATGTTTATTAAGCTTCAGTAAAGGTCGTCTTGCTGTTTTCGGTGACAACCTTGATAAGTTTTCCGTTTGTGAGAGGAATGCTTCCATCAAGATAACCTTCCAATTGGCTATTCGTACAAGTATTGTTTAGACGAGGGAAGGCTCTTTTTTTTTTTCACACAATGACACTTACGTTGCAATATCACTTGGCGAAGTCCATGTACTAAAATCAGCTTTTGGCATAAACTTTCTGTTCATAGGTGTATCAATGGTAACACTGGTAATAAAAAATGAGTACTTTTTTCGCGTAATATAAAAGATACATACGGTAAGATGCCAGCAACCTTTGCATCCTGTGGTAAACCACCGTTGGGTTGAGCCAAGTCTTGTACGAGATGGTGGACAGCAGATTTAGCAAGACCGTAACCAATCATGCCAGGAGTTGGGCTTAACGCCGCAAGTGCGCCTGTCAATGTGAGCAATCCTCCACTGAGAATGAAATTGTGAGAAAAAAGAAAGAGAAGATCATGCTTTATCTTACGGTTGGAGATGGTTGGATGCAAGCTGTGCTGCGATCAATGAAGAATAAACACTTTGCTGAATCATTAGCTCAGAAGAAGCCAAGAAGTCTGCAAAATTGATGAGTGAGAATAAAGACGAATGAGACCTTTTGGGGGTCGCGTACCTTTGTTATGAGCATTTCCACCAGCCCAGCCACCAGCGACACAGAAAATAGCAGAGAGCTTTTCACCACCAAGAACTTGGGAGATGGCATTTTGAATAGATTCACCTTGTTCTTTTAAGCTTCCAGTAGTTGAGGTTAGTGTGTTAAAATCAGCTTCTGTATTCTCGACTAAGTCAACATTAATCACAGTCTGTTTGGATTATTAAATATACACGTCTTTTGCTATTGTATTTTATTCCTTACGTATCCCTTGGATTTAAAATGTTGAACAAGAGCACGTCCCAATGCGCCTGCTCCACCATAAACAACGAGTTTTTTGCTAGCCATATTTTATCTTGAAAGAAAAAGAGTATGCTTTAATCCCGACAACTGGTTTGTTAAATGAGCAGTCCCAGGCTGGTGTGGGAATTTATCGTGAGAGATCAATTTATCCGTTCAGTGCATTTGCAAGCCAGTACTCTTTTGTTTTCTGCTTTTCAACTGGAGAAAAGGAGAAAAGAGAGAGTTTTAAAGATATTATGCAACACTCTTAGAAGCTCAAGGATAAATCCAGAATAAAATGTCATTAATGACTTGATCCAAAAAGTCACTATAAGATTAATATACGAGTAAAGATTATTGCTTATTCTTTTATACAAAGACCTTTGTCAAGCTTGTTGATTACATAAAAGAACGATTTGTTTATTTTTTTATAGTGAACATTCGCTACTTTTCCTATTAATAACATGAAGTCTTTAAGGGATATACAGGCTCAAGTAGCTTCAATTTCCAATACTTTGATTAAGGAAAGTAAAGTGGCAAGTCCTCAAACATTGTTACTAGATTTCACTGTTGGTAAAACCATTAGTTTTTTACAAACGTACAATGCAACGCTGGGTAAATGTATTCATAGCCCGCAGTACGACTGTAAATTTCTTGAACTGCCTTTTACTTTGGAGCATCTTACAAGATCACGAATGGCGGTTAAAAGCACCCATATTAACTATATGTCTTGTGGATTAGATCCTGTATGTATATGAATCATTCTCTACTCTCGTTTGCCAAACTGGAAATGTGGGACATTATAAACCTGAGTCATACAAAGCTTATTAAAGGAGAAAGATTCACTCTTTTTTTTTTCTTTCTAGATGTAACTTGTAACCAGTTCTATGGCTTTATTTTCTTGTAAAACGACAGCCATTTTCTCTGTTTTGTAGTTAAAAGATATTTATCTTTACATATTCTGATTTAGAGAAGTGACAATAACTAAGCCAAAATTATACAAGAAATGATAAATGCTTTAGCAGAATTTAAATCGAGGCACGTTTCCAGCCCTTTTTCATTGTATAGCTAGCTTATACTAAACATGTTTGTTGGCCCCTTTGCTGTTTCAAAACGGAGATCGTAAATAATAGAGATAACCATACCTTGATCCCCCCCGTATACGAATAAAGAACAATCAAGAGGCATTGCTCTTTTCTACAACATGCACAAATCTTGAACAAACAACTCCACTGTGGGAACACGACTCCACTGTGATACGATATTCTAAAAAACAAGTCAGGAGGCAACCACTCCATAAATTGCACCCATAATTGTACAAGCATGTCACAAAACAAAGGGAAAATAACATGCTCAATCGATCCCTGAGTAACGCTTGATCAATGCACAGTTTAAAAAAAGGAGTCCTTTCCTTTTTTGCTTAATGCCAAGTGTCAAAATAGCTATTGAATCTAAACCATTTAGCATAAATCAAACACATGAGTCATTTTGCTCGAGTATAAAAAAAGGACGTATAGCCTAGATTGGTAATAGAAATTCTACCCATTCTAGGGAAAAGCCAAATCGAACCCTTTTCACACAACATTTGGAGGTTAAATATAGAGTATTCTGGATTTAACGTTATACAAGCCTCTCGTTTAGTCGACTGACCTTCCTCAGGCACTGGTTTCTACCAATGAGTCAATACAGAACAGATTGTCTCACTGTAACTTGCACATGTTTGTGAGTTAAAGAGGCAAAAGGAATAAAAGAATGATCCTTTTATCTTGCACAAGGCGGTGGAACATCGCTTGCAATACTGTGACAGATCAAGCATAAATTGAATATAGAATGGATACCCTTTTTTCCTTTCTTTCTTTATTTTCCTTCTCTCATTTTCGTTATAAAAAAAGCCTAATACATCTATAATCGCTCTCCATTCTTTTATTATTAATGTCTCGCGATCCAGATCAACACTCAGATCAAAGCCATATCGCTTATCGAGACGACGATGGACACCCACAGTTGATCCATCAAGATATGTTGGATGAATACTCTGAAAAGCCTCCCCCTGTTCAACGTCGTCGTTTCTACAAGAATAAAAAATACTGGATCATATGTTCAATCATTTCTGTCATCGTCATTGTCGTCGCTGTCGTTCTCATTCTCTACGTAATCTTCCCCAAGATTGCTCAATCGCTCATGAACCACTCTGGAATCTCTGTAAACAAGGCACAAATCACTTTTACCAAGCCAGATTCACTCAATGGAGCTGTCTATAGCAAGCGTGATGGCGGTGACGACCTAAATACAACCTTTTATATGAGCATGGAAAGTTCTCTTTCCAATACTGGCCCTTTTGCTGCTACCATAAAGTTTCATAACCCTGTCGAGGTCTATTATAATAACTCGCTCCTAGGTAATATTTTCTTTTATGATGATACGCATATCGCTGGCGGCCATGGTACTCTCAATGCCGTCACGCCCTTTGTCATCAAAGACGTAAATGCCTTTGCTTCCTTTTCCAAACAGATGCTGGCCGTCGAAACATTCACTTGGACTCTTAAAGGAAAACTCGATATAACTGCGCTTTCAAGGTATGACGAAAATAAGCGTTTGTGTCTTTTTCCCATTGTGTACTTATGCTTTTTCTTATAGAACGGCAACAGTGGATCTCAATAAGGATATTGTCTTAAATGGTAGGTTACACCTCTCTTTTTCATGATTTGCATGACTTATGTTTGATTTCCTAATTTAGGAATGAATGGTTTCCCAAATGTAAAAATCACCTCTTTCCAACTTCCTGGTGATGCGCCTAATGGTGGTGGTATCTTGGTAGAGCTCGGCACAGTCCTGACGAGTCCCTCTCCAATTGGTGTACAGCTTGGTACGATTACCTTGGGCATTGGTTATCAAGGTGTCTCTCTTGGTGTCGTCTCGGGCGAAAATGTTAACCTGCAACAGGGTGACAACAACATTCTCTTGAAGGGTACACTCATACCTCATAACGATACTGCGTCTCTTGAAAAGATCGGTACACTCTTCTCCAACTATATGGCAGGATTACCTTCCAATACATCAGCTGTTGGTATCTCTTGTGCTCCTGATGGTGTTCATCCTATCGGCTGGCTCTCTGAAGGTTTCAAGACAGTTCAGCTCAATGTTGCTCTGGCTGCTGATAAGCCATTAAATATCATCAAGGGCGTCAACATGGGATATTTGGACTTGGCTTTCAATGCTGCTAATCCTTACTCCCCTGCACTCAGTGCTCCATCCGTCACAGCGAACTTTCAGATGCCCTTTGGTTTCTCTATCAACATTACTGAACTTTCGCAAAATATCAGTCTTGGTATCAATAGTTCCGATGCAAAGACTACAAACTTTGCTGTTATACAGACGCCCATGGTTCCTGCTGTAAGCAATCAAGCTGCTGGTACCATCATTTTCCCATTGAACAATGCAACGATTGCCGGTATCCCTGGTCAAGAAAGCACCTTCAACGAGTACGCATACGAGCTCACTGCCTCGCAAAACTACAGTTTCCAGGTCTCTGGTAGTGCTTTGACAAAGGCAATTACACCCATTGGTCCCGTCACGCTTTCGGGTATCAACTTTACTGTGCCCACCTCTCTTGTCGGTCTTCAGTTCTTGAACACATCAGAAACGACAATCAACTCCTTGGATGTTGTTGGTGGAACAAACGATGGATTACAATTAGCTATCAGTGTAACCATGAACAATCCTTCTGACTTTAGCATTGCAACTGGCGATGTCAGTTTTGACATGGGAGCTAGTGGTGTCAAGCTGGGTCTTGTCACTCTGTCCAACCTTCACTTGGCTCGTGGTCCAAATACGGTGAACGCGTCCGCTCTCTTTGATCCCAAGTCTTCTGATGTCGGACAAGCACTTCTTAGTACCTTTGTCATGGGAAGTAACAACAATGTGGAGATCACAGGTTTTGCCAACTCTACTAGTATTGCTTCACTTGCGTCTGGTCTAAGTGCTATCAGCCTTGGTTCTACTCTACCTGGTCTCAAGACAGCTTTGATCCAAGGATCTGCTCTTAGTGTCTTGCCCGATACCGTCAGCACAAGCGTTGCTGGTGTTCGTGTGAGCATTGCAAATCCTTTCTCTGCCGGTATGACTATTACCAAGGTTAAGTCTGCTGTTACCTATGCTGGTCTTCCTGTCGGTAATATTGATCAAGACATCAGTAGTAATCCTATTGTCATCTCAGGAAAGTCTACTGCTCAGTCAAGTCCATTGAATATGCAAATGAATCTCGAACCTAGTGCCGTAGCTCTCTTGCTTCGTACTCTTGCAGTTCAGTCCAACATGGATACAAGACCCTTAGATGCTTTGTATACCTTGGGTGGCCTCAGTGTCGATGGTCAAGAAAACGTCAACCCTGATCCTGGTCTCTTTTCCAACTTTAATGTCTCTCAATTCACGATGGACGCCATGAAGGCATTAAAGGTCGATCTGTCTCTTACGTCAAGCCTCGTCATTGGTCAGTACACGAATGACTTGACCTTTTCTCAGTCCAGTGTCGCAGTCGGTACCGATAGTTCCGTTTGTCAATTGATTCCTATCGTTGGTTATCCTATCGTTGTTCAAATCGTCGCTGCCTCTGTTCTTTCTTTTGACACTATTGTCCTTTCCAACTTTGCCGATGGGTCGTTCACGACACAGATGAAGGGTAGCATTTTAAAGACTGGCCCCATGGATGCTGCAATCAGCTTCCCTGAGCCTCTCACGATCTCTTGGCGTGGCCTTAAGCTTGGTACTGTTACAATGCCTACCGTTCAAGCCAAAGCTGGTGTTGGTGCTACCTTTGACGTCCAAGGCACCTTTACGGTCGCAAATGCGGATAGCATGGCCAATTTTGCTAGCTTTATGATCAACAGTGACAAATTTGAATGGGAAATTACCTCAAGCAATGTTGCTGTTAACGCTCTTGGCTTTACTTTCAGCAATGTTCCTCTTCACAAGTTTGTTACTCTGTCAGGATCCAAGGGCTTCAAGAATGCTGTAACCGTCACTCATTTTGATTTGCCTTCAAGTGACAGTAATGGTATTGTATTGACTGTTGATACTGAAATCAATAATCCAAGTCAAGTTGGTTTCAGTCTTTCCAAGGTGACCTTTGAGAACTTCTTCAAATCTATTGACCTTGGCCCTCTCTCTGCCGACAATGCTGTATTTGCACCTAGAAGTACATCTACTGTCAAGATGCAAGGATACCTTAAGCCTCAAAGCTCTCCTGAAGGTATTGCTGCTGTCACTGAAATGTTTGGCAGTTACCTCGCTGGCAAGAACAGTTCACTTACTGTCAAGGGTGTGTCTGGTGCGGGTCCTAACGGTGAAGTAGGCTGGCTTTCTACTGCTTTCAAGACGCTCAGCATTGACAACGTGATATTGCCTGGTGCATGGCCTATTCCTGCTCTTATTCCTTCTATCCAAATGAATGACATGCAGCTCGACTTTACCAAGGATCCTTGGGCTCCACCTACTGGTTCCAATAACGTTCAAGCACAGTTGAAGAATCCATTTGGTTTCCCGCTTGAAGTTCAACAGTTGAGCATGGATGTTGAAGCCAACTATGAAGGACATCCTGTAGCTACTCTCAGTATTCCAAACACGCCTGCATCTACAAGCGCTAATGGTATCGTCACCACCAAGTTCTCTGGTATTCCTTTCAAGGTTGTCTCTCAAGATATTTTTAAAGGATTTGTCCAACTCTTAACTGTCAAGCCCAACGTATCATTTGGATTGAAGGGAAAGACTACAGCCTCTGCCAAGACCGCTGTTGGTGTTCTTACTTTACCTAACGTTCCTTTTGATGTTACTACGTCTTTAGCTGGTAATGAATAAGAAATAGGTTTTATTTTTCTCTTTACTAATTGTTATTGTAGGTTTCAATGACTTTGGTGGAACTGCTCGCATCGTAAGCCTGCAAGTTGTCGGTGGCACTTCTGGTTATATCTTGATCAACCTTAGTGTTGACATGAACAACCCCTCCAATATCACAATCACTGTAGGCGATATCAACTTTAATGTGCTCATGCCCGAATTCCAGGATGCCGTTATTGGCAAGGTCTACCTCAACAATGCCGTCATTCCTCCAGGTACCAAGACGTACACTGCCTCCATGCATTTAGGTGAAGGTGCTACGAATAATGAAGCTGTCATGAAGGTCCTTACGTACTATCTCACTGCTGCCACGGTTCCATTGACCATTTCCGGTAGCACAAGTTCAACCAAGATTGCTCCACTTGTTGGCGCTTTGGCTAGTGTTCGATTATCGTCTCCAATGTCAGGTATCAATGCTGGCCTTATCAAAGACATTGCTGTCACCTCTACTGTTGATGATCTTGGAGTCAACAAGGCTGAAGCGGTCATCACGTTATATAACCCATTAGACACACCTTTTGCTGTCACCGAGGTTCATGCTGCCGTTACTCACTATGGTCGCTGTGTTGCTGTCGCGGGCCAAACCGTCCCTGTTGGCTCAATTGACTATGTACTTCCAAGCCCCTTGACAATTCCTGCCAAGTCTACTGTACAAACACCCAAGTGGCCCGTCACTATTACCTCACTTGATAATGCTATTAATGTGATGATGGACAGTGTCAATATGTACAATGTGACTCAAAACGTCAGTGTTGTTGTTGGAGATGGATACCAAGCCAAGAACATGTACTATTATCAAGACAATGCTCCCTACAGTCTGGTTGTTCCTGGTCTGACCGACATGTTGGATCCTTCCACCTTCCCTGCCATGTGTAATCCTCCTGCAGCTCCTGCAGGATTATCAGCTATGAATCATATGGCTATGCCACATTTCACGAGTGTGCAACAATTCTTGGATTGGGCAAAGATGTTGCTTGGACCTAAAAACAGCACCTCTGTTATTAGCAGTGCTTCTTCCGTGCCTGTTGCTTCATCTACCTCAACCGTCATTGTCACTCCTACGGAGAGTAGCGCAACAACTCAATCATCTGAGCCTGCAGCCACAACTACGACGACAGCACCAGAAACAACTAAACCAGCACCAGCCCCATCTACTACAACAGCTGCTCCTGCTCCTGCAACAACAACGACAACAATAACAACAACAACGACTACTAATGAGCCTGTTGCTCCTGCTGCTACCAGTTCTAGTCAGCCAGCATCTACTGTTAACTAATTCTAATGATTACTTCTTATTAAAGTTTACTCTTTTAAACACTTGTATGATTAATAAATTTATTATCCTTATTCATAAAACTTATCTTCTTTTGCACTTGACCAAATTAGATAGTGAATATGACAGATAAACAAGTATCACTTGAGATATATGGAATATGGTGCGAAAGATGAAAAAATAAATCAAATGAACTTGAACTTATAATCTATCATGATTCTATATATTATATTTCTTGCTCTTTTCAGTTTGATGCATTCGTTTTATTTCTCCTTTGTTCATTTCAAAGCATGTCTTTCTTTGACAATGTTACTTCTGCATTTGAAACCTGCTACAGAGGATTCCAGTTCACTTTTGACACTATTGCTTCTGCACTCAACTTCTGCCGGAGAGGGTTCTGGTTCGCCCATGAAATTATCAAGAAAAATAATAATCTGAAATCGATAATAGTGATTGTCATGTATATTGTGTGTTTTCTATCCAAGCTTCGGTATCCAGGGCTGGTTTAAAGCTTGGTAGGCGAATATTCAATAAAAAATAAACCTTAACCTTTTTACTTCGTCTGATGCACTCTAAAATAACATCAATAATAATGATTATATATATATACGATTGTTTATGAGAGGCTCTCTGCTGTGTGTGTTTTGCAGAAAAAAGAATGACAAATTATGAAAAAAGGGTTGTTGTACAGATTGTCCGTGTGTCCTTTAAGGGGGACCTCTCAGCCATAATTATTTAAGGATGCAACTAGTCTCCAAGATACATGTGTAAATAAAAAAAAAGAGAATTATAAATAGATGAAATAGTGTACCTGCATAATAATAGTATGAATGCAAGCCTAAATCCCCTTACATTCGACATGTTATTTTTCTAAAAATGGATTATTAGCGGAGGTTTTTTTTTAAGCCTATATAAATATCACCTTTTTTTATTTTTTTTCACTTGTTTATGTCCACTTGAGGTCTTTTCCTCTTTTTTATTTTTATTTATATAATGGAAGGCGAAACTAAACTACACCGAAGAAGCAGTAGTGCAAACGACGTAGCACATTACCGTATTCCTTTTGTTCATCGCTTATCTTCCTTTAGACGAAATCGAGCACAGGCCAAATCTGTAGACGATTTAGTTTCAACCGAGTTAATCTTGAAAATATCCATCTTACAGGCTCGCCACTTGAATAAAGACGATGAAGTAAGTTGCTAGGACGCATAGACAGAAAAAAAGAGAGTCTCATATCCTTATAGTCAAATATTCCCAACCCATATGTAACAGTGCGGTGTGGAGGTATTAGACAAAGGACAGATATGAGAAGAAAAACATTTGACCCAGAATGGTTATGCGACTTGGAGATCAATTTGACAAGTGATATCATGAACCAAAAGAAACGTCTAAGAGCCTTAAAGAAGCATGGATTATGCTTGGCTGTGTACAGTAAAGACAAGTTCTCTTCCATATTCTTGGGTCAATGCAGTTGGCAAATTGATCAACTATTTACAGATGAGCAAGCTTCTTGGTCCTTTGAAGATAATGAGGTGAGTAGCCTTTTGACATAAAAGGAAAGGATTTAATGTTTACATTACATACACAGCCTACATGGTACCCACTACGTCAACATCAACCAAGAGCATTTTATCGACGAAGAAAAAGAGAAGACCTTAATGACCAGCTGCATCCCGAGATCTGCGTACGATACGGTCTTGTTCTCAAATCGGTGCAAGGCATAGAAGTACCCCAAAATGCAGCTGCCTTAAAGGAGGAGTGGCAATACTTAATAGACGATAATAATGACATCACAGAAGATGAATTAATTTTACCAGAAGACAAACAAGTCCTGTCGCCACCATCAATTGCTTCATCACCGACAATAAAACCTAGTTCGAGTACGTCCACCTTTTCTCATCGATTCAAAAAGAGTTCCATCAAAAAGAACCCATCCTCTCCGTGTATGCCTAATTTAGAACCCAACATAAAGGCCCAAAAGCGACGACGTCCAAGACGTTTACGATCAAGACTGATCCGTCGAGGCAAACCACAAGGCTACTATGCAAAATTCGATTCAGATATCATGGGTATCACGTTTTTGGAAATCGAAAGCGCCAAGGATCTGCCTCCCGAAAAGAACCTGACGAGAACAGGGTTTGATATGGACCCGTTCGTCATCGTGTCCTACGGTTCATCCACGTTTAGAACAAGAGCCATTCGACACAACTTGAATCCTGTATGGAACGAAAAGCTTTATTTTCACGTACGAAACACACAGGGCAACTACAAGATCAAGTTTGCCGTTTATGACAAGGATAAATTTTCAAATCATGATTTTGTTGCCTCTCAGGAACTGAGTATTGCCGAAATTATCCAAAAGACCACAGCCCACTTGAGCGATCAGATGGCACAGATGGACCTTGCTACAGCCGAAAGCCCCTCGGAGGCCATTGAGGACCAAATGGGTCGCTTGACAATTCCGTTGAATTTGGCAAAGCCGGATAAATGGAAAGACAGTTGTCATCCAACGCTAAGCATTCGCGCCAAGTTTGTGCCTTATATGGAAATCAGAAAAATGTTTTGGGTTGCTTTGGCCAAAACCTGCGACGCCAATAATTCCAATACGCTCTCCCGGCTCGAAGTACAGACCATGCTGGAGACCCTGGGGTCTAATATCTCAGAAGCAACTCTAGATCAGTTTTGGAAACAACACAATAAGGATGTGTCTGATGAATTGACGTTGGATGAATTGGTCCAAAGTCTCGAGTGGTTTATGAAGATGGTGGATAAGGATGATATTGTTATTACAGAGGAGCAGGATAAAGATGTACCTGTGGACGTCATGCGTCATCCACCCAAGAATCCCTTCTTTTTAGCTGATGATGATGATGATGATGATGACGACGACGAGGGTGATGATGAAGAAGAAGACGAAGAGGATGATGGGGATGATGAGGACGATGGAATAGAAGATATAATGGAGGACGATGACGATGAGGAAGAAGACTCTGAATACTTTACAGGTGGCGATGACTTGGATGATGATGACAGCAGCAGCACAACGCCTTCTCCTGATGAAGCAGACTATGAAGCATTAAAGGAAGGCGAAGGTATCCAATATGTGAACGGACCGTTAAAATCGCTCGAGCTCAATAAAGAAGAAACAGCGCCAGTCCATAAAGCACATGAAAAGATTATTCGTCTGAATGAATGCCCTATCTGTCATAAGCCCAATCTTGCCAAACGTGGTCAAGTGGACATTGTCACTCATGTGGCTACTTGTGCTGCTAATGATTGGACTACAGTCGATAGATTCCTCATGGGTAATTTTGGCAGTGAAGCACAGGCACAAAGAAAGTAAGTAATCACACATAAATACATGGGATAGTCGGCTCACACAGCGCTGTCACGTAGATGGTTTGTTAAGCTTGTCAACAAAGTGGGCTATGGAAGATACTCTGCAGGAACAGTAAGTCATAAACGCATAGTGTGGAAATATTAGCCTGACCCTTATTAGAACAATGCAAATATCATCGTCCAAGATCGTGCGACAGGCCAACTTATAGACGAGCGCATGAGTGTCTATATTCGTCTTGGTATGCGACTACTGTACAAAGGCATGAAAACCGGAATTCAATCAAAAACAGCTAAACGAATTCTGGCCAACATGTCCTATAAGCAAGGTCGCCGCTTCGACAACCCGATATCCAAACGTGATATTCACACATTTATTAAATTCCACCAACTTGATATGACAGATGTACTAGAGCCAATCGAAAACTTCAAGACGTTCAACGAATTCTTTTATCGAAAACTTAAGCCAGGCTCACGTCCATGCGATAGCCCCGATGATCCTCGCGTCGTCGTCAGTCCTGCAGATTGTCGCATGATTGCGTTCCCATCCATTGAAGCGGCTACAACTATTTGGATTAAAGGCATCGAGTTTAGTATACCCAAATTATTAGATAATACAGAAGAAGCGAAATCGTTTGAAGAAGGCGCATTAGCCATCTTTCGACTTGCACCACAGGACTACCATCGATTCCATTCACCGGTCGATGGTACGATCCGTAAGATTCATCGTGTCCATGGTCAATATTATACCGTCAATCCAATGGCCATTCGAACCACACTGGACGTATACGGAGATAACAAACGAGATGTTGTGTACATGGATAGTCCTACGCTTGGTAAAGTCGCAGTTGTCTGTATTGGTGCCATGATGGTAGGATCCATTGTCTTGACAGCAAAGGAAGGCGATTATCTTGCAAGAACAGATGAATTGGGATATTTTGCTTTTGGTGGAAGCACATTAGTGGTGTTGTTTGAGAAAAACAAGGTTAGATTTGATGACGATTTATTAGAAAATGCGCAAAACCAACTAGAAACTTTGGTAAAAAAAAAAAAAAAGAACACACAAAAAAGAAAAAGAAATAGAATTGCTAATAATGGATCGATTATAGGTGCGAGTGGGTAATCATATTGGCGTTAGACCACAATAAAAAATCTATTGTGTCTCTTCATTCATCACTTCAAAGTCATCCGTCTCTTCATTATAACTCCAGATGGTTAATTCAACGCCATAAGGCTTTGGTCTTAATTCATATACACTATTATACAACATTAATAACCATAGTTTTATATATAAATACTTTTGTTTTTACGTGTGAATAGGAACGAGCATATGTGGCATCTGTGTTTGAGACCATTCTAATAAGTAACCGAGTAGAATCCTAAGTACTACACGGTGCGTAATGATCAAACAAGACTGGCTCATTCTCTCTAGCTCTATAATCATGGACTGTAGTCTATGAATCACATCTATATATGACTCGCCTCCCATGCCGGGGTATCTATAGAATAATTTGTTTTCTTGACGTGCTTGAAACTCTTGAGGATACTTGAGCTTAATTTCTTCATAGGTCATGCCTTCTCGACTCTACATCCAACTGAATTAGTATCTAGTATAGACGTTTATAGTTGTTACTTACGCCTGAATTGATTTCATTAAGGAATCGAATATGCTAATATGGTGTTATCGACAAGATATTGAACGTTTTCTCTTTTTTTCTTTTTTTTTTTTTTTTTTTTTTTTTTTTTTTTTTTTTTTTACCTTTATGTCGTATTCATCAGGATCAAAAGCTTCTGCAGTTTGCATTGATCTCTTCAGCATACTTGTCCAGATTGTGAATTGTGAATTAGAGATCGATTCTGCCCTCTCCTTGACCTTTTTCACTTTATCTTCTTTTTTGTCCTCTTCTTCTCCATCAGAGCTCCTTGTTGGATCATTTAGTTCTTCCTCTTCTTTAATCTTTCGTTCTGCCAAGTCAAGAGCAAATGCAATACGTCGGCCCTTTACAAACCGTGCTAATGCCTTTGAAAATTTTCTTCCTTTTGCAGACAACTATATATGCGTGTGTTAATTGATACTACTAAACAAGAGATTGCTACTTACAGGTGCATCACCGCCAATCTTTCCCGTCAAGTTATCTTCACTCTCACCATGTCTTGTGACAAATATTTGGCGTTCTAAAATATAGAGTGTAAATAAAGCACTGGCTAGGGATTACCCATGATTTTACCGGCTAAATTAAAGTTCATCAAATAAAATATACATTGACCAGATAGATAGCCGGATATGTTATAAGCAATCACTTTCTTGCCCACATTCACTAATTTACAGTATTGGATATCATTCTCTTCTTCCCATTCTCCTACAGGTTCATAGGCCTTTTCATAGTTGGCTACGCGATGTCTAAAATCAGATAGAGCAACTGCTGGGTCTTTATCTTTATAATCTGGTCCCGATAACTTCAACCGAAAGTTACGTTCGAGTACCTTTTTTTAAAAGTGTCATTTATGTGTAAATATATTTATAACAAGACTCACATTTTTATCTGTGCAAACAGACTCCAAGAGTAAAACCTTAATTTCTGGTTCACGAGAGAGTCGATCAATCAAGAGCTTCCTATAAAAAAAGGAAATAAGAATAAAGAAGACACAAAAGTAATACGAACCTTCTTTGAACAGTTGAATTAGTTGCATCATGAATAGCGACTCTACCACCCGATTTTAACCAATCTATCAATTGTTCGAGAACCATCAATGCTAATTCATCGCGTATTTTGGCGCCTTCCTTGTTCTTGGGATCAAAAAAATTGGCTGATTGGTCATGTTGATGACTAGCTTCATTCACTCGACGTGCATTACCCACATTGAATACCTATCTCTTTTCTTATAACCATCTCTGTCTTTGACTATTTTGACTGTATGTTTACCTTTGTTTCATATTGCAACCAATTTAAATATCGTCTCAGTTTCTTTACTATATAACTCTTGCCTCTGGCTGGTAACCCAACTACATATGATATATTTAAATACCTTGCTCCCTTTTTTTTTTTTTTAAACTTTTATATGTTACCCATAATGACCACAAGTTTACTATCCAATTGACGCTCAGTTTTTAATCCTAAATCCAAAATAGTTTAGTCACAACAGGCATATGTACACACACATACAACATACATACTCGGTGTCATGATCGTATGTACTGCTCCTGGCACGTCAAAGCCAATACTGTGTCTAGCCACATAAGGTCCACTTCTTTCAGCCAGCCTAGTCTTTACAATAGGGTCGTTTGTTTTCTTTATAGATTCCGGTTCTTCCGTGACATGGAAAGAAGGTAAATCTAGTGACAGTCTCTCGAAACCTTCTTCTTCTACTTCTTTATCCGTCTTTAGTACAGGCAATGCTTTCCTCAAATGGTCATGTTTAAACATTTTTATGCAAGAAAATTTTAAGGAAAAAAAAAAAAGATATTAGGCGGAGTGGTCTCTTTTTTATAACTCCAAAAAAAAAGAAAACGCGTGTGTAAAGGGTTTCTCTTTATAATAATCATACAAGTATTATGAAATTTCCATCCATCGACGTAAGCAAGAATGAGGCGTATTATCTATGGACATATTAGTCATGAAAAACACATGTCAATGTAACTTACCAAAACTGTCTTCAGCACTGCAGTGGCATTTCTTTTGTAATTCTCTTGCAAGAGGACAATGTTCAAAAGGTTCATGCCTATATCCAATGTTGTTAAAGAAGTATACTTCTGATTTATTTAAAAATATTCCAGCAGCGATCGAATGAACAGGCGCATCACCCCATCTGATATGATGAATAAAGGTTTCATGCATATTCTCATAAATTTACCTCTCATAAAAGAATCCTCCTGTTCTATCCAAATAATCAAAGAAGGCACTATATTCTGGACTCCTTAAGAACTTGAGATCAGCAATTTCAAAGTTGCTCCAAAAGTGACAGAGGTTGTAGGTTCTGCCTCCATCATAGGATATAAAGTCTACAAGATTATTCTTTGGGATGTATTGTGGATACTTCTTCATGAACGATACTACTGTCTTCCAGAGGGTAGGTATGGTCGATTCGTATTCTATAAGAGAAATGGTCCAGCCATATTTTTTGTTATTTTCCTTCATATACAAAAAGGGATCATAATCCATATCGCACATAAACTCTACACCAGGCTCTACTCTCCAGTAATATTCGTATTTCTCAACAAGTGGATGACGATAAAAGAAGCCACTATTGAATCTAGTAGTACTATCATCAGTATCTCTTTCTATACACATTTTGTCTCTTTACCTGCACATATGTCTATAAGACAGACTATCACCATAAATAATACCGGCTTCAGTCATGTTTTGTCTTGCTTCGTCCGCTTTTGGAATATCAATCCAATCTGGATAGCTCCAGTGTTCTTTGGGTATCAAACCGTACTCCGTCTTTGAACTTGTCATACTCGAGGTCAATTCTTTAAACTCTTGTGTGAATTCGACGTCGTTTAGGAATACGTAGGGATAATTGAACTTGTGATTGAATCTTGCTTCTAATTGTTGAATCGTCTTTCTTAATGTTTCTAATTCACCATTTCTTGTCAAGATGACAAAGGCTGCATTAGCCCGTGTTTTATTCTTCCATTGTAAATGATGAGGATTGATAAGATTAGGATCATCTTTAATTGAAGGTTGAACTAGAGTCGGGCTTGTTGATAAGTCTGGTCCAGTATGAAAGTAATAATAAAATAGCCCAAGAAAACTAATGAAAGTAACTATAAATAATAAGATCGCTCTATGTTGCTTAAACATAAAAAATAATACAATAAAGAAAAAAGCTTAATATTTGATCCAGGGCGGAGAAGGGCCGTAATTTTTTATTTGTTATGCTTTGTTTAAAGGTGTCGCTTCTATCATTGAATAAGTTATATGAACCATAGACTATATATATAAACTTACGCTGTGATGATTGATTTGCTTTAGCTACTTGTGGTTTGGGCTTTGCCCAGACAACATTCAGAGCGCGATCTTTAAGATTGAGACTCTCTTCAGAAATCTTGGCAGCTGCAAGTTCTGCTGACATTCTTGTCACAAAGTTGACAAAAGCACATTTCTTCTTGTGAGCCACGACAACAGATTTAATATCACCAAAGGCTTGAAAGTATTCTCTGGAATCGAGGGAAAACGTAAGTTTAGTTCAACACTTGTATTTATTCTTACTTTAGGTCTTCTTGTGAAATATCTTCTTCTACGCCTGTAATAAACAGTGATGTCTATATCATAAAAATATAAGATATATATATCTCTATTTTAATGCTTATCAATAACTTACCACCGCCTTATCTTCAGGTGGAGTCAAGCTGTGACGAAACCGGTTGAGCATTTTTTGTGCTACGGGATCATTGATTCCATAGTAACGATCTTTAAAGTTCTGTTTGGCGTTTGTTTCATTAGGCTCTGGTTGGCTATGTCTGGTGATAGGGTCAGTATCGTCATCGACTTGACCATTTATGCCTTTTTACCTGTAAGGACAGGCGTCACCTCGATTACATTCACCTTTCAAAAAGAAGGAGCAAATATGTGCCCGATTACGCTTATAATAAGGTTCCTTTCTAGCTAATTGATTCAGCATGTCTCGATTTTCAGGTGTCAGCTTGTCTGGTTTATACAGTTCCTCTGAATCCTCAGCCTGATGTATATGATATGTCAGCAATCAATCACTATTATATAGTTTGTCTAACCTTTCTAGCTAAATTTTGGGCAAAGTACTGTCGGTTGATGTTGGTACTAGGTGCTTCTGATTTCACATTCAAGGCCTTGTCTCTGACTTCAACAGGTAAACCATATTGTAGATCTAGAATACACGTCTGACATACATTCTTCACACGAGCACATGTTTGACAAATCTCTGTCTTTTTATGTCTCATGTTGGTGCCCGGTTGCCAGCGAAAGATGGTGAATGGAGTTGAGCAGATCTATTTAAAATTAATAGCATGTTTAATTATCATAACCTTATGCTTGCCTTGCACTCTCCACCGAAGGATTGTTTGGTCTAATCTTGTTAGCTTTCATTAATTTTTACTTTTCGAACCCTTACCATTCGAACATATGGATTCTCGCCCAAACAAGTTTCACATATAATAGGAAATTCCTATCATTTATTATTAGCCTTCAAGTAAAATGTTGAATAAAACTTACAGATTCTTCCCATCCTTGTTTATTTGGATCTGCCTTGGTTAAACTCATAATGAAAACAGTAAAATATGTACAGTGATTTGCGCTTGAAATTCAAACTTTTTCTTTGGCCAATCAAAAAAGCACTGGTGCAATCAAACTTTTTTGGTCATTCAATTTTTACAATTTTCATGAAACCAGATCCAAGATGTGCCATCTAATTCTAAGCATGTGAACTTCAGCTTCCCTTTAATGATAATACAATGGCCCTTGATATATTGAAAAGTAGCTGTAGCCTTTGATGTGATATTCAGGAATCGATAAAGAACAATACTTGGCCACGTTATCAAAGTGATCATTGACGACAATTTGTATCAATGAAACACATACCATCAAACATGTGAACAATGAACAGCAAACAAATAATTTAACTCTTCTATTTTGATTATTTTCTCTCATCGTATCAGATATGACAGATGTCTATTTTTCAAGTTCATGACGGGATAAAGCAAAGCAAGTTCACTGGGAAAGGTTACTAATAAATTATAGTTCCTAGAAGCTGTTCATAAAGCAATGCACCATTAAGCTGTTATAGCTCGAACAATTCATTGGATGGTATACCGCTATATTAAAAAGAAATTAGTATTGGGTGACGGTATGTAGACAAGGTCCTGGGATAGATATCTTAACAAGGAAATAGGTCTTTTATATATAGTATATTTTATTTTTATAATTACTGTACAAAGCATGTTTTACATGTTTGTTTCATATAAGGGCTTGAATGATGATACGGTTGGGCATATACGAGATTTATAAAGTTCCCAAACATTATCATCGTTGTCACCATCGTCAGGTCTTTGGATTGACTCAAGCATCTGTCGCTAGAAAAAGATTTCGATTTATGTGGTATTACATTTGAATGAATTTTATACCTTGAAACTAGTCATGATCTCTATTGCAACGTCCATGTTCCCGTATGTCTGGTGGGTCGTTGGCAAAGTGAAAGATGATGATTCATCATAAACATAGACCCACTTTGTTGTATCCATGCATATTTTGAACAGCATGATCTCCGCATCTTTCAAATAAAGCTAGTTTTACGAAAATTCAAGTATTACATTTAAAGGGAAACACTACATGCACGAAAAAATTCGGATTTTGCTATTTGTACAGCACATCTACACATCATTTTCCCAATTAATGACGTAAGCAATTCAATTTGCACAGCAAACAGCATATCTATCGTATTTACCTTATAAGAACTCCATATTGTCGTAAAATACTACTTGTAGAAAAAGAAAAACAAAAGAAAAGTGACCACAAAATGTGTTGTTCTTATAGACGCGTCATGTCCAATTCTCATTGACCGTGATGAATTCATGCGATAATCCTGCCTTCTTATAAAATGAATAACGAATCCTCTCAGCATTATAAAGAAATTATTACAGAGCCATCAATACATACCTCTCTTATACTTCAGTGTTGTACATGGTGTTGTGTGGGTGTGGTTTGTTAGTGCAAATTGAATTGCTTACGTCACTAATTATGAAAATACTGTGCAGATGTGCTGTACAAATAGCAAAACCCTAAAAATCTTAAAATCCAAACACAAATCACTGTAATTGCTATTGTTTTTATCTGGTAGTGCGCGAGGTTCAATATATCCCTACATACACACATACAGACACCCTTCGTTCACTCCTCATTTTTATATATACAAATCATTGTGATCTTTTACTGGTAATATTCTGTTTAATGAATCTCGGTTTGTGTGATTCGCACCTTCCACACCCCTTTGCTGGTCTCTTGGTATTTTTTGTATCATTGTTTAACTTTTCGACTGTGATTTGCGCCACTTAGAGAAATGGAATCATTATGTTCGAGTAGAAAAACATCATGAAGCAACACACAGAGCTAAATATTTCATTCATTGATATATTCTTGTGATACCGAATAGGATACACATAAAGACTAGGTAAAGAAGCCAAGGTAGACATTTCTGAATCGTTTTCATGACATATATCCACGTCGTCCATATATCATCTGTTCTCTTTTCTAGCTTTTTCACGTTTTCCTCAGCGTATTTCAAACAGAAAAAACATGTATATTACTTGCTGACGAGGTAAATGTTCATTTTGTAAAAGTGAAAAGAAAACAGTCAATCAAATCCTCAAGGCTCAAGACTGAGCAAGTAAGCCAGGTATTTCAGTCAACAAAAACTTGTTCATATCAGCTAAAAAAAGCTCTTTATGACATGAAACTCATAATACATAAGAATGTTTGTTAACAGCAGTCCTCCTTCCCCTATATCTTCATAATGTTATCCATCGTTCTACGATCACCTTAAAGTGCTATATACTGTCATATCATCAGCTTTGAAACAGTAAAGAAAAAGATCAAGAACAAGATCACTAAGGTGTAATTGTTATTAAATTATGTGCGAATGATTTCTGTACAGATTTTTTCTTTTATTATTATTATTATTACAAAATTAGGCAATTTCCATTTCTATGAGACATTTGGCGCCACTTTGCAGTAAACGAGATGCTTCAAGCACATCATGTTTTTCAACAACATTGGATAATCTCATACGTGCATGAGCCTCTGACATACGAATCATAGACTCCAATTGTCGTGTGGTTGCATTGATTCGCTTATCTGAACCAGTACGGTCATTGTTTTGCTTACGAAGTTCGACATAACGATCCACTAGCTCATTAGAGGCTTCATTGTTCAGTTCTGGTTTAATATTTTGTCTCGCATAGTTGATATATTTTGTTAATAATTCAACACCCTACATATCGTTATTAATTGATATAAAAGAAGATATCATGATCTTACCACAATATCATTGCCAGCCGTAAATGGATTATCTTCTAAGTACAATGTGACCAAGTGTTGAGCCAATCGACGATCCGAGTCTTCATCAACACGATCCAAAATCAAATATAACAAGTCAAATCTATCATGCATCTGTGTCAATGAACATTCATACATCAACAACAGTCACTTACCTAGACAAAAGGGGTGGTGGTAGATTTAAGTTAGCAGGAACTGACAAATCCTTATTCCATCTTGACCCAACAGGGTTGGCTGAAGCACAGATAGATGTTCTTGCGTTCAAGGTGGTGATGATACCAGCCTTCGCCACTGAAATCGTTTGCTGTTCCATCACTTCATGCAATACGGAACGTGTTGTATCTGACATCTTATCAAATTCATCAATACAACACACACCTCCATCACTCAGCACAAGCGCACCGCTTTCCAATACCAACTGTCGTGTATCAGGATCTCTTGTGATATAAGCTGTTAAACCGACCGCACTGCTGCCCTTGCCTGAGGTATAGATGCCTCTGGGAGCAATCTTGTGCACATACTGCAACAATTGAGATTTACTCGTACCTGGATCACCTACAAGCAAGACATTGATATCACCTCTAAAACGAGGAGATCCGCCCTTGGTGATGTTTTTGTGTGTGCCTCCAAAGAGTTGTAAGAGAATACCCTTTTTAACATCGTCTAATTGGTAAATACTGGGCGCAATCGAGCGAGCGAGGACATCATATACATCAGGTCGTCTACTGAGTTCTCTAATTTCTTCTTCATCTGCACCAGATACTCGTTCAATCTCATCACCTTCCTCATAGCTATAATCGTTCAGAACTTATATTCATTCTAGTGTTGACTATTACCTTTCATGACCAAATTCATTACGGAACTGCGTATCCAATGCAACTCTCTTTTTATCTGTACGCTTGATGTGGACAACATCCAAATAGGTTCTAAACAAGGAACGAATCACCCTCTGTCTTTGATTGACTCTCATGGGCACACCACGGAAGATACCAGTGATTTCGAGACGATCACCTGGCTTGGCCACATCTACTAAATCGTCATAAAGACACAAGGTAACTGTCTGGGGTGTTTGGCCATCAGGAACCACATCAGGTGTTTCCTGGATTCGAGCTACTTGCTTGTCTGAGAAAGCACATCGGTTATGAACCAAGGTCATGCAGTTTTCGCCACCACAGCTCTCGCGAGGACAACGTGTGGGTTCCAAGATACGGCCACGATCAACAGTGACAGTCACTTCGTTTTCACAGACTAAGCATCGGAAGAAAGCTTCTTTCATATCAGGAATAACAGGTGATGCACGGATGAGAAGACCCTTAATAGTGATCAATTGATCCACCTCTATATAAACCAACGTCAGTTCCTACATTCTTTATCTCTTTTTCTTTCTCTTACTTTGAGGATCCAATTCTCTCATGTTGACAGATTGTTTCAAGTTAAATGGACGAACCTACGTGATATGTCAATACATGAGTCTAGTTGTATGTTTTGTATCTTACTTTCATTTGGAACTGAAGGCCAAAATCTTCATTTTCATACTGATTCATAAAGAATTCCGTAACGGCATGATCCATCAAGGGAATAATTTCTTGAGGATACTTTACCAGCTGTTCATACAATTTTTCAGTCTCGGGATAAGCCAACAAGTTTCTGCAGTCCAAGTTGACGTTGGTATTCCTTGTGTTGAAGAGATGAGCAAAGTACATGGGATAAAATGGCACATTATCATCTGCAGATAACGGCTCACCCGTCTGTTGCTTACGCTGAGCGAGTGTGAAGTGAGTCAAGAAACTACGGAAACGGCCCATGGCGTCATGAATGCTGACAGTTGTGCCCCAGATGAGACGTACAGCCAAAGAAGGATCAGTCTCTTGATCATCAGGACTGAGTGAGGCAAATTGAGAGGGGCTGTCGAAACGAAGAGGCGTGCCTGTTGTCGTATTGGCAGTGAATGGAGTACGGATGAAAGTCGTACGGGGTGTTTGTGAATCAAACATTGTATTGGAACGTACAGGTGTTGATGGGTAAGCTAAAGGTGAAGTAGCTCCCATATCGTCAGGTAAGAATGTCGATGAGAATTCAGAGCGACGGTATCGTGCCTGACGAGGTGTTCTGTTGGTGCCTTGCATGGGTGAATCAAGTTGTGAAGACAGGAGGTCAGTACGACGTCCTTGACCAGGTGTGTCTGGTCCAAAGTCTGAAGGTTGGTGAGTGCTACTCATTAATGTTGACAGGGAAAGAGAAAAAAAAAAATACCGCCACGCAAGACGCGAATTTTTGGTTACCAGATTATTTTTTTTTCGTGTTGTGTGTGTACGGTGTGGCTTATATAGTATCTCTATTTCAAATTGTCCCCTTTCTCCTGTCGCGTTTTGGAATTTTGCCTGCCGTCTTTTATATCATCACTTGACGCATTTTATCGCTAGACTATTTCTATGCATCTATACTCTCTTAGCGATACCCTTTATGCTCTAGGATATGTGCTCTTAAATTTGGGCGTCTATCATCTTATACAGAAGCTTTTGAAATGTGGCGTGTTTTTTAGCAGTAAAAAATTAACAGGCGAAAGTTATCAAAAGCTTCAGCTCTATACGGACTTAAATGACTTGTTTTATTAAACAGTTTTCCAAACGTGAGTAACAGTGCTTAACAAAACCATAAAGATGGTTTTGAGATACTTGGCTACAAACTTCCCTAATACGATCTTATAATGTTTCTTGGAAAATCTCATGTTTCTTAAGTTTACTCTTGACAACTGACCAGAATTGTTCAATCGAGTTCAGCTCAAGAGAATAAGGTAGTAAATACACATATATATAGTCTCGCTCTTCAATCATTTCTTGAATGTCAGTTCGCTTATGTTTGGCGGCATTATCCATAATCAAGTATGAATTACGCATATATTCAAAGTTATCCATGACATCAAGAGTCTCTTTCAAAAAGCGCAGATAGTGGTTTGCCGTGGCTCCTTTTGGCTTTGGCTATTGAGTCATTCCTTTGTCAAGTTTTCTCTTCTTACATCCACAGGAGTAATTTGAGTAGTATATGCACTTGGGACTCTAACACTAACGCTTACAACTGCATAAACTGAGATTGTCCCTAATATGGTATGGGAAACAGTTCTGATGTTCTCAATTACAAGATGTTCTTGAAGCACTGATACTACAGTGTCTGAGCCGAGAGATTTAGAGTTCCTAAGCAGCCAACCCTTTATACAATGTAATTAGTAATGAGTTAATATTTTGGGCATCTTGCTTGACTAATGACAATTCTGCTGCTAGAGAAAACATTTCTTCTAGTGATTGCTTTGTGGCTAGTACAGGGTTGCCAGTGTCAATACTGTTGTTACTGCTACTGTCTATTGCTGTATTTAGTTTTGTATAGAATCAGATAAAGTAAAAGTATGATAAAACTGTGTGTATCTTTTATTCGGAATAAAGTAAAGAGAGAAAAGAGATGATAAATGTATACCCTCGCATTAAGCAGTATTTCAGTGATTTCAGCATAAGCCACCTAGTTAATAGAATAAAATAAAAAATGAAAAATACCTGCGAAAGCACGTTATCATATTAACCTTTATAATTCACAATTTCAATCGATCAAATGGAACAGGCTTTGAGCACTTTTCCTGAAACACATGTAGTATTGTGGTCTGTAGGAAAGGTTCATTTTGTGTGAGAGCAAATAGACTCAGAAGCAGCTAGCTTGAATGCAGAAGGAAGCTCTGTTAAAAAAAGAAAAAGAACAGTATTGTCGTGGACAAAAGGAGCAATCCAAGCATCTATGTGGGAAGAAAATCAGGAGTCATTCGATTTATGCAGAAGGCCTTAAAGAAAATCAACTGCCAAGCAATCATACAAAAAAAGATGGTGAAAGTGAAGAAGTTGTTGATAAAGTAGTTACAAATTTGGATAACTTGGCAAACGGGCTATCAAATATGTTGGCTGCCTATCGCTCATACTTGGATAATCCACGCTTGCTGAATGTTAAGGAACTTGCACATGTAAGAGATACAGCTTTGGTTATTCAAAATGTCATTACTCGAAACAATAGCAATCAAATACCACCGAATAAGCGATACAGCAGATGCTTTTTGATATATTTCAAACACTTCTTAAAATGCGAGGGTGTAAGTTAAGCTAATACTGTACACTTTATTTAAGGGGTATCTGTGAATTTAGTACGTCAGCCATACCAGGCTTTAATTTTTCTGCTTGAGTTAGAATAATGGTGAAATCTGCCATGTGATAAAGTGAGAGTGCATTCATCATACTTGATACAAGATCTTCTCTTGGCTTTTGATGTTGTAGTGAAGTATGCCTATCCATGAATATAAGTTCATATGACTTTTTTCTTCCTATTTCTTACACTTACATTTCATCTTCTATAAATCGAATCATGGCCAGCGCCCGTTTTATCAAACTTTTCCTCCATTGCTTTATATAAGCTTCTCTTAACCATGCTGGTATCCTTCGGACTTCCTCTAGTAAACTCTGAACCATGGGGGCTATACTATTTGATATTTCAAACACTTGGGATCGTTTACTAAAGATCGATTAGAACATATCCTCTCTGACACATGTAATCTGTCTTACTTCCAATCATTCATCTGTGTCTTTGTATTTCGTTGTATGAATCCATGTTGTAGTTTTGTAAATAAGGCTGTGTGGTAATTTGACCTCAATCGATGATACTCTTTATAGAGAGGTGTCCTTTTGACTACGAGTCTTGACATGTCTACAAGTGTTGTAGGTTGATTTGAATCAAGTATAGCTAATTCTATACGTAAATTCATTTCTTCCAAGTCCTACAGCTCACTATAAATAAAACCTTTTTTTTTTTTTTTTTTTTAAAAAAAAAAACCTACCTTGGCAAGTACGCCCTGAAGATATAAATCAGGCATATAATGATGATGCTTTCTTGCATGGCTAGATCTATTTCTTTCTTTTGCTGATAGAAAGAGAGCCAAGGTATTGATCATCTGCTATCGAATGAGATGAGGCTAATTTAATAGAGAACAAGAGTTACCATATTCATCGAAGTGAGGCTGTTACCAATAAGTACAGTGGATCCAAAGGTTTGTAAGTGGGATGTAATGATTCTATAAACATAAAATAGCGTATGAGCAAAACATTGAAACTGGCCCGGATTAAAGAAATAATAAGTTTACAAACTTGGCAATAAACGGTGAATCTAGCATCTGTTTTGATTCATTATCCAACATTGTATTACTAGTCTGCATATACGACATTTAATAAAATACAACGACATGTAGACTGTATATTACCTTTATACAATCCATAGGTAAAGAAACTGATTCTAAATCCATGATGGATGTCACAAAGGGTATTAGCCAGTTGACGGTAAAATAATCTAATACTGTTGACCACGCCTACCATGGAGGTGAGTATATCTATATGCGTACTACCCCAATTGAACTTACAATACTCTCTCTTTTCTGCATCTTTCGTAAATGAATAAGAGGTTGAACTAACTGAATTGGCACACGGTCTTTGAGCAATTGAAAATATTGTGAAAAGTTCTTTTGGTATCTTGTAGGCACCACCAAGACAATAGCAAATAATGATCGAACGGTAGGATCTTCGAATAAAAACGCTGTACACATCATAGATTGTAGCAATACCCATTTGGACTCAATTGAACAAGAGCCTATCTCTCCATTGAGCACTTGTCTGGCAATCATCATCTGCGTCTTCTCATCTACTGGTTCCGCCGACCATACTTTATCCACTTTGGGTCCAATTACATTTGACCATTGAATCAACAAAATAGCAGAGAAAAAGGAGCTTTGAAGTATCTCACATTCAGTAACAGGCACAGTTGGTTTCTTTATATTTTCATTTGCTTCTAGATTATACAGTTATAGGTCCATTGTTACAAAGACAACAAAGAAAAAGAATTACCTTTGACTGCATCCTGAAGTGCAACTACAGCCTCTGAGGTACATTTCAAAGGAGGAGGTAATAGTTCTGTTGTCTCTAGTTGCTCAGGAGAAGGCAAAGGTGAACTATTGGCCACAAATGCAGGTGAACGTATATGATGGTAGTGATGGTGATGTAGCTGTTTGCGGCTATCTACATCCTCTAATGTTTGGTCATTATCAGTAACAACAGCTGTTGTAGTTATTTCTAATGTCTGAAGTGCAGTAGTAGAAGAAGCTGATTTAGATTTTGTAAGTCGCGCTCTTTGATGTGTCATGAATAATTAAGCAAAAAAGGAATCAATACTTCCTGGGAACATTGTGAGCGGTTAAAATAACTCCGGTAGCGGACAATGAATAAAGGTAGCCTAACCAAGCATGTGCTTCGTATATGATTATCAAGAATGAATATAAAAGAGATGTAGTCAAGTAATAAGTTACTCAAGTCAGCATAAAGGATTTATTATGTAATTTAAAGTAATATTTATTTATTCATTTATTTATAAAAAAAAAAACCATAATGATTTACCTAAAAAAGTGGTCCTAAAAAAAAAAGAGAGAAGAAAAAACGTCAGCAAAACCGCTATAGCCCAATAAAAAGAAGCCCGTGATTGCTGCTAGTGGTGTTCATCCAGGTTGATCAAATCCATAGAATGAAGTTTTCTCTTAGCCCTACCAGTCAAGACACTAGGCCATAGACTGAGACTTAACTATGATTTGCTAATTATTTTTATCCCTACAGCATCAGCCAACTGTCTGGAGTAATTAGCAAACCGGCCACTAGCCATACTCGCAGATAACCAGCTACTAGTCACTATAAAGTACTCCTTCAAGAATCGTTCGTCAGTGGCAAAGACTTCAGAGGTCATCCATACAGAGATGTGCAGAACCTTATAGAAGGGCGTTTGCGAAGTTATCATTGACCATACAGTCATTATCCTGTGGTGAGTAAGTTTAAAAAACTTACATTAACCAAAAAGGGTCTTGAAAGCCATGAGCATTTAAGGGAGAATAAAAAGTATAAAGAAAGAAAAAGAAAAAAGAATGTATTTTTATATTTTTTTGTCTACCAGCTCACATGGCAATAAGTTTACCCCCGTAGTTACCCTTAACACGTTTATCATTTTCTATCTATCTACACATTCTTTAGTAGTACAATCAATTACAGAGAAGCCATCTCCTACATATAAAAGGATACTAAGGAGTAAGAGATACAATAAAACACGTCCATCGTTTTTGTTGTATTCATACTTAGTGGATCAACTATTAACCACATATGAAACAATAACTGGCAATTATTCAATTTCAGCTTGTTACTTTGAAACAACTGTGCGAATCATTATTTAAGCTAATTATCAGAAACTGCATTTTAAGGCACGCGTATCCAATAACTCTGATCCATTATTGTTATTAGGAATCATCGCCTTATCAAAGGCACCCGATTCGTCCTAACTCTCTCATTGCCTCAATTGTCATTCATAAGCCTCTATGAAAAGCTTTACGATCTCAGTTGAAGAGTGTCTCACATTTAGTATAAATACTCGTCTTTAATAAAGTCAATTGATATATATCTTTTTAGTCTGGTTAAATTCTAGTCTTTATTCTTTTAATTGATACTTTGTATTCAATAGTCTTAAAATACAGACATTCTTCTCTTTGCTTACATATTTGAACTCTTTTTCCCTTTTCTTGTATAGAAAATATACTTGAAACTATTTTCTATTTTGAAGAATGTACTCTAGTGTATATTTATTTCTAAAAACATCCTATTAGTCTGTAAAGGAGAATTCATTTGGTTAATAATACTTTAACGAAGAAAACGTTTAAATGAAAATGCTGGCCTTTAAGGGATAATTCATATGTTGCTGGATGCAAAAAATAAAGGTGTATTTACAATGTCAAAGATAAAAATGTGTGATCTAGTTCACGTTTACGAATTATAGCTATTTATTTTTACGCTTTCTTATATCTTCCATACTAAGCATGTATCGACCTTATCATCATGAATTTGCATTACTTAGGTTAAGGAAGGTAAGTATAGACTGCGCCTATTTCTGCCATTATTCAACAAAGGTCTTTTTTATTTCATTACAGTATTAGATGGTCCTCAGGAAAGCTGAAAAGAGTCTATCAAATTGAAGCAAAAGCCACGCGAAGCAATAAAAGTCCTGTTATGTAACAAATAAACTAAAAAAAATTATATATTGTTCTTGTTATCTTTAATTTATGAATTCCTTTTCCAGAATAAGTTGAAATTAAATAATCATTGCTTAAATAATTGCCGTAACCTTTTTTTTATTTGCTAAATGTAGTAAAGTATAATTCTCAAGGGCTCTGGCTGTAATTGAGGTATTGTTTGATGGTCTTAAGACCAAACAGATATCAAAGGAGAAAAAAACTAAAAGAAAGTCATTATTATTTTTTATGAGAACACTGAATAGCTCTTCATTGACAGAGTAACAGCATAAAATTAATTTACTCATCAATTTTTTGTTGTTGTTGCTCTATTGCTTTTTATTTTACGACTATGCTCGTAGAGGATCATTTAAAATTGTTGAATACTATTGAGTGAGATATCACATCTATATCTCCACCAATCATATAGTTGCATAAAGAAAGAGAATTACACACCATCTTGTAAGTATATTATGCATTCATGTATATCTTTTAAAAAATATCATAGGAGTATCTTTGTTTTATATTTGTCATTTCAGGAACTACTGCGATTTTATTTACAGTATAATCACGACAAGCTAATCAAATATATCAGATATAATTCCCTTCTCACTGGTTTCGGTAGAGTATTGATACGTCACTTAGAGAATTAATTGTCACAATATAACTCACATTGTAACGTATTTTCTTTTTTTACTTGTTCTTTGGTCAACCATGTATATTCCTCATTTTATGGCATGGAGGTCTTAGTGCCTAAATAGAGAGGGGAACGCGTCTGGCTCTAAATTGATGACGCGGCCTGTGAAGCCATTTGATTATTTGTTTAGTTATTTTCACGATCCTTTTTTTTCCTTTTTCCTTTTCTTTTACAATAATCCAATAATCCAATAATCCAATAACCCAGTAATTCAGTAATCCAAAGAAAAAAAAAAGTTGGGGGATGGTAAGTGATAAGCTAAAGTTTGTCAAGAATTTGCTTTAACTGAAACATTTTGCACTTGTATGATAGGGACAATCAACAGTTCAACAAATAGCTCAGCACCCATCCCACCACGCAGCTCAACTCGCAGCTCAACTCACAGCTACATAACCATTTTCTCTTCCTCTAGCTAAGCATATAAACCCATAGCACACATACTTACTCCTCTTTTTTTCATAGGCTCTCAAGACTGGATGGCTGAAATTTTCTGAGAGAATTCGAGGGCCTGAGTGGGCTCATTCATTGTAAGGCTAAGTGAGGTTGAGATTTCTGGGAATGGAAAAGACGCTACCTCCTCGTGGTCATTCCTGGACAGTACATCTTTTTGTACTGACGAAGCGCGTCTTATTAGTTCAGTATTATGATTATTATTAAATAAAGATCTTGTTGTTTGCCCCATTATTGACTTTTATTGACTTTGGTCAAGAAAAAGGATGTTTGTTGTAAAGATAAAGCGTTGTCCTTTTTATAACCCCATATTTAATAATACGCATAGGATTGCTATTCATCCTATGAATCGTATATTTCAACAAAGGGCGGCTGTATTCTATAAAGCGTGCAATATATGCTGATATACACACGTAACGCAAAAAAAAGTAAAAATATACAAAGAGGGCCATTTTTACTTTCTGTAATATAACATATATCTTTTAGAAGAGAGTAAAATAAAAGAGAGCAATGATATTTGGCACTTGTAGTGTTGGTTTGATCCATCTCTTGTGATCTTGGGTTGACGATGCATGCATGCATGAAGATGGCCTGATCTCTGAGAAAGGCACATAAAGTGGTTATTTTATGAATAAAGCGGCTGTATTTTAACCAGTGAGTAGGGCGTAGCTGTTACTTTCCTTATTATTGGCTGATTTATCCTCACCCCCTTATGGCGCTAATCTCAACTTTTTGAGTAATCACAACAATAAACCTATTGTCGATGTTCACTTCAATAATTGTAACTATGATGCTCTAATCGTATATTGGTTATCATGAGCCATGGTGACATATAGAGTGAAGCCTCAAGGAAAGTTAGCGCATTTGCGGAGTCTGTTTCTGTCGATCATGTAAGTAAGGCGAACAAAGGACCTTAAGTGTTCCTAAAAAGTACCATTATGCTACTTTAAACGCCGACCTACTCTATGAACCGACCGGTCATGCGTCACACGCACGCCTATAAATGTTGTCAGTGCCATTTGTTTATGCTATTTATTACCAAAGCTGTCACTTTATTGTCTTTCTTTCCTTCTTTTTCGTTCTTTCCACTTCTTTATGTACCCTTTCCCATCACTGGAGGCAACAACCTTGACAATGTCAGCAAGCGCAATTCAATTAATGCAAGGTCAGTCATTGCTAGATTCCGACAATGTTACCTTTGAGGCAAATATCATTCCATTTATTCTTACCTTTAACAGTAGTTTATTTTATCTGTAGTGAGTAAGTAGAGCCTATATTTGAAAGCAGTATTTGTCCCTTTTTTTTTTTTAACCAAACCTTTACTTTGCAATTAAGGAACAAGAAGCAAGCTTTACTTGAGCTTGTCAACTATTTACTATTCAGAATAACTCAATATCAAGATAATAGCGTAAGAAGATACGTAGACGGCATATTCTCAGAGACATCCAGGTTATTTGTTTATTTATTTATATTTGTATTTATATTTTTATTTTTTACAGGCGACCAGTGAAGATTCTGAATGATAGGTTATGGTTAGGTCAGACGCCTCATCATGTCAATTGAAAAATGTATAAAGAGCAACAGAGGTCCACTGAAAGAGATAGTAGGCTCTTACCAGTAGTTAAGCCAGCCTAAACAAGTCTTATTTAGCTACATCCAGAGGTAAACAGCAAGATTTGGCAAATAATATGTGAGATAAAGAAGAGGCGCTTGCTCATTTATTGCTTTAGATTATATGGAGATACGCGCAATCTCAGAAACAAAACTGTCGATGCCAACGGTTTGAAATGAATGTAAGTGGATAGAGAAAAAAAATGATAATGAGGAGGTGTTATTGATGTTGGTTGATCCAAAGTTCATGAGGATTCGCAAGTGTAGGTTGACGATCTGCAAGTTATAAGGAACCAGACATTGGGATAAAGCAGTATAAAGTTAAAATTGTATCTGCGTTCATATCATGTTTTATAAAGATAGTACGACCTCTACAATGATGATTGCAAGAACGAATATACTTTGGGATGATATAGCTTTTATTTCAAGCACAAATAAGAAGGGATGGGTATGTTTACGTTTACACTGCGGTGTGTTTAGAAATAGCATGGCATGCACGATAAAGATGGACTTGTGAGTGGATCAGTAGAGGACCAAGTGAATATCCTAGGATAGTACAGGTAAAACAAGTTATTAGAGAAGAAAGAAAGAAACTAATTAGTTTGGATGATGGTTCACCATTTACAGATTCTGGTGTTGTGATCAGTTTAAAGGTAAGCATTTGGACAAACTCACTATAAATCATCTTTACTTATGACAATGCTACATTGTAGCTGTGATAAAAGAGTAGAGTGTTAGCTTGGGAGAATAGAAATACATAGTTGACAACTCAAAAACCAAAAGGAAGGCTTTACTTGACTGTGGAGTGTTTTTTTTATTGCTCAATATCAGATCACATTCAACATAGATGGAGTGTAAACAGCCGCCAAAGTGGGAAATATGATTTGTTGAAGGGGGTACAGTTGGTTCATATAAAAAAGGATCGTCTGTACAAGGTCACATGAAAGGAAGCAAGAGTGCAACAAGGATGAGATAAAAAGACAGTAGATCAACAAGTTCTCACTAGTAGCGCTCAAGGCAGGCTTGGCAAGGCTCTTACCTGATAATATTCAGCAAAAGAGAGAAATTGGCGCTTTCTCAACTGAAAGGACGATATCCAGACAACACAGATACTCATTTATTGGACCAGTGTGATGTTTTGTATTTGAAAATTAATCAGAAGAAAGAGATTTGAGTCAACGAGACCGAACAATAGTTCAAAAGATTGATTGTTTTATTTATGAGAAAGATTGGAAGGCTATTTATACTAGTTGAGGTTCCTGAGTGTAGATTAAGAGATGGTTACGACCGAAATGTGATTTGACATGTATAAGGAAAACTTTTATATTGAATGAGGATGAGATGATTCGTTTAACTGAACTAAAACCTCATCAATGGTTATTGTGCAGATTGGTAACCTATCGGATTCAGGTACAATTGTTTATAATTCATTTCTAAAGGTTTAAACGGCTTGAGGTAGTACTTTAAGTATGTCGAAACATGACAATCAGGATGTTTGTAAAGAAGAGTATGAGCGTATATATGACGAGGATATTGACTCTCAAGTTAAGATGAATTCAAACTCAAAAACTACATAAGTGTAATAAAGGCGGCTGTAAATGATATTGATCTTGATTTGGGGTTGAAGATACCTATAGATGGATTGGATTGGATTGAGTTTGCAGTTGGGGCTCATAGGTAATAGGTATGTATGGGTATATAGGTGAATATGTAGGCGTATGTATGTATGAATGGATAGATATATAGGTGTGTGTATAGGTATATATATGAGTGGATATATTGGGTTTATTTGCACTTGAAACTCATATATGCTAAGTATGGATTACCTTGGAAACTCTGGATATAAGAAAAGATATGCTTAGGAAATGTAGGTAATAAATGATATGAGAAGATGCTTAGACTTTATATGCTGATCATATGCGAGCAAGATAAAGCAAAGTATGGATGGATCAAATGGATCAGAGTAAAGGAAGAAGAAAGCGAATTTACTTTGCATAGAGGGTTGCCACAAATTATCAATAGGCGAGACCAAGGATACGATGTCAATAGTGACCGCTTTAAGATAAAAGATGTCGATACCCACACGATACCGTGTGTTTGGGATAATGGAAATATGTAGGGTAGAATAAGAAAAAGACAGAAGTACTGTTAGAACTGTGTGTATCCTTTTATAGAAAAAGATATAACAAAAATATGATGATATGAAAATCGTCCTCTATTTATACTTTTTCTTCAACAGGTAAACCTGGTTATCCTGGAACAATTAATAATCCTTTTTCATAGATAGTGCTAACGATCAATTCGCCTAAAGTATCTTCCTGTTTGCTCCTGATCTTATTGGATCATTAAATGTACCTGCCTTACTGGATCAGATATAAAAGTTTTCCAAATGGAGATAACAATAGCAATTAGGGTCCAACGTTAACTGCATTTGGCCCTGAGCAATGCAATTGGATCTGAGTCAAATCACACCATAACTTAGCAACGGTTGTCAAGCAAATATTATTTATCCAGTGTGCAGTAACAGGTAATATGCTCTTATTGGCTACATCAGTTATTATGTGCCAAAGAAGTGTACAATTGAATACAATAAAATCTAATCAAGGCTATGCGGCCCTGAATTGGGATTAATGCATTGAATCTCAGGTTATGCTTAACATGACTCTAATTGCTCTATGTGTTTTGAACGGATGGTTCAAAAGTAAAATCAATTAAAATATAAAGGGAAGCGATATAAATTAAAATCCTTCTTTATTAGAGAACTTAATTTATACCGAAAGAGGATCCGGTTTATGGAAGTCTTGAGAGTATTCCTATCTATACTATTTCAAAGTAGATGAGCGCTGATATAATAATTAGATGACTCGCCTAAAGAATAACCAATGATGAAGATATAAGCCTGTCGAGGTTCTAATTCATGCAGGCCATGTAAGACAAGGAAAGTTCATTGTTCTGTCATCATTACCGTCATAACTATATTTAGATCGGTTCACAGGATTTACGAGAATTTAGTTTACTTATTGGCTAATCTAACTTCTTGGTAAAAGGTGATAATCTTGGATAAGAGCATCATCATCTTTATACACTGCTATACTTTAGTTTATTCAGTCATTAATATAGTCAATGCTTATAGAAGTGTGTTCCTTCACAACACTATATTTATTGCTATAATCCTTAAGTATCCGCAACAGTGTCCATTTTCCTCCATCGTATTTGTATGTGTCTTTAGCGAACTTCTTGAGTCTGTTCCTGAGTACAGTCTTGGAAGTGGTTTCCAAATCGTCAAAGATTTCTTCTGGGAGGACTTGGAGGTCAATGAATTCGTCTCTGATCTCCTGTTCTTTGGGTCGCTTGCTGAAATCGAGAAGTTCTTGAATTTGTTCTGTAGTGAATTCATTTATATTTTCCATAGTTGATCCACGGTGCGCGGCTTTGAAAGATATAAAGGATAATAGAAGCTTAAAAAATTTTTTTATATAATAAATCTGAGAATAAAAGCGCGGCTAGAAAGCCTTTAACCACATCCGAAGTCGGAGTGAAGCCAACGGCAATTGTGTTTGTGGTATTTGGACTAATAAATGGCACATCAATAAGCCATTACACATAAAGAACAATTAAATAACCGAATTAAAATCAAGATAGATTATATCTATTTATAAATTGGGAACTCTCGCCTACGTGTGAATATTTATCACTGTGACAGTTATAAGTCTAAGAAAAATTTATTATTTAGACAACAGCTCGTCATACATCGCTATTGTCCTGTCAACATCACCCCAAATATTGGTAATCATCATAGCTGAGATAACTTTATCCGATCATTAGAAAAAGTATAAATAGACCTCCGTATTTCATTCAATAAAGGACAACTTACTTTTAGTCTCGTTAATCATTTTGTCTATTTTACCCAAATACTTCAGTGTTAGGCACGACACACAATTGAACGCCAGTGCTTGTCGTGTTTACATAGATCACACATCTCTTAATTCTCTATTTATTCATTCTCAGCTAATAGACGACGTCAGACATTTACAGTCGTCATCCCTCATATATATTCAGGTTGCACCCTCATTTATTAGTTCCTCTCTCAGACTTATAATAAAAATAGTAACTGTTAGCTATTGACTCTTCACTGTTTTACAACTATATAAGCATAAATATCACAGTGCTCTTGTAGTACAGATCAATGGTCCCTCATTCGACAATCACTGTCAGATCAGGTTCACTTTAGTCTAGTGGCCCTTCCCATAATTCTTGGATGATTATAAATAGATGTGCGCTCAAGCCAATTATCGTTATTGTGTGTAGATGTTAAAAAATATAAATATCATTGTTTTATTCATCGTAAATAAAGATATCATATATTTCAGTCTCTGAAGTATTTGGGTAAATAGACAAAATGATTAACGAGACTAAAAGTAAGTTGTCCTTTATTGAATGAAATACGGAGGTCTATTTATACTTTTCCTAATGATCGGATAAAGTTATCTCAGCTATGATGATTACCAATATTTGGGGTGATGCTGACGGGACAATAGCGATGTATGACGAGCTGTTGTCTAAATAATAAATTTTTCTTAGACTCATAATTGTCACAATGATAAATATTCACACGTAGGCGAGAGTCCCCAATTTATAAATAGATATCATCTATCTTGATTCTAATTGGATTACTTCATTATTATTTATGTGTAATAGCTTATTGGTATGCCATTTATTAGTCCAAATACCACAGTCTCACTGGCTTATTGTCCTTTTCTATTCTCTTCTCATCTTATTAGTTTTTGTCTCTTACCTTTGTACTTGGCAAAACACTGAGGATGTGATTGACTAACGGTTCCTGAATTCATAAAGGAAACTTTTAATTCGTTCCTGACACTGATCTTATTGTTCATTTCATGATCTGGGTTATGTTACTGCTTTTACCATGAGAAGGATCATCTTTTAAAGAAGTATATTCTTTTATATAAAGAAGTAATGATTCATATTTACTTTGACTTATCACTAAAAGCGTGTACACGTAATCTTATCATGTATGAATTCACTCTATTCATACTGATTACAATTGTTTATCTCAGTATCAGTCCTTAAGCAGACATCTTCTACGACACGTGCTTTATTTACGCTTAACCGCCGCTCTCAGTCTATTCTCTTTGTGATAGGGTGACTCTCTCAACAGATAAAACAAACAAGAGAATACTTTGAAATGCTTTATTAGGAGAAAGTTAGACGAAGAACAAATTACATGGAATAAAGGACTCTATTTATACTTTTTGAGATACACGACTTTTGGGGAGATCTTCTATTGAGTTAATACTGCCCATTGGTTAATTCACAATATCTAGATGATGACTAAACTATGGATGCTGATAATGACGTGATCTCACGTAGAAATGTATTATCTAACATCTTATTTAATAAGAAAGTACATTGTTAATTCAGTCGACACATCATCATGTGCATGACCAGTTGTTAAAGATAGATATGAAACCTAGGCAGTGAGGAGAGATACTGATCCGAGGAACCTTTACAAGTCTTTTTGTAGAATAAAATAGTATGAAGGTTTATATTATCATAAATGAAGAAAAGTTCTATTATAAAGTCTGTAGATCATTAGGTTCTCTTTATATCTCAATGCAACTTAATGTCAATCCTTGGATTTATTCAAGCTAGGACTTCTAATACAATTGATTCATATAAAGAGTATTTATTCCTTATTGTTGAATACGAAGTATCAATTAAAGAGAATAAAGACTAGAATTAACCAGACTAAAAAGATATAT